CTTTTCCATGATAACACCAGATGGGATTGTTATTTGATAACAGTTTGTACCGGAGTGAATGTTGAAGGAGAAAAAAGGATTCAAAATGTTCTGATTGTTCTTGCATTTGTTCCCCATTTCGTTCTGAGAACAATTCCATCTGGTGTTATCATGAAAAGATATTTTATCGATTCAGCTTTTCCATTCGTTTTACCCAGTAAATATCATTAATCCCTGTTAAGCTTCTTCTTCTTCTTCCTCTTTTTTTTCTTCATCTTCATCTCAACGAAATTTTATTATTCCCTTTTTATTATCATCACAAGAAAAGAGGTTTTGGGTCTTTTTATCTGACTTATTTTATTTTTTGTGAACCACCAAAAAAATTATTTCAATTTTCATCTTTTTTCTACTATTTTAGTCAGATTTTATTTGTCTTTATCTTCAATCATCTTTATCGTGTTCATCGTCATCCTCTTCATCAATCTCATCTCAACTCTTCTCTCTCTTCTCTCTTCTCTCTCTCTCTTGCTCTTTACTCTTTTACTCGTTACTCTTTGCCTGAAATATTGTGATGTACATTAATAGCTGATTTTAAATGAAAACCCATTTTTATAGTTTAGTGATTATTAAATTATGTGAAATGTTGGACTATGTGTAATTTCAATGGGTTAGTTGTTATTAAGTGTTATGATTATAACGCTTACATTCACGGGATCAACGAAGGTTATTCATCTTCTTCATCATCTTATTATTCCTCATCGCCATCAACACCATTATTGTCCTTTTTATCATCAAAATCATTCCAATCATTGTCATCTTCATTATCACATCCATCATCAACAACACCAAAAACACCATCAACACCATCCTCATCATCAACATCAAACACAACAACAACTAGAGTATCAACATCTCAAAAAATCTCAAAACCAAAAGCAAGACAAATACAAACACCAATCTCAATACCAAGCTCAACATCATCTTCAATATCAACTCTACGATCAACTACACAACAATCAATATTATTATTATTTCCCTCAAAATCATCATTCCCATCTTAATAAATTATCTTGTTTGAAACCCGGACAAACTTGAATAATATCAAATTGCAATCCCAATCTAAATAATATAATATAATAATAATATAAATATTAATAATAATTCAATTAGGAAAACAAAACAACAATTATAATTATAAAAAATTGATTGAGAAGTGGAAAGGTGAAAAGGAAAAGGAGAAAAGAAGAGGAGAAAAGGTTAAATCATGATTATGATGATAAATCGTTTAAACCAATGGATATTTGTGTTAATTATTGTTATGTTTAATAAATTTAATCACATTTTTACACTGAGTGATTTTGATGTCGGTGACAAAGGGTAAGTCGAGCAGATTAAACAAAACCATTTACCGTCTACTTAACAACCTATTTTGTTTATTCATTACCAGAAATGCCTTGGGCCAAAACATAACCCGAATATTGAATGCATTTTTTGCTGGCGGTTATGATAAGCGAGTCAGACCTAATTATGGAGGTAAGTTAATCCTGTCCAATCTTGATAATTGGTTAAATTAGCAAATCCAGAATCAATTCCCTTATAAATACTCAACTTTTAAAGGCTCAAAATCGTTGGCAAAATAACCTAAAATCTCGATTAAACATCGAGTCGACTCCATCACTGAACCCTACTAAACAATAGCTAAACATAATATCACTATGAATACTGAAAAATGCTAGAAATGTTGACCTTTTTTCCCTGTTAAATATTCAATTGATCAACATTGAAGCAAGAAATTGAAATTGGCTTTGAAACAATTTTTAAAAATGTAAATCCATTGGAAAATGGGTTTGAACCCAAAGTCAATTTAATTTCATGATTATGTTTGTCTGGTTTGTCTGCTAATTAAACCATGTAAAAACATTTGTTACAATCAATTACTCAATGGAAAACAATTGTTAATCATTAATAATCTTTCCTCTGATTCCAGGTCCACCCGTTGAAATAGGAGTTTCCATGCATATAATTAGTATCAGTACAGTATCTGAGGTTCAAATGGTAAGAGCCATAATTATATATCTTAATGTTGGTCAAAATGAGAATTAATAAGGTCATGATTAATATTTAAATGGTCGATATTGAGATATCAATTGTAACCTTTGATTGATTGCAATTGTTAAATTTGCTCCATTAAATGGTCATTTTGTTTCATATCTTCAACTATGCGCAGTTTAAACTGGCACAACAATAATGACAATAATAAACGTGTAAACGTCTTAATCACCACGCGATTTGTTGAACCATAGTTTAATTAATGTAAGAGTGACAGATGATGATCATTGTGATGATGATGATGATGAGGATGGAGGAAAGATTAAGTGGTAAAAAAAGACTGAGCAAGGAATGGCGAGAACAGTTTTTATGGCTAAAAATAGAGTTGAATACTTTTTCCTCTGCTTCTTGGAGTAAATGGTTTACTATATGTGTTCATGTTACAAAATGTTGCATCCAAATGAAAAGGATTTTTTCTTAAGGATGATAATGATAATGATGATGATGATGGTGTGGATGAAAAGTCAGTCTCTTGTCATTATCAGAATATAATATTTATCCTTTGCTCTCATTTTCTTCTTCCTTTTTTTGTTATTCATCAGTAATCATCATCATCATTATGTACAACAAAATACATTTTAATGTTATGTTAAATTTACATTTTACAGTTGAAATGATTTATTTTTGTTTAGCCTTTTTCCCTTTTTTCCCATTAAACCATCTTCAATTAAGACCATTTTGTCTCGTATCTTTTATTGTTACATCTTTGACCACCAATTAATGGTTAATTAAATGTCTAAAAATGACCTTTAATTTGATTCAATTTTCATCTAAATGTTGATACAATTCCCTTCTTTAAAAACATTGGACTTTTGGTTGAGAAAAATATTGAACAATTTTAAACCTTTCATTGGGTTTCATTTGTTTCAATCATTTTCAGGTTAAATTAACGTTTAAAACGGACAACAATTTACATGCACTTGAGAGTTGAGTCAATCTGTTAATAAATTGTTTACAATTGTCAGAATGTTTCCTTTAATCTTCCAAAAATACTCGTAACATGAAGATTTGAATTTACAGTTGTTTGCTTTTCCTCCTTCCTTCTCCTCCTTCACATCCTCTCTTCCTTCCACTATTATCATTATTATTAATATCATTATCAATGAATACTTGTGACCAAAGAGAGGATAACCTTAACATGATTTGTGGTACCATTGAACTAAAAAAACATGAAAACATTGAACATAAACTCGGCGTGAAAAGAGGATTCACTAGATTTGACAAGAATATCATTTCAAGTGCAAACCCATAAAAGGAAGAAACAATATTGAGTTCCACTCAAGTTCAATTCTGTATTAAAAAGTACCTTCACAAAATACCTTCAACATCTCAAACGTGACCTTTATTCCTGCCTTTCCTCAACATCTTTCCATGTGCTTCTATCGTCTTTCAGTCAAACTCCAAGCTTCACTCCAAGCTTCACTCCAACTCTCACTCCCTGTTTTCACTCCAACTTTTATCATTTTTCCTCTTTTTATTTTCTTCCATCTCTTTATCACACTTTTTTTTTCTTCTAACGCTTACCTTCTCAACTTTGCGTGATTTACATCGTAATCAGATGTAATCTTAAACAAAACGAACTTCAACTTTACCATTTAGCCTTTTCTCACATATTTATTCATTTCTCTTCGATTCACTGACTTTTTTTATCACTCAATACAATTAGGTCCATTCAGTGTTACAATGATTGGTCATTGATGAAATCATTACTTGATTCAGTTAATGTATCAGTATTGTTGCTCTCAGTTTACTATTCAATTGAGATGTAAAACAATTTGCCATTTTTTGCTTTACTGTTTAGTATAATCTAGTTAATTGACTTGCAAGCTCAATTGAAATTTACTGTTGATTTTTTTCTTGCTTGTTGGTCATTTTAATCAATAAAAGTTGCCATTTATCAATATTAAATGCGTTCGCAAAGGCTTTCATCAACAATGATTAATTATTAATTTTGGGTTTTGTTCTGGGACTTTTGTTTGTTCAACCTTTCAGTCAGTTGAGTGTTTGATTGTTCAAGTCAATTGCATGTACTAGTTTAACCTTTAATTATCCAATGTAAATGGTAATTGATTTTTAGCTGTTTGCGAAATAACATCAATATTTGATTTCTCAGGACTTGTAATCAACGAGATTTTGTGCTTGCCGTTGCTAATTAATGATATTGTTTCTTTACCTTTGTGTTTCATTATTTATTTTACAGATTTGGTTAATCAACTAACGTATTGAGGCAACGCGCTCATAAAAAGCACGCCATAAGCGCCTTTTGTGTTATCAAGTCTGAGTCAAAAATATTTTGTGTTTTCATTGAAATTTGCATGAATATTCATATTACAAATTTACAATTCAGTTGGATTAATTAGTGGGTTTAGAGGAAGATTTGTTAGCGAATGTTGAGTCAACATCAATAGACTGATGGCTGATCAATTTTTTATAATCAACTAACGTTATGTATAATAGTCATGATTACTGATGTGAATGTTGAATTAAAAAGTTATCAAATATATGAAAGAGTCAAAAACGGTTCAACTCTAAAAGATTGGGTCAATATTTTGTTTTTGCAAACATATAAAAAGAATGTTTCCATTACAATGAAAGTTGACCTCAAAAGGTTTACATGAAAAATGACCATTTCAATTCAATCTTCATCTTGAATCTCCTTTTTATTTTTCCTTTCATTCCCATCTTCTTTCCACAAAATGATAATAATGATTGGAAATCATATCTTCCTGGCTCTCTGTTTCCCCATTTCAACCGATTCTCGATGCTTCATTAATTCTGTCTTTGAATATCCACAATTCATTTTCAGTTCAAACATTTGCTGAGTCTCATGGTATAATGATAATCAAAATGAGCGAAACAAGTCAACTTTTTTGCCTTCGTTTCTCTTCAATTTGCTTCTTTGGATTGGATTAGGACAATCCCATGAACCTGAAAATTGTGATTCTTCTTCCATTTCTTGCTCTTCTAAATTTTGCTCCCTTGTCATTTTCATCCACTATTTTCTTTGCTCTTTCTTTTTGTTGGCTTTTATTATTCTCCTTTTTTTCATGATATTAGTTGCTCAAAGGCTTGAAATCGATTTTCAATTAGGATATCAATATACAGATGCATTTGTATTTGTATTATGTATACACTTTACAGCAAACAGGCTCAGCCTTTTCTTTCATGTATTCAATTGTACGATACAGCTTTGAGTACAATCCATGTTGTTGAATCAAAACATTACGATAAGCCAATCAATGTAATGATACAAATACGACTTGACACAGATTATCAACAGCAATAATAACCAGAAAAAAACCAACGCATTCTTTTCGTTTTCCAATATTTTATCGACTACATTTGACTATTGTTGATAATGTTTGAAACAATAAAATAATCCATACGAAAGTACACCAAATATAATTGATTAACGTTTTTCCCTCCTTCTCGATGTTGATAACTAATTACAAGTTGAGGAAGAAAACACAATGGATAACAATAATTATTATCATGTTGACTAGTTAGTATTACCACTAAAATATACACAATCCAATTTGAAAGATTTACTTACCAGACGAGAGACGAGAAAAAAAGTAACTGGAGCAAACAAGAAAGTAAATCACAGAGTAATTAATCTTAAAACTTGAATTAAACCCTAGATATTGATTGACAATTTTCAATTCTAGACAAGAAAAAAAACTAGACACATTAAAAGTTAAACAAATTAAATCTATTAATATTAAGATGAAAATAAATTAGTGAAGAAATGAAAATTAAATACAAAATTGCAAGTAATGACGATTAATTCAGATAATAGATGGGGTGAAAAGCAGCAAAGGGGAAAAGAGCCATTTTCAAAATTTGATTAAATCACAATTGAAACATTTATTTTAATTCATTTTGAATCAATTTAGACTGAATTTGCTTTAAAAAATTGAACATTTCCGTAATCATGTAATAAGATGATGAAACTGAAGAGATTTGCAAATTCATAAATTCATAGATTCATCTGTAAATAAGCCGAAATGGTTAAAGCAAAGATCATTTCATTTGTTGTTGGCAAGATTAACTTGAACTTTTTTCCAGATAATATTAATACTCTATTTTGTCTGTAAAAGTTAATATTTTTTTGTTATTATTACTAATGATTTTGAAGAGAAAGAAAAGAGAGAAAAGAGAGAAAATAATAAAGCAAAGTTATCCTGAAATGAACGATTATAATGATGATAATGATGAAGGCAAAAGTCTTAAGATATTTTCAACTTTTCTGATTTACCGAAATTTTAGTTCAACTTTGTAATGATGAACCAGATTTTTGAGTTTCCTTTATTTTAAGGTAACAAACAAGCAAAAGGAAAACAAAGGAAAAAGTAAAAAAATGAAAGAACAGAAAAAATTCAATCTCAATCTTGATTCTTATTCCAAGGCTTTTTTACGGCCTTAAGACTTTTTCCAAGACAATTCTGGTTTCAATTCAATGGTTTATTATTTCCATTCCTTCTGAATTACATCGATTCGCATTTTGCCTTTTCCTGGTTACATGAAATAGAGATGATGAAGGTATAACATTTTTTCCTCTTGTTTGATTTCACCCAAGAATCTGTTTGATTTCTTCATCGTCATCATCATAATCATCACCATCATCATCTTTATCATCATGATCAGGACAATGTTTTCACATTTCTTTCCTTTCTTTCCTTCCAGTATTACAAACAAAACACTTTGCTGTCCATGGTCTTTAAAAGTTCATGGTTATTGATTCAACATTTTTAACAGCAATCAAAAAAGGAACCAACAAAAGATTTTTGATAACATTGTTTTCGATTTTGCTTGTTCAAGATTCTTAAGTCTCTTTTTTTATCATTTTAAGGCCTTCTCTTTGCATTATCATCTTCATCATGTTTTCCTCATTTTTCATCTCAACAGATACTCAATGCCTGCTCTTAGGTAACGATTCAATTTTGACCACAAAGATGTGAAAACGAGAAAAAAGATTGAATAATCAATCTAATATTATCTTCTAAATTAATATTTTTGTTGCTCTTAAAATGATTTTGTTTTCATTACACCATTAAGTTAACAGTAAAAGAGACAGTCAAGAGTCTTGAGCTTAACCGAGACGGTTGAAGGTTGCCGGTTGAAGACAGCAGCTTGAAATGGCTTGTTTTACGAGACAAAATGCTGAAAATTTTTGTACAAAAAAGACGAATCAAGGACTGAAATATTTAGAAAAAATTTCAACAAAGAACTTGAATCAGGAAAAAGACGGAAGAAAAGACGAAAGCCTAAAACTCGCTAAGACCAGAAAACTTAGAGTAATAAAATTGAAAGCAATAAAATTTTGGGTCAGTAAGTGTAAGGGTCACACATTTCATTTTACAGCTTTTTCTCGCTCTTTGTTTTTAGTGTTTTATTGCTCTGGACATTTTGTCACAGAGCAGGGCACTTGTGACCTTTTTTAAGAGTAGTAACGGAGGGTTAACGTCCTTTTTTATTCATTTGTCACTTTAACAGTTTATGGTTCCTGGTTAAAAGATTTGTTATAAATAGGTTTGATTTGCACTCTCAACAACTAAGGGTGAAATTAACATTTATGTATCACTTGAGATGTGGTTTTACACTCTACAGTAAAATAAATGCTTAACCTCTAGACAAAACAATTCAAGTTTGTTTCAAGATTATCTTGATTCCGTTATATCATGTATTAACCATGACAAATCAAATGTTTTTCCTGTTCTCTTCTTTATGGTCATCATGTTATATGAAGTTTCTCAAGACTTGAAGCTACATCAACATCTTGAGAAGTGGAAAACAAATTTGTAAATATCTTGAAGAAATTTTCATTCTTGATTCAGTCTATTTCGGAATGGTCCTGGAATCAGTATGATGTCTATACATTAACATCATCCTTTACTTTTCATACAATAACATTACAAAATACTTGAGAGTGTATTAATGGATATTTTTTGTTCATTAACTACAATCGGATCTTCAGTCACTTACTGATTGCTGTCATAGTTTCATTTTCAGCCAGTTAATGTTCAATGTTTCCAAATATTTGTTCAACGATTTCAGTTTAACAACATTCGATTAGGTCAAATTGACCAAAATAACTCAACTTTGCCAATTAAATTGTGAGATTGTGAAAAAAATCATTTGTTAATTATTCTAGTTTTAATAATTTATAATACGCGCTAACTCTTTCCCTCCATTTGACTCACTTAGCCACATGTCTTACAACATTGTTAAGCAACTGTGAACTAAACTGTGTTGAGTTCATCTTTTTTAAATTAGTTATTATCAAGGTTAATTTAGTGATATGTGATCAATGTAGTGAATCTAACAGGATCATTTGCTGTTTGTTAGTTATTGTGCCTTAATTAGGATCTATTATGAAGCATCTTGGATACAATATTGACTGATACATCTGGACTTTTGAAATCTAAGCCTTCAAAATGGGAAAGAAACGTTCATCTTAAATTTAATCTGCTGAGATTTAAAGACTAATTACACTGGTGTACAAGTCCAACATGGGTTGTAATGACGAAACTGATAATTATACCAGAAAAGTTAATTACCGTAATTCCCACGTTTGGTTTTAATCTGAATTTGGAGGAAGAAAATATTCAGCAACAGGATTGTCATTGGCATAGGATTACCTGAACTTTATGATGGCTATACCCTGTATAATGATGACTTGGTAGATGCTTACAAAATCACTAGTATTGTCAATATGACAGTTTCAGCAAAAAAGCAGAAAATGTTGATGAATCTTTCATTGATATGATTGTTTGTTGTGATGAAAAGGTGAAAAAAGCAAGATTGAGGATGAAAAGAAAATAGAAAAACATGGGAAAAAGGAATCAAGTTTTATCAATCCAAACTAGTAAAAAAATATTTTCATTTTCAATTCTGGTTCTCTCACTTTAAGCTCACAAACATCAACAGTCTCTTTTGTATACATTTTGGTAAATGCTGCAAGGTGAGTTGGAGATATCAAAAAAGGAGAGGAAGTTGAAAACGAATAAGAAAAGGAAGAAAAAGAAAAACAAATGCAACTTGGAGTCGCTCACCATTTCAAGTTATAAATATAAGCATCAACAAGAAGGAAAAACAACTGATTCAACTGAAACTGTGAAGCTCTGAACTAGAGGAGATGAGGACAAGATGGTTTTGACAAGTATATCATCTAACTAACGTTATATTGAGCTAACAAAAGGAGGTAGAAATGGAGAAAGATCAGAATCAAGTGAAGCCTAAAATGCTAACAAGACCAACATCATCATCATCATCATAATCAACAACAACAGTACTACTACAGGAACAGACAGATGAACAAACAAAAGAATATAATATTTCAAAGTGAAATCAGGGTTTCATTATAATGCCAAGATAGAAATATCATTCTTCTTCTTGGAAGTTGACTTTTTTTGATGAGATGATGTCCATGTTTCATCAATCTAACTGTGAAAATTGGATAGACGCAAAAGAAATAAATGATCCCAGGAAGAGTGAAAAAAACGTACAACATGATGAAGATGGAGAAGAAAAGAGGTTATCCTAAAAATAACTTAAACTTTGAGAAGCTTTTTTGTGTACTTTACTCCCAATCAATTCTGGTTAAATTCATATTCCAAGGCTAACTCACATTTAATAATAATTTTCATTTCTTTACTTAAATTGATCCTTTTCTTTTGGTATCTTCACTCCCAACCATAATAAAAATGATCCTGATTCTTCTACATCAACCTTTCTTCTCCCTGTTAATCCAAATTGATGATGAAATTAGATTGATCTGATTATCAGTTGAATGGATTATTTACAAACTTTTTCACTTTTCCTTAAAAATGAAGATCAGCTCTAAAAATTATGATTTCACTTTATTTCCTTCCATTCTGTTCAACTAAACGATTTCCTATCATAATTGAAAAATTATCGCCATTTGCTTCCAACTTTATTTCAATTACAAATGAACGTTTGGATGACTTGACATGGCGGGTTACAATGTTGTTTCAATTGCACCAAAATGATTAAATTAATAATGGAAAGAGTTGGATCAGAAAAAAAGGTTGGATGTTATTTATAAAAATTCATTCAATGACAAATTCATGTTTTCAATTTTGTTTATCTCATATTTTTCATTTTGTCTTCTTGTTTTACCCAATTTTCATCTTGATTCACTCTGAATGATTATGATGAAAAATAGTAATGCAAATGAATGAAAACCAATTCTGGTTGACAATAAAAAATAAACATTTTCACAATAATACTTCACAAATCTCAATATCTCAATCTTACCTGATTCTGTAGCCAAACAGTATTTCTGTCACCAGTAGTTTCCTGTGTTATTACGTTTATTATTATTAAGGTAATACTTGATTACCATTGTTGTTCAACCTAACACTCCCTTTGGTTTGGATTTTGAGACAAAATATATTCACGCCTAACGATATGAATATATCTAATAATATGAAACATTCATGAGGTGAATTTGTGTAACTGTATACATCTACATGTCTATTTATGCATGATAAACATGATTATAATAATAAGTTTACATGCAATTTTATTCTCAACTTTTCAATTGATTGTTTCTCATTTTTATTTCATCAAAACAAAGGTTGGAAAGGAATTGAAAAAAGCCGTAAATTAATTAACTTTCATTTTTGAGTTTGGGTCAAGATTTGGGTTTTAGATTTGCATTTGGCGCTCATTTAATTTATTGATAATTGGCGGTCTTCAGTAACCAAAGATTTGAACTCTTACTCGTTCACAACGTCTGTTTATCGTATGATTTATTTACTTATGTGTTACAATTTTTACTTTTTAATTGTGACCAAATGATTATTAATTTGTGTGTATATCAAGTTTTGAGGTTTCCAATCATCAACCGGTGAAGCTAAAAATTGAAATTGGAAGCCTTTTAACCTAACTTACATAAGTCAAATGTTCTGCTGTCTTCATAAACATGTGAATTAACATTTATTTGAGTCAACCGTTTAAGGTGTATTTGTTGTTACTTATTGTGTATCAGTGTATAAATCAAGGTTAATGGTTTATTGTTACCCATGTATTAAACAATTGTAACCAAAAAAGGTGAATTGAACATTTTTGTTTTCTTATTTGGCTTCAAACGTCATTTCTATACCAATTGTGTGTCTTTCAACTTACCATTATCATTTGAGGATTTTCATTAAAAAATACAATTAAATGAAGAAAGTTAATTTAATGAGTGTATTATTGTTGTATTAGTTATTGTTAGTTAATGGTACTGTTTGCGTGTTTAGAGCAAATCAATTTGATTTGATTTTGTATTGCTCAGTTTCTTTTTGTTGCAAACAAGAAAAGACAAACACAAAGATATAAAGAGTAACAAAATCAATTGGTATTAATCATGTAAACAGTTGAAGAAAATGAGAATTTACTTGATATTTGATATTTAATCTTGTTACATGGATTCTTTATCATAATATCATCTTACTTTATCATCATGATTATCATTGTCATCCTATGAGACATAAATAATTAGCTGATTGAAAGACAAATCCTTGTAAACAAATTAGTAAACTGCTGTGAAAGACAAAAACAAATCTTATTATTACAAATAATTATAGTTAAATAATCAATAATGAAAAAGGATTAAGCCTTTACTCTCATGTAAATGTTTCTTGCTTCCTCAACTGTTGACTTTTATCAAATTAAATGTTGACATTTGCTCACAATTTGATACTTATATGCAATGCTAATAATGAATAATCTAATGGAGTCAAGTTATCAATCATGTTACAATGCTTTGAAATTCAAATCCCTAGTTCTATTGAGAATCTGTTAAACATGAAATTCACTCTCTCTTCTGATCTTTGAATATTGACCAAACCATGATGGATTATTTCTAATTGAATTTCTTATTTATCCCTCTTTCAACAGGACTTTACATCTGATTTTTACTTTCGCCAATTTTGGGAAGATCCAAGATTAGCCTTTATTCCTTTACCTCGAATCACGGAGCTCTACGTAGGTGCCGAAGTTGCTGACCGAATCTGGGTTCCAGATACTTTTTTTGCCAACGAGAAATCAGCAAGTTTTCACTTTGCCACAACTAAAAACACTTTTCTACGAATTGGTTCCAATGGTGAAGTATTTCGAAGTATAAGGTAAGCCTAATTATTTCACCAACCATCACTTATGTAATTGTTAATTTATTTTGCATCTCTATATTTCAGATTAACTGTTACAGCCAGCTGTCCCATGGAGCTTCAATACTTTCCAATGGATAGGCAAAAATGTTCACTTGAAATTGAAAGCTGTATGTGTTACAAAGCCATATCAAGTCAACTTTTCTTCTCTTCTGTTTACCTTAACATGACGATTAATCTATTGACCTTTATTTATCTTACCTTTAGATGGTTATTCAATGTCTGATATGATTTATATTTGGAGAGAAGGTAAAAAGTCAATACGAATGAATAGTGATCTTTCATTACCTCAATTCAAAGTTCTTGGCCATGCACAGAAATCTCAAGCCAATGCTTTAAGTACAGGTAAGAAGAAGATAAAGAATATATTATTTGAAAATAGAAAGTTGTTTTCATTTTCTATTATCAACATTATTATCATCATTGCCAATTAGATCCAATTGTATTAGCGCCTTCACCACCACAAGTGTTAACACTGAATCAAGTTTTTGTTCATACTTTTTTATCAATATCTTTACTCTTCGTTTACCGTTGTGTCCTTTAATCAGCAACGATCCAATCATCATTAGAGTCGATTATGATGTTATGTAAATAGCCATTTCAAAATTATACATTGTACCATTTTAGATAGAAAGTTAATAATGGAGCATTTAAAATTAACTAAGTAGTTAACTTGTAGTTAACAGTATGGTTAACGACCATTGCTCGAATTAAAACACATAAAGCAAATGGTTATCTTCAATAAAAGGCAAATATTAATGTTCCATAATAAATGTTCATCTAATAGGAAAACATTATTCATGTGTATAATTTATCCTAAAAAGTAGACGATTTGACGACTATTTTTCTTATAGATTAAATACAATTATAAGTAATGGTTTAATCATTATATTGTTTGGCTATTGTTGTGACTAGAAAATAGAGGTATATTGATTGATTTTTACATTAATTCATCATGTCATATACCTTTAATTGTACTTAATCAATAGAAACCTTTTCCTGAATAGATAATCAATATTAATTTGCTATCTTCTCTTTCGTTTCAGGAAACTATTCCAGATTAATATGTGAAATTAAATTTGCTCGAAGTTTGGGTTTTTATTTGATACAAATATACATCCCTGCCAGCCTTATAGTGGTGATAAGTTGGGTCTCATTTTGGTTACATCGTAATGCAACTCCAGCCCGAGTTTCATTAGGAGTGACCACTGTCCTTACAATGACAACCTTAATGTCTTCAACCAATGCCCAGCTTCCAAAAATATCTTATATTAAATCAATTGACGTTTTCTTGGGAACCTGTTTCGTTATGGTTTTCGCTTCCCTCCTTGAATATGCCACTGTCGGTTATCTTGGTAAACGGATTGCCATGCGTAAATCAAGATTTGAACAAATGAATAAGATGCATGAAGACCAAAAGAAACGTCTTGCCTCATTGCCTTCTCATCATAATAGTAATTCTACTTCAGGACATTTAACGATAAGTGATAGAGGAGGCGGTGGCTCAGGTGGTGCGACTGGAAATGCTGGAGTAGGATGTTTAAGTAATAACCAAGTAGCCTTACAATCTGGGCAACAACAGTCACAAATGCAGCAGCAACAATCATCACAAGGTGGAGGGGGATTAAGCTCAACTGGTGGAACTGGAGGGTGTGGAGGTGGTGGACAAGGTGGACAAATGTCTTCACTTAACCCATTAAATGTGGTACATCCCGTTCAAGTTACCTCCTGTGACCTTATCCATGGTGAAGGTGGCCACAGTCATCTTGTACCTCCTTCATCACACTCACACCATCCAAACCAGCCTCAATCTCAGCCACAGTCCCAATCCCAGCCGCCCTCCTCACAAGACATACCTCCGCCCATACCGCCAGGTCCAATTGGAATAATTAATCCATCTCTATGTCCGGCGGCAATGAATGCACGTAATCCAAGGCAAATTATTTATAAACATTCGGTATGTTAAAAATAGAACCCATTCATCTCCGTTAAACCTAAAAATAGGAGACAATTATATCAAACAGAGAAACATAATAACAGAATTGCTGTTAATGGGTCAAAACAGTAAATAAGCAAAAAGACAAAATAGCAAATCGGCTTTTAAAATGGGGATGGGTCATTTGAGCGAAAAGCATTTGAGCAAAGGTCAAATTTTTTTGCACTTATTCCTTTTCTTTTCGCCGAAGTGACTTTGCCCAATTGCCTTCAGTTGACCCTTGTTCAAATGCTTTTCGCTCAAATGACCCGGGACCTTTAAAATTAATGTAAATCAATTGAAAGGTTTAATGCCAAAATCGGTTTAAACCAAGTGAGGAGTTAGGTCGGACATACAAAGGGCATTCATTGAACAAGTTGAAAAATTTAAAATCGATTAGTTTCGGTAAAATCACGTTCGCATTGAAACTTCGATAGATTTTTTCCAGTTATGGGCAAATAAAGCAAAAAAGTGTCTAATAGTATCAGTTTAATTGTATGAATTTAATTGTCTTTTGCTGTTTTCAACCCAAACCGAATTACTAGGCAAATTCAAACGATTTAAATTTTTCTTTCTATTGCATTACTTTGCTAAACCATTTATTAATCAATATTTGAGTCTGCTTTCTCTCAATTTCTAACCATTAATTTAACTTCTTATGTTTCAATATTATTCATACCTTTGTTTTCCTACCGTTCAATATTGTTCACAATATTTTGTGTGTCTATGTAAAATAATTTGCCTGATAATAACTACGAGTTTGCAAACTGTAAACCGCCTTCTCACTATCAAGTATCATCAATCATAATCTCTCAAGTTTCTATCTTGTTTCTTTTGTATTCCTGTTATAACTCCTGTCTTCTTAATAATCTAACCAGCCATTCAATTTTTTCACTGTTTTTCCCTCTACATTTATACAAGCTCTAATTATTATTTTTATCATCAACATTACCATCATCACCATCAAAAAGCTATTAGATTTTTTTAGTTAAACAAATTGAACCACAGAGAAGTAGATTATTATTCAGATTGTTATCATTATTCATAATCATTTTACTTTTCTTTCCACCTTTTTTTATTCAGATTAAACCCATTTATTGGGCCCTTTTTTCACTCAACATCTGATTAGTTAAATATTTCAATTGATCACCAAAAGGTTCACATCAATGTTCAACTTGTATTATTAGCCTCGTTACACTTGTAATTGAGTTTATCAATATTAACCCAGTTTTGTTTGAGGTAATTGTACTCAAAATCTGGTTCCAATTTTAGTAAAGATTTGCACAAAAGGTCAAATTGCCGGACTTAATATGAATCTTGATTAATTTAATGGTCATTGTTAATACAAATGTTTACTGTGAAAAGGCCTAGAAACTCATATTAATATTCAGTCTCATTATAATGCATCCTAAAGTAACCTAAAAATATCATAACCAAAACAAAGGAAAACGGAAATTTAGACAAGATATAGTTAAACAGTTAATTAAATAATATTAATCATCATTTAACAATCCAATTTAATGGATATGATTTCAATTAAGTCAAAATGTTGAATAGTCATGAGGCGTTCATTTTGTTGCAACCTTTATGAATCTATCAACCAAATAGGTAACCTGTAAAAGCCAAAGTTTAATCAATTTAATCACTTAGTCAATTGAATAATAAGATGTATCCAACAACATTATTGTCAATTGAGGTGGAAAATTTTTCCTCTATTAATAACATTATTGATCATGATGATGACAATACTGTTAATAATCTAGATAATCTTTAGTCTCTTGTCCATAGTTAATTAAAGTGTAATCTGGCTATCATAATGACATGATAAGCATGACAATCTCATGTTGAAAGTTTATCCATGTGAATGAATCGCTTCAAAAAGATTGACTGAAGAGGAAACTGTTCAGAGCGTTTGACTAACAGTTGATTAAAACATAATAAATAACAAATACAAAGTAATTAAAATGGGAAAAAATTACAAAATCTGAAAAACTATTTTATATTGTGAACTAGAGATGGCGCTGTTATTTTTCATTTCGTTGGTTTTTGCATTTTTTAAAAATAATTTAATCCAGATTCTCGAGGTTTTCAGAAATGTTTAATTATTTGTTTTTTGTTTCTCTATCCTTCTCTGTATCTTTAGCATCTTTACCATCCCGGATCGGGAGGAACACTTCACCGAAGTGGCCATTATGATCGTTCATATACTTGCTCATCACCACCCACCACTCATCGATCCACATGTACATTGCGTACCTGTAACACAGCTCATATGATATGCAACCATCCAGACTCAATTGGATCAAGTGGAGTCCATTATCCAAGTGAAGTTAGATATAAATTGTCTGAAATGAAAACAGGTTCAAGAGGAGCAAGTTGTATCACCACTTCAACCGGTGAACCCATTTGTAGTGGTAACAGTCAAGGAGGAGGAACAGGTGGAAGTGGTGGCTGTGGTGCTACATCGACAACACCTTTGATTTCACGACGCTCAATGGAACAATCAGAACCTCCGCCAACTCCAATAACCAAACATTCAACTGGAAAGTGTAAAAATCCGAATAAACTATTAGGAGTTTCACCAAGTGACATTGATAAATACTCTAGGGTTATATTTCCCGTCTGTTTCATATGTTTCAATCTTATGTATTGGATTATCTATCTTCACATCAGCAATGAACCCAATCCAGATTTAATTCAGCTGGGAAGTTAAATTAAATGTCAAAAATGAACCTAAAGAACAAAGAGAAACAACGATCAAGGCGAATCAAATAAACTAGGAAAAGAAACCAATAGCTATAAATGATCAAATAGTGACTCCAAATGATTGTTGGTTTGGACGGATTAGTGAATAGGAGAACTTTGAAACCTGAAAATTGTGATGAAGCAAATTTCAGACAACTCATGGTATTTGAAAAGGTGTAAAGAGACTCATTCAATGTATAAAACAGGGGAAATTGTTTAAAATCTATAATATGTTGAAATATGTTGAAATATGTTATTCAAGTTATCAAATGAATGAGTTTTCCTATCATCACCTTCCTTAATTTCAAGTATCATTTTTTGAAAACAAAAAATGTTTATCATTACTGTTATTATTACTATTCATTAATCAAAACTATTAGTCTTTCAAAGCAAAAAGAACAAAAAAGTTATCCTTGACATGAAATAATAGAAAGTGAAACAAAAGATTAATCTCAAGATGATTGAAAAGTTGTGTTGATAGTATCAAACATTTTCCTCCTTTCTTGCATCTTCTCCTTTATCATCATCATCTTCCTCATTTCTTAACATTTATTCACCTTTGTGCACTGTAATAGGTTGCTCTTCTCATCTAGTTCAGAGGTATTTAGTATATTTTTTTCGTGCAATGAATAAAGTTGAAGATAATTCTTCATTATCATCAACATTTTCCTCAATCATAAGTCTTTTCCTTTTCAACAAACCTTTCTCTTGCAACCTAACAGACGAAAGCACATTCATAATAATCCTGGATGATGAAGATAAAGGGAAGAAGAAGGGGCTTGTAGCATTTGAGCGAAAATCATTTTTGCCAAACTCTTTTGAGTGAAAGCTTTTTTGACGAAAGCTCTTTAAGAGAATTATGGAAAATGAAATTAATCTGTTTAATAAATTAAAGAGTTTTTCAATACATAATTTGTCTTAATTTTACTGTCTTATTGTCTACTGATTTTAATCATTGAAATTCATTTTTCGGGAACAGGATCAGGCAAGAGCAATTTGGTGCTTTACCGGTGGACAGGACTGGAATCGTCGTTCCAGATAGTTTAAAATGTAATTCTTCTGGACAAATTTTCTTCTTCGGGGATAAAATTATCAATTAATATCGATATCGGAAAAAATGGATTTCGCCCGACACATTTCTTTATGCGTTAGGCTGAAGTTTTTTGACGAGAACAATATTTAAAAATATTTTACGAAAATTTGCAACGTTAGGCAATTATTTCAATCAATTAGCGAGTCTAAGAGGTCAATCAAGGCAATTACTGATCATAAACATGAGGTTTTTCATCTAACGTTATGTTGCTTTGGATTTTGTTTTCATCAAAAAATTTGGTTTTCATAATTTTCACATAACAATGATATTTAAATTAATATTGTTGAATTATTGGACGTACAAAATGACCGACAATGAGCTTCAGAATTAGCTTTAATATCTTTCACTATTTAGTTATTTTATTGTTTTCATTTTATTGATTGATATTAAATTCAAACAGATTGTCTTGGATACTGATTTAAAAGTCTTGCTAGTTACGCCTTGTGTCCGTATAACTAAACTGTTACCAAAACTTCAGCATAGAGAAATGCCTGGGTCACTTTGAAAGGGCCAATAACTTTCGTTAATCAAAAAACGGGAACTTACTATTGTTACTTTTTATTTAACAGTAGATGGAGCTTTTAATGCATTAACAAAGTCATGCAATAAATCTATCAGATATGAGACTCGATGTTCGAGTATCTTCCTTTCTGATCCCATTTCTGAGAAATGGGGCGTTGTTAGAGTACTCGGTTTTGTCATGTGCGATATCCGTCTTTTAGGATATCGATATTTACCGATATTTTTATCGAAATTTAACATTGGTTTCAATGGAAGAGCAAAATATCGATAAATATCGAGCTATGGAATATCGATAATCATTATCGATAACCATAATATCGCACACCTCTAACTGAGTTCAGTTTGTTAAACTTGTTTTTTGTAACCTTACATTTTAATCGATTACACTGTTATGACCATTTGATTAATCTCTCGTCTTAATTTTTTTCTTGGTTTCTTAAACTATTTTTTTTCCATAAACTTTTAATCTTTTATTTTCATTCAATTATCTTTCTCACTTGTAAACATCATGGATAGAAGAATAGCTGAAAGGCTTATGGAATTACAAAATTTAACGGATCATCTTACCGCTAAAAGAAATGAGCTTATCTCTCATTATGAGAACATTGTTTACCTGACGAATCGAATTGACGAACTTCCAAAGACTTCAAGCATAAGGTAAAGTATATTTTGTCATTTTTCTGTTAATTTGTTATATGTACGAAGTACGAAAACCTTGATTTCTTTTATATCAATACATACATAGTTTTTGTTGCCAACCGATCAATATTTGTCGTAATTTGTCCTTGATAATTGAATATTTATTTAATTTTCATGCTTTTTCTCTGTTTATTTTTGCCGTTATTTTTCAATTTCAATAGCATGATTAAGTTTCAAAAGCAAAAGGAGATTTTGTTTAACAATTTGAATGAGGTTAAGATGACTTATCAACAGAAAGGGGAATATTGGACATCTCGATGTAGAGATTTAATAAACTCTACCACAGTTATGCTACCTGAAGTTCTTGAAAACGTCGATACATTTCGATATGAACAACAAATAGCTGGTAATGGTGCTCCAGTAGAAAATAATTTGGAACAAGTACAATCTTGGTGTGAAACTTTGGGCGGCATATGGCTAAATTTACGACACGAGCTGACATTGATGGCTACTTATTTTCCGCCATGGGAAGGAGATTTCAATAATATGAGACGTGATGTTGACAATATGGTTGGACAATTGGTGAAAAGGACTTTCATCGTTGAAAAGCAGCCACCTCAAGTTCTCAAAACAAATACTCGATTTCCATCAACAGTTCGATCTCTAATTGGCGGTCTACTCAGCTCTAATACGACAATTCATCATAGTCCCATCGTTAGAGCCTCGATTTTGAATGAATCGCAGGCTCGAATGTTAATGCAATCCCAGGATAATACATTAGTTGATTTAACCTCTGGTGCTATTTTAAATCGAGAATCCAACTTACAATGGCAGCCAACAACAAAGCAATCTATTGCCAATTTTCGAACTCTCATCTTGAAGAAAATTAACAGGACGGAAAAAAAAGGAACTGAATCTGTGACAGATGAAAAATTTGCTTTACTTTTCCAAGCAGTAATCAAATTAGCTGCCGGTGAGCTTGTTTTCTACGTCAAGGTAACTGATAGCTTTGCTAATTTTGTTTTTTGTTTCATTTGTATTGATTTTATCGCCTATTATACATTATTTTGTCTTTTTTTTTGCGTTGCATTTTGTAGACCTTATCACTGCCTTTGGTTGTTATTGTTCATGGTAATCAAGAAAACCATGCTTGGGCAACTGTTACTTGGGATAATGCATTCGCATCACCAGTAAGTTACATTTTCACATAATTTTATCACTTTTTATTGTCTTTATTCTAGATTTTCCTGTTAATCTTATCTGTCTGCTTGTGTGCCATTACAATAGCTCAATAAAGCCTCTTGTTATTGCTTTAATGATTTTCATTTCATTCACAATTTTTTTCACAATTTTATCTAATTTTCAAGGATCGAACACCTTTTGTTGTACCAGATAAAGTTCCATGGGCTAGAGTTGGGCAAGTTTTGAGCACCAAGTTTGGCGCATTCGTTGGCTGTGAACTTGCCACAGAAGATTTAAATTTTCTTGCTGGAAAAGCCTTCAGAGATTGGAATTTACCAGAATGTGATCAAATCTATTTAAGTTGGGCACAATTTGCAAAAGAACCTTTACCAGATCGTAACTTTACATTCTGGGAATGGTTTTATTCAATTTTAAAATTAACCCGGGAACATCTGAAGGATCTGTGGAGACCTGATAATAGATTGATATATGGTTTTATTGGTCGCAAGCAAACTGAAGATGCTTTGATGGATAAACCGGATGGAACCTTCCTTCTTCGATACAGCGAAACTGAACTCGGATGCATTACAATTGCATATAAAGCGGAAAATAGAACCGGGGATTTAAAATCTGTTTATATGATTAAACCATTTAGTCAAAAAGACATCCAAATTCGATCTCTACCAGACCGTATTAATGATCTCAAACATTTAAAATATTTATACCCAGAGATACCCAAAGATCAAGCTTTCGGTAAATTTTATGAACCATTGAGAGATGTCGAACCAACCGCTGAAGGATACATACCACCAGTACTTGTAACTCACATACCAGAGTAAGCTTCATCAATTTTATCTATTTCTCTTTTCATTTTTCTTTCAATTCATGTCAACCTTTTCTTAAAATACGTAACATTTGATGCTGTAGACTAAAGCAATTCATGTCAAATGGTTTCAATCCATCATACACTTTATTGATTCCATTCAATCTTTTCTCTGATTATATTTAGATGGGCCCCTGGAGGCGGTATCGATTCTTATCCAAGTACACCCCATTCCAATATTAATACTCAATCGCCATCAATGAATGAGATTTACGGAGATCCACCCAGTTCAGTGGGAAGTTTATCGAGTGATGTTCGCTTGAAGTAAGTTCAAACCAAGAGTGACTTCCTTTTCCTTCCACACTTGTTCCTCTTTGAACATTTCAAAGTTTTTTTTTGCTCGAATGTTTTTTGCTTTTGTTTTATATTATATTTACTTTAGTTATTGAAATTCCTTCCTTTCCTTTGTTTCCTTTTCTCTATTCTCTTTCCCTCTCTCTTTTTCCTTTCCTTTCTTTCTCTTCCTCTCTCTCTCTATCTCTGTCTCTTTTCCCTTCACGACTGCAGCAGTGTTATTACACCTGTAAATTTCATGCAAACGCACTCAAATTCCCATATGATCTGTGACTTTAATAGCTACTTTTAGGTCACCGACTAATTTTTATATTTAGATGTTTAAACTAAGTTTTATAAATGCATATCAGTGAACCCTTTCTATTAAATTAATTCTTTTTTTAACAAATATACAATTCAACAGAGGGATAAAATTAAACAGCTACCATTGCTCGTTTCATTTGAAAACATTTTAATCAAATTGAAACATCTTTCTACTAATTCAATTTATTCCCTCCAAATGTTGTTCTAAAAATATTTCTTAATGTTATTTCATTGTAATATTAACCGCCTAGAATCATTTTACTTTTTAACGAATGAAAGTCTTTTCATTTAAAATTGGCACCTTTTTTATCAGACGTTATTTTAAAACAAATGAAAACACTTATCAGTTTTACCTTCATTTATTGACTCAGCTTTAAACTCGAAAAGATGTATAATTGTTAGTTTACAAAGAAAAATATATTTTATCAATTACAACCTCGTTCTATTGAAAGCTAACAATCACATTTGGCAGAGTAAGTGGTGAATCAACACTTGTACAATTCAAACACATGATGTTCCATAATGATGAATAAAGTTATTGTTCCCAATCTTTTCACAAATTTCCTCTTAAGCCTATCAAACAATACAAAATGAAATTTTTGTAAACAAAGCGAAAACAAACTCTTCTCGATTTTCACTCTCTCTCTCTCTCTCTCCTTCTTTCATATCATCTTTTCTCTCTCTTCCCCTCTTTCTTACCTCTCTATCCTTCCCTTTCTCTCTTCCCTTTCTCTGTCTCTCTTTTGGGCTTTCAGTGTTGGACCAATGACATCCTTTCAAGATGTTGATTTCTTCAATATCATGGACGATGTTGATTATGATATGGACGATCTTCCTGCTGATTTATCTGGAGTTGGTCTTAATGAGCTTCTTGGCAATACGAATGGCTTCAATTGTTTCGGAACAACTCAGGAGGCCAAACACGAATAATTACAACGTTGAGTCCACGAAAGACTGAAACCTGTTTTTTCCTCTTTATCTTTATTTTTCTTAGAAAATCACAAATGAATTGAAAATTGATTCCAAATAATTTAAAAATTAATCTCTTCTAGTAGAGCAAATTAGCTCAACTCTACAAATCTCTATACTGTTCTCAATCTACTTAAACTGATTCTCCCTTGAAGGATGTTAATTAGGAGGAATTCATCTTCATCATATTTTCAATATAAAAACATATTCATTGTGTATAGTGAGCAAAACAATCTATTTATGTACAAAATTATTAAACCTGAAAAACTGATTCAACTAAATCTATAAAAGTCTTCATCTTTGCAACAAACGAGACGAGCATTTCACTCATTATGGAACTGTAATTGATCCACTGACAATGAACAGAGGAGCTTTCAAACATTTCAAGTAATGTACCAGAATTTCATCTGATAAATCAACATCTTGTTAATTTTTTCATCTTATCTTTTCAGATTGTACAGAAAACCCAACCAATTTAATTTTACGAGCAATAAGATGCTGATAAAATCAGCTTTTATGACAGGAAAATTAAGCTCTCCAATTGTAAAGACTTAAAGTTGATTTGAAGCTGTTAAAAATGTTGATACATTCCATTGAACTTGCATTCGTATTCAGATCTTGACTCTGAATTGAGGATACATTGGATAAATACTTATCAATATGGAAAAATGATTATCATGAAAATTCAGAGGATTATGATTTGGCAATTGAAACGCTGCAAAGAAAATAACCAATTTTGGAGATGAAAGGAGACTTTCCATTTACTAACCCATCTTCAATTGAATGAGCCTTGTTTTTGGTTGAATAATTCACAGAATTTACAAACCTTCAAAACTCAAATTCGTTGATGAAATCTTAAATCAATAATTGCGTGATCATGGTCAAATCAAAGTTGCAATAATAATCAGCAGTTGAGTGATTAACTGTAGATTTTCGCTTGATTGTTGAAAAATTCTCAGGATTGGAGCGAAAGGAATCAGCCAAGAGTGGTTAATTTACTTTACTTTTAAGTTGATTCCATACCAACAACTTGTCTTTCATCAAGGTAAGCTTGAATAATATTAATAATTGTTTGAATTTACTTCGCATGTGTAATTTAAAAATGAATCCTTCATATTTACTTTACTTTGGTTTTTTCCAATATTGTGAACTTTAGCCCGTATTTCCAAATTAGATTGTTGTTATGACCAAGAAATCTGTGATATCCTTCTAAACATACATGTTGTCTCTGAAAAGTCATTTTTGAATTTTTATTTAATAATTTACAATTTTCAAATTTATTTTTAGGTTTCGACGTTTATGAACGCTGTTTGACCCGGACTGGACGTGTTTAGACAAAACCTTGATCAGATGTGGCCTGTAAAGACAAGGCATTACCGATTTCACATTTTGCGAAGGGTCCGCGACTAGTTTAAAATGAACGCGGAAATACCTGAAGGATTTGTGAAACCCGATAACATAATAGAGCCAGTTTCATTGATCGCAAGTTAAACTGGAGATCCTTCAACAGATGGAACCTACCTTTTCAGCTGAAATCTGAAATTAAACGCATTAGAACTGCTTGAAACAAGCAATGAAGAAATGAAATTCCTGTTCGTGTGATGATTGAGTCAAAAAAATTTCAACTCGATCTCTACCTGATCTTATTGGTTGGATATGATGGGCTTTGCATTTTTGCTGCAGTGAAGTTCAATGCGAGTTATGATTGCCTGTTCAGTAAAAGAAGCAGATGGGTCTAAATGGTTAAATTATATAGTCAAGTGAATTTCCATGCACATGTTCGTTACCTGACTGAGCAAACTTAATCAAATTTCTCATCGTAACTGCGATTGTTCCAATTGTTATTTTCACAAAAAAGTGGTTTCAGAAATTCCTTTCGATTAACAACTTTGACTTTCAACTGGAGCTTTCATCCAATCCATATCTATCCAAGTTTTTTTTCTGTAACATGAGAAATAAATCATAAGTTGCTTTGAACATATATTATAAATTAGATGATTTGAAGCTTGATATTCTGTAATTAGTTATTTTTGAGTAAATTTTACCTAAATTGATTGATTGATGATATAAAATTTTACATATAATGAATGATAATCATGGCACATGTAATGATGATTTATGAATTAGTTTCAACTAATGAGTAGATTCGGTTAAATATTTTATATAAATGAAACGGATAAAATTTTGATCAGATTAGTATCATTCTATCAAGAGTATATACAATCACTGTGTTAAATCATTCTGTACATTAAATAATTTTCAAAATGAAACTACAAATTGCTCTGATCGGACTCTGTTGTGTATCTGTAAGTATAATGAAGCTCAAAGCTATTTCCAAGTGAAATTTTCTGCTAACAATTAAAATGTGTAAAGCTTGTAAAAATTAAATTTCTCAAAAATCTCAATTTAAACTAATTCAATCTAAATTCAATCGCTTTCCATTATAGTTTGCTCTTGGAAATGAAATGTCACTCCAAGCAACAGTAAGTTTCCAGATGACATTACAATGGACAATAAGGAAGTTGATTTTACTTACATTTTTATTACTTATGTTTTACCTTACAGAATCTTGAATCTCGTAATCTCAATGAACGGGCTAATCCAATGATGATGGGAGCAAACCCAATGAACCATGTTATGAACCAGTTGAAGTCCATGGAAAAACAAATGGGAGTGATTCAAGAAACTCTTCGACGAAACCATGCAAGGAAAAATTCGTTGACAATGAGACAGTTAAAAGACGCTATGGATGAGGCAACCAGAAACATAAAGGATATGAGCAATAACGCTATGCGAAAAATTACTTCCAATGCTGCCTCACTTGGTGGACGTTCATTGGGATCAACTATGAACCAACAATTAGCTGGATTAACATCAGGACAATCATCTGCCGCTGCATCCACTTCATCCAAAGCTGCAGCCAACTTTTAAGGCTACAAAAAATGAAACGCATTAAAAACTAGAGTCAAAACAAATTTTGATTTTTCCATCGTAACTTGATTCATTCAGTTGAATGGTCAAAGCTGTATCGTAGTTAACAAAGTTGAATTTAATTGCTCTTCAATCTAAAACCCTTAATCAAAATTAAAGGTTGATCTAAATATTTTAAAATAAAAGTATTTCACTGTTACTCACTTGTTGAAACTTGAAAATCCATCGATTATCAATCATTGGGCTTTATTGAACAATATCCTTATAAAATCACAATTGAATCGACAATTTACTAGAGACGTCATTGAATGAAGCAACACAAATATAATCATTTAAATCAACTGAATGATCAAAACTCATAGCAGTAAAGGTTTGGTAGCATTTAGTAGTTGAGGAAATGGGAACAAACTTTGTCCTGGCAAATTTAGTTGGTAAAACTGTGAGTCCAACTGGTGATGATAAGGAGAAAGATGATGAGAGCAAACAAATGGTAAAGATTATTTTTCTGAGAAATGATTTGATCTTTTCTAGGAAGTAAGGACTAGATACTTGATTATCATGGTAACCATGGAGGTTGAATTTCTCGTTAAACCAATCATCAATTCAAGTTAACTGTTTATAACAGAATGGGTACAAGCTATTGTAATGATAAGAATAGGTGCTGAGCAATTACTGGGAAAAACTTGAATGATCAATAGGTACAGATATAAATTGATTAATTGTTGCAAATTCACATCTTGGTAAGGTTAAATAACAAAGATGAACATCCATCAGTCACTTTATTACCTGATTTTTTTATTTGATAGAAAGAAATAAAATAAATATTTGAGTTAAGATAAAACAGATTCTGAATAATTTTATAGCAACAGAGATATTTTACACCTGACAACAGACACAATACAATATAAGAAATTTATTATACAATCTTAAATGATATCACTTGAGATTAGTAAAGTAAGTACAGCTTAGGGTAAAAGTACTGGCATAATTCATGTTAATTTTGGATCAGCACAATTAGCTTGTATTTATAAAGGTTTTGAGTACAGTTACACGAAGATAACTCACTTGAACGTTGACATTTTTATTAATCTTCATATTTCAGACTATTAACAATGAAAAATAGAGTCAAATACAAGTTTCCAAGAACTGAATAATGAAAATCTCAAGATGGAAACAAAATATTAATATAATATTTAAATTGGGCCTGATTACCCTCAAGAAAATGACCTCTGAAATAAAATTAAGATCATCGCTATAGATCTCATTTTTATGGCCTCGCAATTAAAGTCTTAACTCTCAACTCATGTTCTTGTCTATGCTTCTTTTCGTAGTAATTATAGCCAGTGAGCTCGTAAACTACAATTTTAGTCCAACTAAATTGACTTGTTGCTTTCAGTCTTGAAAATTTTACCCAGAGAGGAAAGTGAAAATGAAATTAGCTAAACGTATTCGTAGAAATGCCTTTAATTTCACTCGGAAAGTAAAGTGACCCTTGAGATTGCTAGAATTTCAATAGTCTTTAACATGGCAATTACAAACAATGTTACTTTAATAGCCCTTGATTTAGAAGAAACGAAATTTCAACGAAAAGTTATTGAACAATTTGTCTTACAATTTATCAATTTAATAGAGACCTGAATCTTACAACACTGCCATCTTGTGAATAAAATATTCTTGTGTTCCTTACGCATGACTTTACTGCTTTCTTTACAGCTGTGAATTACAATTACAATTGTTTATTTATCTTTAATTTAGAAAAATTTGTTTATTATCAACCTCCATAATTTATAAACTGTGATTTTTAAAAGTCCAGAATGTCGGAAAGAAAGGTTTTAAATGTAAGTAAATTTAATCTACTTTAAATTTGATCTTTTGTACATCTTTATTTACTAATTTTTATGTTTGTTTTCTTAGAAATACTATCCACCGGATTTCGATCCCAGTAAAGTTCCTCGGCTTCGCCATCCCAAAACTAGACAGTACACTGTACGTATCATGGTACCATTCAACATGCAGTGCAATACTTGTGGAGACTATATCGCCAAAGCAAAAAAATTCAATGCGAGAAAGGAAACTATTGAAAATGAAAGCTATCTTGGTTTGAAAGTTTTCCGTTTTTATTTCAAGTGTCCAGTTTGTATGGCAGAAATAACCTTCAAAACAGATCCAAAAAGCTACGATTATGAACTTGAACATGGAGCAACCCGAAATTTTCAAGCACTTCGTTTATCCGAACAAAAAGCTCTCGAAGAAGCCAAAGAAAAAGAAGAAGAGGTGAAATCAAATCCAATTAAATTATTAGAGGAGCGTCAGTTAGCTTCACGTCGAGAAATGGAGGAATTGGAAGAATTAGAAGAACTTAAAGATCAAAGTGATAAAAAAGTCGTGGTCAATTTTGAAGAAATTTTAGCTAAAAAGAGAGATAAAGCTAAAGAAGAAGCAATCTTAGAGGCTCGAAGACAAGAAGAAGAAGATGAAGCTCTTATAAAAAGTATTATGGCTGAAAAAGCAAAATTAGCTCCGTCCACTTCTACTGCATCTGCAACGAAAACATCATCATTCACCTCATTTGCACCGCCGAAACCGTCTACTAGCAAACAATCTATGAAAAGAAAGTTATCCAGTTTAATTAAAATCAAGGAACCTGATCGACCAGCTAAAAAACCATCTGATTGACAACTGTATCATAAATGTAACTATTGAGGATTAATCAATACAACTATAGTAAAATTATTTTGATAGATTAATTTATATTGACTTACTTTTTAATCACTTTTCAGCACCAAACCATTTTTACCTAATTTAATCAAGACTTGTGAATGGAGGATTGATTTATTGTGTTGAAAAGATCCTCTATTGGCTTCTTGTAAATTCATTTCAAATCAATTGGAACCTATGAATCTGATGAACTATTAAATTTGTGTGATTAAACATGAAGCGAGACCTAATTACGATTTGACAAAATCATTAGACCAATCAGCTATTTAACCGTTAAAAGTGTAGTTTCGTATGTTCAAAAAACAAGAACAATCTTGGAGTGAACTCGTTTGACAAATCAAAATTTTCTCGTCGCTCATAAAGTCTCACCTTTTAATCAAATAATGATCCACAACTTTCACTTTCATTATCGAGCAAATTGAACTTTCAAGCAATAATCGATAATGAATATTTCTCTCAATCAAAGCGTATTATTCAAGTCAATTATGACCAACAATCATGCTAATATGAATTGAATTTTGTTTTATGCTTTAATTGATGAAACCAACTAATAGTAAGCAGTTAAAGTTACTTATAAATCAATTCCTGAAAAGTTAAAAATTCAACTGATTGTGTTTATTTAAACTTTCAGCCTCCAGTAAAAACCAGATAAACTTGATATATTAACCGGGTCACTTGCGATTCCCATTAATTTATAACATTATCATTAACATTACAGCAACAACAAACGATAATCATATGTTATGTAAAGTAATGGATAACAATTATGTGTTGAAAATGGAAAGATTGAGTGGAAATGATTACAATTTGATAAAATCATTGAGATTTCCAATCATATTTGAAGAGGTAAAAAGCCCTTTTAAATCCAACAATAAGTTACCTCCAAAAAGCATCATTTCAAGTAAAAAAGCAGACCTTTTCAGAATTTTTTTCTTCCTTTTTCCTTCTTTCACCATAACACAGGTTGAATTGATGATGAACAGAGTGATTAGTTGATTGTGAAGCATCGCGAAAACGAAATAAAGGTAAATTGCTTTGAAATCAGCAACCCTGTTTGATTAGCATTAAACTGAGTAATGGTTAACGGCTATTTAGCTTGATTCAAAGTGTCACTGTCACTACGATAAGATTTTTAATTAAATCATTAATTGTCCTTGGTTTGAAGACTTACCTTTTTTCATTTGATCGGAAAACAAAGCAAAAACACTTCAATTTTTGTCAAAGTGTGATCCATCAATTGATTGTGATTACTTGCTCATATTGTCTTCATTATTTGTCCTGTAATGAAAAACTTGTTTTCATCTAATCATATTTTACTGCATTTAACTCGCTTTTTAAATTGTAACCTTTCGATGTCTACTAATCTTACAATTAAGTCTTGTTCTTGGTTTTTTTCGTTGAGTATTAATCATCTTCACCATCTTGATTAACGTTTAATTTTACCTTCTCAAAGTTGGGTGAAAACATTGAATCAACTTGACAAGGTTTCCTCTTTTTTCCTCATAATCATTTTATTTGTTCATTTTGATTGAATATATTTTGTAATTTTGTTTATTAACATTTGCCATTACATTACAATTTTGTTCATTGACAATTGGTTTTGTGGTCAGCTGATGCTTAAGCTATTATCGAGGATGATCACAATAAGATTACATGGGACTGTAGGTAGACATTTGCTTATGTAATAGCAATCACAGACGAAATGGTAATTTGATGGGAAACAATTTGGTTTTACTATTATTAACTGATAATTAAATTTAATTTGACAACAGTGCGATTGTACTAAATATGTTCAACATTCGTTTCCATCAAATTATCTTTCATTCATTTTTCGATATACCTCTATCATAATCATGTTGCCTGATTTAATGATATTCAGATGATTGATGCTTTTTTGCTGCTTCTATTTATAATAATAGAGTGAATTTTTTTTTGATGAAGTGAAAAGTTGAATTGACTGGAAGTTGTGTTATAAAAGTATAAGAAATGCCTTCGTTTGTATCAAAAATTGACAAATTTTGTCATTGAAAAAAGGTCAATTGCTCGGTGATTTAAATCATCTGTGAATAATTTCCAATACATTCACAATTTGTCTACGTAAAGTGTTTTTTTGGTAACAACAAAATTTCAAAAATGTAGTCAATTTGAAATGTATTTTATAGCTTTGATGATTGGTCATCAATTTTAAAAGACGATTCTCACAAAAACAGCCGTAACAGCATAAAAGATCAAGGAATGAATAAGTGAATTGAAGACAATTGCATCTTCCAATCCACAGCCTTTAACCATTATCCTGATTGATCCTCTAATTATTTCTGGGTAAGGGAAAAAGTATCTGAATGATCTCATGAAATAAGGCAAACCTTCTTCAGGCCAAAGGATTCCGCAAGTAGCTAAGCCAACCATACAATAAGCAACAGCAAGCATAAATATAAACATTTGATCAAATTTAAGAACAGCAAATAAAAATGAAACTGGAAGAGCGGCCAGAATATTGAGAAAGTAAAAGAGTAAAAGTAATGGAAATGATCCTTGGCACGGAGCTTTCAAATATTCAAGAGCGATATACCAGACAGGGCCAGAAGTTAGGATAGGAATCAAGGTGTTTGTTATCATGTGGCTTAGTAAGATATGAGTTGGACCAGCTCCAGCGGCATAAGTACGTTCGAGAATAGCGTCTTTACGATCACGGAGAAGTGAATAGATTGATAAGAGGAAACCAGTTACATGAGCAATGTAAAATATGGCAACAGGCATGAAGAAAGTCTTGGATCCAGTTAGATCAGATGGATCAGATAAATCATAGATTGGATCTCCTTGGGTAATGGGCCAAGTTGCCATCATTGGGTTAAGAGAAAGGTTGGCCAACATTTGTGGTCCCGCTGTTCTGAGACCTCGAGTTAAGGATTGTTCAATTATTTGGAAAACAATCTTCTCAAAAGCATCACCAACATAACGAACTTGAGCATTTTCAATGAAATCTCGGTACTCTTGGTCAATTGGCTCTCGGAAATGGTACTTTAAAGGTGCATATGAGGAATAGAAGCGTGGGAAATGTAGAAATCCATGAATTGATTTATCTTCCACAGCAGCATATGCTGACTCTAAATCATTGAAAGGAATTATTTGGATGACCTCTGAATTAATATTGTCCAAGACAATTTGGCTTGCTCGAGGTGGATCCTCTTCATTAAATAAACCTACAGCCATATGTTTAGGTGTAGTACCATAGATTGTTGCATAAAGGTAAACCAGATAGGCAATAACAAAGGAAGCACCTAAAATATACCAACGCATTTTGGTGAAACGAAGAAACACTCGACTGAAAACAGCGGTAAACAAACTCCATTGTATGATTAGGTTTGTTTTGCTTAGACAATTAAACGTGTTGGATGATTGAGATGAAGAGGAATCCTCAGATTGTTGCTGACCACTTGATTCGTGTTGAGTGTTGAAAGATGATGAAGAACAAGAGGAATTTTGTTCACAAACATTTTGACCAGATAAAGGTCTTTCTTGTCGACACATGATGGCAAAGGTTTCCTCTAAAGTTGGTACTCCATAACGAGCTAAAATAGCATCAGGTGATTCTTGAGCTAAGATTGACCCTTTTCTCATAAATCCAATTAAATTTGTTCGTCTAGCTTCTTCAATGTAATGAGTTGTAATTATTACGGTGGTTAGTTTAGTTGATGTCATTTTGAAGATAATATTCCACATGTTTTCTCGAACTAAAGGATCACAACCAACAGTTGGCTCATCCAAAATTATCAATTTGGGTTCATGGATGATTGAACAAATAAAAGATACCCTGCGTTTCTGTCCACCCGATAATTTACCAATCAAACGAGTCGAAGGTGGAAGACCAAGAGTTTTAAGAAGTGAGGTTAAACGTTGTTGAACACCGGCCAAAGGAACACGATACAGACGAGCAAAATAAATGGCTGATTCAGCAATGGTAAAGTCACTATCCAATGATATGTCTTGAGGCATGTAACCTAAATTAGGTCCAGGAATACCTAAAGATGGATCTCCTGGATTAAGACCAAACAGTTTAATTGAACCTTTCACTGGTCTAAAAAATCCGGTGAGACATCGAAGGAAGGTTGTCTTACCACAACCAGATGGTCCAATCAAACAGTAAACACAACCTTGCGGTATGTTCATGGAAAGATTGTTAAGAGCAAGAAAAAGCTTCTCTCCTTTGGCATAGCTTAGCACTAATTTGTCAGCAACAACAGCGGCTTTTGTTGTGTCTGATTTACAGTTAACACTGACTGTACAATCAACTTGAGACATTTTCTTCACTTTAAGTCAATCTTTTAATCAATGATAGACAATTGTCCCACAAATTAACACATTAACAAACTGAGAGGAATGTTTAATCAGAATTAGCATTGAGATGAATGTTTAACTGATCATTTGTTGAAAACTTTACACTGTAACACATGAAAGTAAATGGATTGAAATTGATTGCATATTTTAAGACAAGTTAACTAAGGGCTACTTCTGGACCCAAAGGTTACAGTTTACAGAATAGGTCAGTGCTCTTATTTAATCGCCTTAATCACAATTAGAAAGGAGGAAGACGGTGATGCAAGAAGGGGAAAGAGAGTGGAATGAGTAGAAACAAAAAAAGAAGCGAAGAAGCAAAAGGATGGACTTTGATAGTGGATTGGAATGAAAAGTTGACTGAAGAGTTCAGATGAATTTAATTTCAATCCGTCTACATGATGAGGGAGATTGAGAGGAGGAGAAGGAAAGAGGGAGAAGGTGAAAACTTGCTGTCCTAAAAGTAAAAATAAGGAAAGGAAAACGTTTTTTCGCATTTTCGCTTTCTTTCAGGTTAATGGTTCTAACTTAACCCGAAGGTTTCGATCTTTCTTTCCAATTTCAATTGCTTCTTTTTTATACTTTTTTCACTTCTTGTTTTTTTTACTTTTGGTCCGCAAAAAGATTTTTTGAAAGCATCGCTGAAACATTTAAGCTTTCCTCAAAACGAGCTGATCAAATGGAATCACAATTATCAACAATTAATCCAAGCTTCATCATTTTGTACAAATTCAATTGGTTTGTTTTGAAATTTTGAAACTACAATTGATGAATCCAATTTTGGTCAGCCCTTGAAATGTTTAGTCAAATGATTGGTTGAAGGGTTAAGTTTATTGATGAATTTAATTGTTTAAAACAGGCAACATGGCTGATCGGATTAAATAAAAGATTGAAGCTGACATCAGGATAACCATTTTTCAATGATAAAATAATGAGGAAAGATCAACTTTTGTATGCATGAGTAAATTAAAACATAACGCTACAGTAAACCAAATCTGCTTCTTATTGAATGTAATTACTTGCTTCCCTGTCGATATCATCGGGAACTTGTCCGATCAATGGATCATTTTTCCAGTAATAAGTGGGAGGTCCGGATGAGAAGCAGTATTTTTCATCCAATTCATCATCACCATCAACCCAGAACATTATATAAAAATTACACATCTCATCATCACCAGTTGGTCCAACTGAAACTGGATGAGATAAATAGTTATCCATTGTACACCGAGCTGCTAAAACATCATTTTCTTTTATTATCAGAGATTCATTATTTATGGGATAAAACATCTGAAAATGATGATAAATGAAGAAAAAAAATACGAATCAAACAATGGTTATTCAATGACAAGATGATTTATGAACAGTGTTTACGTTCACAACACCCAAAGATAAAAAATACCTGAGGTTTTTGAGGATCGCGTTTTCCAAGTAACTTCCACTTTCCATCTTCAATAAGCCATCCTGTAACCAACTTACCCAGCTTATGGGTATGTGTACGGAAAGCAAATGGATGCATCAAAATAGGTTGACTAATTTTACAAGAAGTTTCCATGTGTTCAATTGATTTAGCAGGAATAGAACCCTGGGTTCCTAATAGAAGTACACCGGCTCTTTTGTTAACTCTGTTGGCTGAGTCTGGGGTTATTGAAAGTATGATTCCTGATTGATCACGGTCACCTTTGAGGAATCGATCAACTTTAGCATAGTGAACTTGAAGGACTAGAAATGCTATATCTGTGCCTTTACCCACTTTGAAACCTACTTTATCTGGTAAGACTAGACTTGGGGCGTCCATTGCCCAAGCATAAATGATTGAATAGGTTCCTGTACAGACTGGTGCTCGAAGGTAAGGTGAATCTGGACCAACAACGCCAGACATTTCACCGCATTCCCAAACAGCTCTAGGACTGTCTCGTACATGATATCCTGGGACTTTGCAGCCATAAATGATAATATGATGAGCTGTTTCCATTGTTGCGTTTGGAATGAATTCAACTATGTATTCAGTTCTATACCGAGGCATTCGGAATGCTGTACATAGATACGAGTCTTTCTAAATGGATAGAGGTCACAGTAATACAAGAAAATAAAAAATTAGCATAAATTGAAGGCATAATATTCAATAACTTTACAACTTTTAGATTTTCAGATTTGAAATTATGAAAACAGTTGATAACACGTTAATCATTGAATCATCTGATAAAAATAATTCTTTCAGAAGGTTACATCGACATGGTTTTACTAGGTTTTCAATATGCTAGGGTTATAATGACATAAAAACAATCGATTACTTACCGTATTGGGTTGAACTTGAGGCATCAACATTGGAAAGTGTTTCAAGTTCATATTAGTTGATTGAGCAAAAGGAACAGCAAAAGACAAGAAAATAATTGCTAATGTTAATATTTTCTTCATTGCCAGATCATGATGATTATTTGAACACAAATTGTTACCATTAAAAAGATACATCTTAAATATTTAATATTTTATAGCTAAACTAATTGAGACGAATTTAATTTAAAAATAACAGGAAGAAACATTTTGTTGACTTGATTTTTGTAGATCTAAATGTTGAACAAATATCCGACGTTAACAGCTGAAAACATTTTAAATACTGAATTAAAGCGTTCAACGTGATGTATATTGCTGAACGTTCAGAACTTGTGAGTAACAGTCATTGCATTTTGTATTACAATAGCATTGATCCGTTACAAATTTTGACTTTGATTTTAAAGCGCTCATTTCAATTGTTTTATTTACATTCAATTCCAATAGTTATCTGATTTCAAGTTTTAAGTTCATCTTTTAAATGGAGATATTTTTTCGTGGTGAACATTTTATCATATTTTTGTGGATGAAATAAAATTGTAAAGGATATTTCAAAATGATGAAAAATTCGAATAATTTTTATTTATTGTGATTCTTTGCCAATGGTCATTTTGTTACCATACCTATACAGCAATGTGAATCTCTACAAGTTTTTAAGTATTGAATATGAAAACAAATATATCTTTAAATATTTAAAGTGAAATTTTTGTTTTAAAAAAATTAATCTCATAATTTTTGTCAAAAAAGGAAAGGGATAAAGGGAAGATTAATTTCTTTTGAATGAGTTGGTAAAGGATAAATTAATGGCGTAGATCAGAAATGGGTCGTATATGATTAGATAATGAATGGTCGATGATATACATATTTAACCAAGAATTGATTTTACCCTTTTTCTAGTTCTTTGTTGACTTGATTGCTTTTTAAAGCTGTTCCTTTCTTTAGTGGGTCTTAATTCCTGTAATTTTTCATTGGTAAAAACATCATTTTTATGCTTGATATCAACTGTAGAAATTAAGGTGAAAGATGATATAATGCACTGACAATTGAAATGTAATCGTTTTTTCTGGGCTAATTGCGTTTGTTGAAGGATTCAATGGCTATGGCTGAAGACCCTCAGGATACAAAACATTATCAGAGTCTGTAAATATTGCACGATCCAGTGTTGTTTTACAAAAGAAACAATCAGAATGTTTCATAAAATGTCTTGCAATACAAGCCCTATAGAAATGAAAAATCAATAGATTAGTAACTTAAAATTTACTGATTATAGTAATGATGTGAATTACCTGCAAGATTGGTGTCCACATGGAATAAAGTTAGCAGTCTTCTTATCTGCATAACAAATTGTGCATAGTTCGTCTTCATCAATATGTTCAACACTTTTAGACAACTCTTCTGTATGGTGACGAGCCAATAAAAGATTAACGGCTTTGTGGAGTAGATCTATCTCTGTTGGTGAAACTTCACTGAATTGTTCGAACTGGAAGCGTCTTCTTGCTGAACTCGGATTTTGTCCAATAAGAAAATAATAGCTGCTAGGAAGAAAATTGGCATCCGTTATGATTGCATTGATTGCCTTTTCACAATCATCTGGTTCACGTCCTAGCAACACAAGTGCTATGAGTAGGCCAGCGACAGCACTTAATATTGGAAAATGGTTTACTAATTCAAGACCAATCATGTCTAAATCTATCACATACTCAAATGATCCAGTTGGAACAGTTACTCGATTCAGTATTTGATTCAATGTGGAGCATAATTGATTAATTATGTAGCCATTTCCATGGGTTGAAATTATAAGACTATGATTGTTGCAAACAATCATTTCGAGGACTCTTAATAAAGAAAGAGAGAGATCAAAACAGGTACAGCATATTTTCAGCTGCCGAGCATCGACGAAAACCTTCTCAGGTCTTTGAGCATTATTTTGAATCTCTTGAAGCATTCCAATGAATTCTGAGAATGACCAGTTAAGTTGACAAATAATAGAGGAGATGAAAGAATTGGAAACTTCGGGATTAGCAGTGAGATAATCAGTCAATTCTTTTTGGAAAACAGGAGATGGACAGGCCTTTAGATAACTTAAATTAGAGAAAATTTCTCGGTTACTATGTGAACTAGTTAGCTTGAAAGCCATATTTGATGGGGAAGCATATTTGAAAGCAAATCCATTTCCTTTCCACATTCGGAGAAGTATCCAATTGGATTGACCCCAAGCTCGATTCTCATAGGGTGCAGTAAGAGATTTTATCATCTTTGTGCGACTAGACTGCGGAATATTCTCCAAAATGCGCAAAGTTTCAGGATTAGAAACAAGAGAAGCCAAAGCCTGAGCAATGCTTTCACGGAGATCAGCGTTGACGATTCTTTCGTCTCCAAAATGGGAAGCGATAAAAATGCACAATTGTTGTAATAATTCGTGATATTCTTTTTCATGTTCAGGATTGAATAGTCCAGAGTAAGTTGGACTTCCTTTGTATTTGGCAGAAATGGTGGATCCGAAATAGAAACGCATCGCATAACTGAGGTTAAGACAAGATTCAATGTGATAGTCAGGTATAAAACTAAACAGATAGCTACAAGAAGAAGCATGATCTAGAGTATTCAAGAGTAATTTAAGAAGCCAGTAGATATCAGCTCGCTTTGAAGCAGTTAAAACAGTCGAATTAATTAAAGCCATTTGTCGAGCTCTAATGAGAAATTCTTTTTCTAATACTTTGGTTGTATTTTGTATTATTGTTTGGCTTTCATCACTCACATTTTCCATTTTTTTCAATTCTTCTAATGCATCAGCAAGTTCCAATAGATGTTCTCGTATAGCACAATATTTACTCAATTGTTTATGAGCACCAGTTGGATAAAGTCTGACCAAGCCATCAATAATGGCGTAAACATGTTTCAAAAGTGGATTCAGTGTTGATGAGGTCTCTATGTATTTGCTTATTTCTTTTTCATAAGTTTTGTTCAGGTGAGTAACCAATCCTCCAACTCTACAGGTTTCTGTTGAAATAGAAATGGGATCAACAAAAAAGCTGATCGGTAGGACATTGATCATAGATTCATATTGAACGCGAATCAGTGAAGTTAAACGGTGAAAAATGGCAAGAGTTGCTGGTGAAGAGCCTGGAGCTTCTAAACCATTGGAGATCAAGCGAGGATTCAAACTGCTCGTGGTTTCCTTAAGGAAATTGTCAAATTTGGTAAGAAATATCACCCGACAGATTTCGTCTTGAAAAATCAAAGTATCTAGTATCATTTGATGAAGTGACTCTAACTCCATAAGAGCATTTTCAATTTCATTGCTTCTTAAAATTTTGTATGCCTCGGGAGACGCAAGACTTTGTAATGTGAGGTTGGGAAAAATTTCTCTTTCAAGTAAATCATCATCCATTACAGTTCGTCCGATAAAAAGCTGTGGAAACTTAACTTTATCAAAAAGTACATGGTTCAACAGATAAATCCTAGTTGGAGGATGTTGAACCAAAGATAGAGCAACCAGAAGATATTGTTTTTGAGATGAAATGCTGTAAGAGAATAAAATTTAAAAATTATTTCCAATGGGAAAATAGGAAAGGTTATTTCAATGGATTGTAACTTACCAGAATGAAGAGGACAATGATGATTGAGATGAAAGATGATAGGCATCGAGAAGTGTATGAAAGGAGGTTGATTCTGTATTAGATGCAGTTGCTGAGGCACTCGATTTATCGTCAAATTGTGAAAAATGGTAAGCGTTGACAAGAGAGGTTACAAGATGATCAATACAATCATGAATTTGAGATTTTTCCATGAGAGCCCAAAGAAGATCGAGTAATCCATGAATTATTTGGCTATTATTGCAGATCAACAATTTTTTCAATAAACATTGCTCATTAATGTATTTGTTGGTTAAAAGATTACTTAGACGCTTGAGAACCAAGTTAGCCAATAGAAATGAGCTGATGTTGAGATTAGAATTCGGTGAATTAACAATAAAATGAGTTGGTAACCATTCATTACTGATTTTCATTGGTATAAGAGCAAATAACCATCCCAACATAAGGTCAGCCTTGCGGATATTAACATGAGGTATGGCCTCGAGAGGTTGGTATCCTTTGATTGGATATTTAAATGGGGTAGCACCAAAATTGGCAATTAAAGATTCATTAGATCCTAAGCTGACTGCAGGAAAATAGGCAAAACCAAGACCTAATCTAACATGATTAAATGCTTGTCCTAAATGTCGTCCATTTCTGTAAAAATCTATAGATCCTTTGTCTAAGTCTATTGTACAACCAATAACATCTCCTGTATGCCAGTGTTCGCCATATTTATTGGTAGTTAGGTTCCATTTTCTCATACGACTGCCATCAAAGGCATAGGAATCTCTAGTATCACCGACTCCTTGTTGATGAGAAAAATTACATCGATAGGTTGCCCAACCGAGCTGCATTATTCCTTTAGAAGTGAGCATAATTTCATACATCCACTTGCCTTTGTAAACAGCTACATTTCCTTTCACAGAGGAAAATTCATGATGACCAGAAAGAGACAACTTGTCGTAACCCATTTTAAGAGAGCCAACATTGGTAGAAAGATCAAATGTAACATGAACAGGACCTAAACGCCCTTCAGATGACCAGTAATTGCAAGATTTGGTAGACGAAGATTGATCTGCTATTCGTTCAGTTTCAATTATTTCTTCTAATTCTTTCAATTTTCTTTCAATATAGTAATCGAGGACCTCATAAGAAATTGAGGGCTGGCCAAACTCAATAAACGGTTCTTTGACAGGACAACTATCAATATCCATATCGCCAGACTCGTTACAGCCTATTGGAGAATTGAATTGATCTAACCTTCCAAATATTCTCGAAGTGTTTCCCCCATCTCCAGTTGAACTTGAGCCATGTAAGCCTAAGAAGACTCGGGCAAAGGTCTCGTGATCTAATTCAAGAAAAAAGAGATTATATTTTGTTTAAATTTCGTGATTATTTTTTAGAAAATGAAAAGCGAAAAAGCAAAGAAGATAAACAAGTTTTTCATCTGAAGTCTCACAGGAAAAAAAACTGGATAAGCGTATTTGAGAGTAAACAACTGAGAACAATAAATTTGCAGAGAAAAATAAAAAATTCAAAAATAAGTAAAAGAAATGAAAGCTTGATTTTAAATAAATGCTGACAAATTAGCTATTTAAAGTCAATAGAAGAGAAAATTTCGCAACTGGGTATTCAATTTGTGTAGGCTTAATTGTAATAAAAATAAGGACACGGATTATATCTATTCCAGGTGACAAGAATAATAAAAAATAAACTCAAACTCCATGCAATAATAATAATAATAAATAAATCAAAAATGAGAATAATCTTGATAGAAAAAATTGATACAATTTTTAAAAAATAATTAATGATTCTTACCAATTTTTAATTGAGACATGTACCAGGATGAAGCTTTATCCAATATGAAACCCGATTGTGCTTGATAACACTTGAAGGGGAGAAACGGAACACAATTTGGTAAGATGAGTTAACAACAATTAAATGATTGATTATTGAAATTAAACAAATAAAATGAATTTCACTTTTTTGTTGTTATTCCAGCTTCTCCTCCGATCTTGGTCTTGTCTTTCTGATTAAAACTCTCTTCTCTTTCTTTTCCTCTTTTTCTACTTTTGCTCCAGGGTTGTTAGGCAACCATAGCACAATAAACAGTACTTCAGCTTCTTGTTCACAAGGTGGCAGGGTTTCCCTAAGAATACCAAATTGATTTCACGAGACTGTTTGTTTACAATTTATAATCGTTAATCATCGCCTTTTAATCATTCTTAATTCAGTCTTCAATTAATTTAATCATTCCCTAGCATCTTTTTGTTTATATAGACGTAATACTTTGTATTTGTTTTGATTGAATGACAGCTCAGAACTCTAATCTTCACTAATGGAAATGTTATTTTCGTTTAAGTGTTGTCAGTTAATTTAAATGGATTTAATATTACTTTCTGCTGGCTTTTTACTATTCTGGTCAACAATTCTTTTCACTCATTATATTTTAACGGTAAGTTATATTTTTTTCTTGTCTATTGTCAAGAACTAAAGGAGTTAACAAGTTCAATTTGTATTCATTTCCTTTGTAGTCATGCTTGGTTCACCCTTACATCAACTTAAGCAAAACTATTGGATTAAAAATCAAACCATTTTATCTGGGCGTCTATTTAAACAGGTTTGGTGAAGTTGGCAAAGTTTTTATGTTATTATTTTGTTTTGCTTTCAGTTGAATTCAAATGTGTATTTATTCTATTATTATTCATATTTTCAAGAATTGAATATGGATTGTCTCGATATGTGAACCGGTATGATAAATTTGTCGAAACATGGATGAATCTAGGTGTTTTTGTCTCTCTATTCCTGACTCCTGTCTCTATTTGTATATTGCTGCAGACTGTTGTAAATTTGATTTCACATGAAAAACAAAAATCAAAAAATTTTGGAACTCTTGAACCACTCGTAAGTTTCAAAGCTTTTATAAATACAGAATAATACAGTTATTAATGTTCTTTGCTTATTATGTCTTGCAGCTGCCAGGAGTTAATTTACCTTTTAGTGAAATTTTTTATTACATTATAGCTCTCATAATTTCAAGTGTTTTCCATGAATTCGGACACTTTATTGCAGCTTTAAAGTAAGTTTTTTATTTTCTTTTGTTTTGTAGTGTTTGATTTGCTCATCTTTCACATTTATTGTTTATTTTAATAGAGAAGGCATCAAGGTAAACGGTGCTGGGATCTCATTTTTTGCATTTTTACCAATTGCTTACGTTAATATAGCTGAAGATCAACTCAACAGACTAGCGATTTTATGTAAATTAAGAATATTTTGCGCTGGAGTTTGGCACAACCTGGCTCTTGGTCTTTTCACTGCGTCACTTCTTCTACTCAACCCTTTCATATTAAGTCCGTTGTATAAAACTGGGGAAGGAGTTGTAGTTCTTAGTACACAAGAGGTATTTTGATTTTTGATTGTTAAATAAACAATTTTAATGAATTATTTTTTTACAATTACAGAATTGGGATGCCTCTGGTAGCCATGGAATTCAAACGTATGACATCATTACTAATATTAACCGTCATTGTCGAGTTACCAGTAAAGAAGAATGGAAATCATGTTTCTTAAATTTACTGACGGAACCAGATGAAAGCTATTGTGTTTCCCAAAATTTTATTAATGAGGAAGAATTCAAATCTGAAGGCGAAACTTGCTGCGTTGAAAATTTGAAAAGACATTTGTGTTTCAACAATTTACATTCCGAACAACATTTATGTTTACCAGTGAGACAAATTCTAGAAAAATTTACCACTTATTGTAATGAAACAACAAAATGTTTAAATGGTTATTCCTGTATTAAACCAAAAGTCGAGACTCCTGGCTTCAAACTGATGGAATTGCAACGAAAAGATAAACCTGCATTTCTTTTTTGGGGTCATCCATACGAATTATACAATTCATTATCAGTGATCAACTATAATCCACGTTTTAATTTTCTATCTTTATTGTGGCTCCAAAGATGGGAAAATTTATTAAGGTTTGTCTTTACAAATGCAATATATCTTTTTCAACTAATTAATGCTTTCATTTTCTTCAAACAGGTACATCACATCATTTTCTCTGGCCCTATCTCTGCTGAACTCAATTCCTTGTTTTGTAATGGATGGAAAGTATATTACAAAAAGTTCTTTGGAACTGTTGTTTAAAAGATTCTTCTCAAAATCATCTATGCATCTCGTTGAATTATCTCTATCAATTTTTGGAACAATCTTGGTTATTATTTGTGTATCTTTGGGATTTTTGAGCGTTGTAAAGAATCATGTTTAATATGTTCATATGTTTAAAACTCTTATAATTCCTAAAAATATACATCTACACACCTATTACAATCTAAATATTTATGTGCCAACCGTATTATTAATAAATTGATTCAAAATTACACTCATGTTCTACAGCTTATCTGTTTATCTGAGTTAAACATTTGAAGAAATTTAAAAATTTAAATATCTTTTACTCTTCAACAAACAATATTTTAATAATCTTTTATTGAAATCTTAGTGTTTCTGAATAAATATGAATTATAAATATTTTAAGGAAAATCATGTAAATATCATTTTAATATACTTGATACGGCAGAACGATACTTAAAGTTGAACTCTTGCAATTTGAGTTAATTTGCTGTAGCCACTTTTTAATAGTGATTTACTCGGTGCTCCAAGATAAGTGAAATCCTTGCCCTTAGAAGAACCTTTAAGTACACAAACGGAGAGACCACTTCTATCGTATTTCAAATTTTTCATCCCAATCCATTCTTGAGTTGTTCCATTAAATTTTTCTACTTTACTTATCGGTGTTTGACCTGTGAGAGGATAAAAAATTAAAGTTAGCATTTATATTGTGAGTATTGTATTCAATTTTTTCAAATATTTACCATTATAACCACCTATAGCGTAAATATAGTTACCAAGTACACAAGCTGAAAATGTGCTCCTCTGAGATCGCATGCTAGGAGCCGAAAACCAACTTTCTTGTTCAAAATCATATCTTTCCACAGTTGGAAGTCTGAATGAAGATGTGTCATGTTATTTAAATATTTTATTCCAATTTTGTCAATACTAATGCTTATACTAATATTTTCTTACCTTTCAAATCCATTGTTACCTCCTAATGCATATAATGATCCTTGATAGGAAACCAGAGCTAAACTGGTTCGTGGTGAATTCATGGGTTGAATTAAAGTCCATCTATGAGTGGCCGGATCATACATTTCAACGGAATTTTCAATAACCTGATCATTCAATCCTCCAGCGATGAAAATCTTATTTTCATGGATGGCTGCACAAGCATCGGATCGAGCTAAGTTCATCTCATTGATTCGAGTCCATTGATTGCTTGCCAGATCATATCTTTCAACTGAACGAATCCTATGTAAACCATTATGACCGCCCATGGCATACAATTGGCCATCAAGAACAGCTGTTGAAACGTAACACCGTTGCTCATACATGTTTGCCTTTTGAAACCATCTTCTTGATTCTGGATCAAAACAGTTAACCGTGTTCAATATTTCAGCTCCATTGGTTCCTCCAACAAGATAAATTACTCCTCCAATCACTTCAATACCATGATAAGCTCTAGGAACCCTTTGACCTGTTTTACATTCAAACCATTTATTGGTTACATAATCATATGTTTCAATTAAAGACGTTGGTACGCCATCTTGCCAGCCACCAATGGCAAAAATAATGGATCCAGGAATTCTTGGTCTAATGTGCTTTGGTTCATGTCCAACTGGAAATCCGTGTCCATCCAATAACTGTTTACCGAATTCATAGCGATTATGTTTAATCATCGATGCAACCAACTTGGAAGTAAACTCATCCAAATAAATCAATGAGTCTTTTGCCAAATTATTTGTCAAAAAGGCTTGAGTTACTCGACCATGGCGCAGATAACCAAGTAATTTACCAATCAGTACTCCAGATGATTGAGATGCTCGTGTTGATTGGGGCTGTTCATTAATCCAGCGTTTTATCGCTTTCCAAACCAACTCTTCTGACTCAATATCCAATTCATCATCATCTAAAAGAATCTCTAAATGTTTCAATGAGATGGTGGAAAATTTTATTGCCGAATCTGTTAACCATGTGAACTCTCGTTTAATCATAGACCAAGCAAGTGTTCGGATCTTATGGTTATGCTTGATTCCCAAATACAAAAGTTCAATACAATTTTCTCGATTCAAATGGTGAACCAGAAAATTACAACAAGCTGTGATAATAGATTCCATTTCAAACTCTTCAGCTGTTGCTAGGACATCCCAAACTCTATTGTAAGGTATACTGAATACACCTTTGTAAGCGCAATCAATAAGAGCCGATAAAACGAATCCTGAAATGTTTGGTAACTTTATTCTTCTCAGAACCTGACAATGAGCACAGGATCTTTTAGGGGCTTCTTTTTGCTCCAATGATTTTTCATCGTTCAGCTGACTTTGTAAGACATTACTGAAATTGGGACCAAGCGCTGATAAAACTGTCAAATGGGCTGGAAACTCTCTATTATCGGAAGATACTAATAAAATATCACAGAATGAATACGATTTTCTCAAATTTTGTAGGACAATAGATCTGTCGAGATATGATGCCCAATCAAAATCAGGCCTATTGCTTGTTTTCATCATCTAGTACAAAAATTAAATCCAAATCGTTTCATGAAAAGTGACAGACAAATTAAATTGTAACAATGTTTTCAGTTTCACTAAAATTAAGGATATTCATAAATTACATATATCCTTAATTGTTTTATGTTATATCAATTGGTTGTACATTAAATCTTGAAACCAGTTAACAATGATAAAAACCAAACTATTTAGCAAACTGAATATCATGGAATTAAGTTTACCGGAAATAAGGAAATGAGACTTTATTTCCATTATTTTTCATTGTTGGTTGTAACTTGATTTTGATTCCAAAGGAGATACTAAACCTGAGAAGCTGATTAATTTTCAGTCATTGATGATTACATTTTATGACATTATACTGAATGAATAGAATCTTGTCTTTCATATCTTTGCTATCAAGTGTCTCTAATTGAAAACTGTGCTTAATATTTTGGCAAATACTATCAAAGAGTAGCTGATTCGGTTGTTTCGGTTAATAAATAGTTATAAAATAGTAGTTCGTCTGATCTTTTATTGAAATCCATGATAAAAAGAAAGGGTAAACTTCTAGAAAATTTCATTGCAATACAATCAATCAAAGTTAATCTTGAATGGTTTCTTAGCGTTTCTGATTCTCCATGTTCTTAATTAAATAACAATATCAATAAAAAGTTCGAGTTAAGCAATCACAAGAGTACAAATAATAAGTACAGAATTATCTAGAATTTAAAGTGGATTGAATAGGAACTTCTTAAAGCGATTATTTTGTTTACAAATCTTAGCCTTGATAAGCAATTGGTTTTCAACGGAAAATAAATCACGTGATTAAAGGAAGACATCTCATATTACAAATCTGTTTTTATTCAAGCATATTTGACCAGTGATAATTGTTTTTGTTGCCGTTTTGCTTCAAGATAAACCATGATTGTTGCTGACAAGATTTTTTTTCAACTTATTTTATTTTTAATTGTGTTTTTATCTCTATTGTTTTCAACTGCAACTCCTGTCTATGGTCAATCCAGTTTATATGACCCAAGTAATCCTAATATATTGACTCTTGATTCAACCAATTTTACCACAACAATTGAATCACAGTCAAACGCTTTTGTTGTTCAATTTTATAAACACTGGTGTCCTTATTGTAAACGGTTTGCTCCTGCTTGGCGACATTTAGCTGAAGACATCAAAGCATGGAAGTCAGTTGTTAAATTAGCTGTAATTAATTGTGCTGATGAGGAAAATGTGGCTACCTGTCGATCAGCGGCCATCCCATTTGTTCCAACTATTCACTTTTATCCATCATATTGGAACTTTTCCTCAGGATTACTTCCCATAGTGGTTAAAAAGGGAACTGTCGATGCTTTACGTAATAATTTGACCACATTGATTGCAGCCACATCACCCAAAGATCCAGATTTAACATTAATAGAGCCACTTGAACATCGTATTTCTTTAACTAATGAATCTCTTGGTAAAAAGGTATTTCTGATTGGAGAGAAAAATGAATCTAAAGTTGGCTCAGAGGTAAGTCTTGAAATTTCAATTGTATCTTTTTTACTTTTTGTCTAACCGTTTGCTTTATTGTCATGAACTCTTAGGTTATCCTGGATCTTTATAATTTCAAAGACCAATTAACTATTAGAAGAGCTAATTGGCAGAGTCCATGGCTGGATCAATTTGAGTTGAATGAAACACAACTTCCAATCCTGGTAACCATACCTAAAAGAGGCTTTGTACCCATAGCTGTTCAGTAAGTAATCTTTTGTTCATAACAAATTGTATAGACTAACAAATCTTCCAAATTTACTCAAATGATTCAATCTCTGATTTTATGGCCCTCTCTCCCTTGTTATCCAGGTACAATCAATCAAAGAATACTCGAAGAGCTATCAACGATGTAATACTTAGATCAATTCAAGTGACAATTAATGCATCTTCATCTGATTTTACAACACAAGCATCTAACAATGTTAGATCTGGCAATTTCTCCTATGTAAACAACAATCAACTCTACATTGATGATCTTTACAAGTGTTTACAACAAATATTAACCAATGAAATCTTAATCTACGATACATATTCTTTGGAGAAGATTAATTCATTGAGAAATTTCACCAGGACAATTGAGCGTTACTTTCCTTTTGCTAATTCATCTGAAAGAATCTTTTTCGCACAATTATCAACTCTACTTGAATCACATGAAACCGCTTTATTGACAAACGTATCGGCTGGTGTCCCAGTTAATGATCTTGTTAAACAGATAGATGATCTTCAAAATGATTATACTCTTCCTAAACCAGATGAATGGATAACCTGTCGTGGTTCGAGTCCAATTTATCGAGGTTACACATGTTCTCTGTGGCTTCTGTGGCACACATTAACAGTCATTGAACATACAACTGTCAGTGGACCATCAACTGACCATCAAGTTGTTTTCACTATGCGTCAATTCATTACAGACTTTTTCTCTTGTGAGGAATGCCGGGCACATTTTATCAATGAAACAGCAAACATATCCAACGAAATAAATCAATCTGATCATTTTTCCTCCATCGTTTGGCTTTGGTCTATTCACAATTCAGTTAACAGAAGAATAGCTGGTGATCCAACTGAAGATCCGTATTTTCCTAAAGTACAATTTCCAGAGCCAAGTCGTTGCATGAAATGTTACCACCACGGTAAATTCAATGAGAACCAAGTTGCAAAATTCTTGATCAATCGCTACAAACCATCAAGTTGGGTTCAATATCAAAATCCTAACTCTTAATTGGAATCAAGAAAATAGATTTCTACAAATTCTTGTAGTAATTTTAATCGCTACCTTGCCTTTGGTAGGCTATTGAAACTAAATTGTATTAAACTTTAAAATGTCCTACATTCAAATTTACTTCATGTATTCTTTCGATTGACGAAATATCATTTAGATGAAATCTTTTAATTTAATAAAATTGATTGATTATTCCTGGTGCATAAAAACTTAACTGGCTGAATTGATGAAGTGAGAAAAACGATAAATTTTTTGATTTCATTTTCATCTGTAATATTTATTGCATGATGAATCAACCTTTTATTCTTTTGTTTTGGCTGTTAAATTACAATCAGTCAGATAAATGACTGATTTATATTAAAGTGAGTATATTAAAAGCTGTTTTCAGGGTTATATTGAGTTTTTAGGATTCAATAATTTTAGTTTATTCATTTTTATCAAACCAACTTGAATCGACCGCTCGGGATCATCTACAGCAGAGTCATCTAACGTTTTAAAGCTGAAAATTACGCTACGATTTATAAATTATAATTGAAAGGCCTGGTTATATGTCGATTCGTTTTTGCTAATTTAATAGCTATTTTCGAAGAAATTAAATGTGACATTTTTTCAACAAACATCATAGCCAAACTCAACATCAGCAAGTATCATCTAAATCATCATGTAATGTCAACACTGATAAAGTTATCACCAACTCCTTCATCTGACTCTTCATCAGTTACGTCTTCTTATCAGGATGATATTGTTCTCTCATCTGCAGATTGGTTGGTCGAACAAAGTAACTCAGGCTCCGATGTTTTTTCCAATTCAGGTGCTGCAGATAAGCCAGATAATTTCAAACTCAATTTCAGAAAATATCATCGAAATCATTTAGGTCTCCATCATTTCATTAAATGGCGTACGTCCAAAAATTTCCTTTTTATCAATAAAATGTCAGGGTGGCCGAGTGGTCTAAGGCGCTGCGTTCAGGTCGCAGTCAGGTTTCCTGGCGTGGGTTCGAATCCCACCTCTGACAAATAGGTGATATTTTTGGACATTTCACTAAACACTGTTAGGTGGTTTTCATTGATGGTTAACCGTTCGGTTTATTTTCTTGAAATACTTGGAGTATAAAAGAGTGTGAAGGTTGATATTTTGAGATTCATTTTTTTAAAGTTCATCATTAGATTCACTTCCACTTGATCCATATAATTGTTCCTCTGGATAGTATTTATTCCAAAATTTGGAGAAATGAGGGTGAAATGTTGTTGAAACCAGCCCATTAACTGATAATACTTGGTTTTTATTTCACTCTGATGATGCTATAAGTCGAGCTGCTTGATCGTTATGTCTATCAGTTTGAATTGTTAACCAATATTCAAGTTCTTTAGGACTACAAGGATTCATCTTTATCTTTATCTAACGAGGGAAGTATCCCAAGTGGTACGCTCATTTTCGATTGTTTTTTGGGTTTATATTGTAGAGGATCGAAAATTATTAGACACGTATTTTGGCTTTTATTTCGCCGGTGCGCGGTTCGTGATGTAGAGCCCTTTCAAGTTGCGACAGTCAATTCAATGTAAAGCGTATGGAAGTAGCTGTAAAATTTATTTTGATAAGCAAGAAAGCATTTTACTTATTAAAATGAATTTAGAGTTAATAATAAAGCAAATGGTAAAATCGTTTAATTGCAATGCAAATGCAAATGTTTTCATTGTTAATTTAAATAATGCGTTGGATAATGAAATAAAAATATCATTGATCTACAAAATCAATTCGCAATATTGGAAAAGCATATTTTATGTAACAGCATTAGTATTTTTCACTTATTTTTATTATTTTGTATCAAATATTAACAGTTTGAATATTAATAAAGATTATATTTATTTTAATTTAGTTGATTTTTTAATATTTGTAAATTTTGGTCCTAAAATCATTTGCTTTGTTTCACCAGACAGAGTAGATGAAATCATATGATAATATTATGAATTCAACTGAAGACTTAAAGTCTGTCATCTTCAACATAACAATGGTCTTTATCAAGTAAGTTCAAAATAATATCTCGAATTCATGATTTGTCAAGTTCGTAATTTACTTAATCTTCAAAAGTTTACATTAAATACTGTTCATGAAGTGGTTGATGGGGAAATTAAATTCATTGGTAAGCAATTTAAAGACCTTCCTGAGATGTACTCGCGTTATACAAAGTCAAGGTATGTTCAATGATTACGATTAAACTTATTGGACACTTAATCGAATTTATGATGAAACAGAATAAAATTGAAGCTCGAAGAAGGTCGGTTCGGTGTTTGGCAGGAAGGAGTTGGTTACACTAATGGTATGTTTGGTGCATTACAGAACTGTGTAAGTGTTTATTTGATTTTTTGATCTTCTTGATCCAAATGTTTACTATTGCTTCCATTATTAGGAAGCCAACACATTGTTTTTCCCTGTTTCATTGGACACAAAGGATCCACCGGGTGTCTTCACTGTTCCAGTAGAGGAAAACACTTACCACTTGGCCAGTGTAACACAGAAACGAAATACTCTTTCTTCATTCAATTTGCTCAACAATTTAATCTCTATTGAATTGATCTGTTGGCTGTTATATTTTACTTTACTTTTCAAGATATTTTCCATTTCCAATTTCGTTCTTTTACCTAAACTGATTCATTTGAAATATAGATTGTACGACGTCATATTTGAAGCTATTCAAGCCATTCTCACAGGATATATTCATGGTTCTTCAAAAAAAGTTTTTTTATTAGCTTTTGCTTGTTTATTAACAGCTCTATTTAGTACCATCATTAATGCATCTTTCAACACTAGTGCCATTGTCAAATCAACCAAGGAACAAGTGAAAAGCTTATCGGATATCATAAAGATGAATAAAGATCCATGGTTTTTCGATGGCATTTCCCAATATGAACTTTTTGTGTCTGGAGTTACACCTGAGTTTAGACAAGTATATGAATATGCAGTGAAAAGGGGCTTAGAAACGCCAAAAGAACTGGGTACTAACACAGTAATTCAATTGAGTCGTGACTGGTGCTTAAACGCGGTGACTTTAGCAACACTGAATTCATGAAAATTTATCTTGAATATCTCTGCTCCAGTGCATTAGGATCACCTCAAAGCGTTTTTGTCTCGAATCCTTATCACAAAGCAGTTAGGATGAGTTTAATCAATCCATGCACTGATGGTACCTTAGCTGAAGAGATGATTAGACGGGATAAATCATTGTGCGTATTTACAATGAATTGAGATTGAAAGCGGTCAAACTCAAAATGAAATAACCCAACGTCGAAGGGAAAAAGTACAAGTGCACTTGCTTTGAAGCATCTGAATTGATCGCTTTCAATCTTAATCAGTTTCACGCTTTCTAATAACATGTTAATATCATTCATTTTATTGCAGTTACTCTGTGCTTCTAGAAACTGGAATAAACCTTCAACGAATCAAAATAATAAGAGATTATGCGATTAAAGTCACTCTCGCGCTTTTGGGCTTGAATACCAGAAGTCAAACAGACGATTCCGATCTTTATTTATTTTCTGCATCACCACTCAAACTTTCCAATTTTAAAGACTTATTTATACTTCAATTTTTCGCTGCAATCATAGCTTTATTTATTGAATTTGGGAACCATATTTACCATCGCTATGTAAAACAAATTTAAATTGAATTAAATGCTTTGTCTATTCATTTCATAAATACTTTGTTCAATATCGCAATCAAACCGAGCCTAAATTCTTAGAACTACATATTCGAATACATATGTACAAGACTCCTTAAATTAGTTTAAACTTGATTTATTATATATCTGTTTAATTAAGTCAGTCAGTCTCGAATCAACTGAAAATTCCAAGTTATTTTGGTTTACAAAATTGAATCGAAGTCACTGTAATCTAAATACTTAATTCCACTACATAAAACGATCAAGTTCCAAAGACTGTTAGGATTGTAACTAAAAAGACACAATTAACAAGTTGACACAAATTGACAAAAATGAGACGAAAATACGTAAAAAATTAATTTTATTCAAATTTGGACTCTGTTGGTTTGCAGGGACATAAAGACTGTGTCCATTAATACGATTTAAAAAGGTCTCTGATCAACGGTATTCGGTGAAATCGAGGTCAAAGTTAAAACTTCGATCGCCTTTAGCACAGTTATGCAAGTCGACTTCTTCAAAAGAATCATTTTCCTTATGTGTATCTTAATGGCGAATCAGAAAACGCACTTGCCTACATGATATAGAGTTTTGGGTTCTTATAAAACAGATAAGTTCGATTTTCATTTAAATTGGTCGTTTTCTGTGACCGTAAGTCTTAGAGAGTTGAAACTTATTATCGATCCACAGAAATTGTTGGTACATATCATGGATCAATTACTTTTAAAGATTTAAAAACAGTTGGCTTGGTTTTGGCAATTGAACTTAAAACTTTCAGCGTCAATATTTCGAAAATGGTGGCGCCTACAGAGACCATTCTTTCACCAATTTAACACTTTACTAATTAATAATTCAATGCAATAAGTTAACTTTACATTAGCGCATTTGGGTTATGATTTTGGGGTTTAAAATGTACAAGAAACAACTTATTCAACAAAAGAAACTCATATTAATGCATATCTTGGTAAATAAACCAATTTTCTGGTTAAACTTACAAATGAAATATAAAGAGTACTACAAAAGGCTGGAACATTTGATCAAAGAGTTGAGACTTGCGGAAATACAAGCTGAGTCCATTGGTACTATTAAATAATTCGTCCGATGGACAGTTTTCTAGAAAATTGAGGTCAAAGTTAGAACTTCGATCGCCTTTTGTACAGTTATAGAAGTAGATTTTTTCATGAAACTCATTTTAAATGATGTGAATTTTAATGATCAACCAGAAAACGAACTTATTTTGAGAAATAAATTTCCCGATTTCCTATAAATCAGATCATTTCGATTTTCGATTAAACTTGTCGCATTCTGTGACTGAAAAATTATGAACGTTGAAACTTAGTATTTGTCAACAAAAATTGATGCTACACATCAACAATTAACAACTTTTATCGATTTCTCTACAGTTCTCTTGATATTGGCAATTGGCCTCAAAACTTTGACGCTTAATATTTCGGAATTGACAGCACCTACAGTCATCAGTCTCAGCTAAACATTAGATTTCATTACGGGCTATAATGTGTATAAACAACCGAGTACCCAAGATCCTACAAAAAAAGTTATAGCATTGCATAAATTATGTTGTCAGATTAAAGACTTTATTTATGCAGCTAAACACAAATCTTAAACGTAAGAAATATTTTCATCATTGAATAAATCAGCACGCATTTAATTCGGTATTCTGTCATATTGTGTTATAGTCCAGAATGAAATCTAATGTTGTCTGAAAGAAAAATGACTGTAGGTGCTTTCGATTCCGAAATATTTAGCGTCAAAGTTTTAAGGCCAATGGCCAAAATCAAGAGAACTGTAGAGAAATCGAGAAAAGTTTTTAATCTTTGATGTGTAACATCAATTTTTGTTGACAAATACTAAGTTTCAAATTTCATAATTTTTCAGTCACAGAATGCGACAAGTTTAATTGAAAATCGAAATGATCTGATTTATAGAAAATTGAAAAATTTAGCTCTTAAAACAAGTTCATTTTCTGATTGATCATTGAAATTCACATCATTAAAAATGAGTTTCATGAAAAAATCTACTTCTATAACTGTACAAAAGACGATCGAAGTTCTAACTTTGACCTCAATTTTCTAGAAAACTATCGTTCGGATGAACTTTTTAATAGTACCAATGGACTCAGCTTGTATTTCCCTACAAACCTCGCTAAGTCTCAACTCTTTGATCAAATGTTCCAGCCTTTTGTAGTACTCTTTATATTTCATTTGTAAGTTTAACCAGAAAATTGGTTTATTTATCCAGATATGCATTAATATGAGTTTCTTTTGTTGAATAAGTTGTTTCTTGTACATTTTAAACCCAATAATCATAACCCAAATGCGCTAATGTAAAGTTAACTAATTGCATTGAATTATTAATCAGTAAATAATTAAATTGGTAAGAGAATGATGGTTGTAGATGATGCCATTCTCGAAATATTGACGCTGAAAGTTTTAAGTTCAATGGCCAAAACCAAGCCAACTGTTTTTAAATTGTTAAAAGTAATTGACCCATGATATGTACCAACAATTTCTGTGGATCGATAATAAGTTTCAACTCTCTCAAGACTTACGGTCACAGAAAACGATCAGTTCAAATGAAAATCCAACTTATCTGTTAGATACAAGTAAGTACCCAAAACTCTATATCATGTAAGCAAGAGCGTGTTGTGATTTGCCTTTAAATACAAATAAGGAAAATGATTCTCACGAAAAAGTCTGCTTCCATAATTGTGCAAAAGGCGATCGAAGTTATAACTTTGACCTCGATTTTACCGAAAACTGTCGATCAGAGAACTTTTTAAATCGCATTAATGGACTCAGTTTTAACCTAACCAAACCAACAGAGTCTAAATTTGATAAAAATATAATTTTTTACCCATTTTCGTCTCATTTTTGTCAATTTGTGTCAACTTTGTGCATAAATGTGTTAATTGTGTCTTTTTAGTAGCAACAGTCTTTGGAACTTGGTCGTTTTATTTTGTGGAATTGAGTATTTAGATGTCAGCGACTTTGATTCAATTTTATAAACCAAAATAACTTGGAATTTTCAGTTTATTCGAGACTGACTAACTTAATTGTACAGATATAAATCAGGTTTAAACTAATTTAAGCAGTCTTGTATTTGAATATGTAGTTCTAAGGATTTAGACTCGGTTTGATTGCGATACTGAACAAAGTATTTATTAAATGAATAAACAAAGGATTTAATTCAATTTAAATTTGTTTTACATAGCGGTAATAAATTTGGTTCCCAAATTCGATAAATAAAGCCATGACTGCAGCGAAAAATTGAATTATAAATAAGTCTTCAAAATTGGAAAGATTGAGTGGAGATGCAGACAATGAATAAAGATTGGAATCGTCTGTTTGACTTCTGGTTTCCAAACCCAAAAGCGAGAGAGTGGATTTAATCGTATAACTTCTACTTAGTTCCATTCTTCGAAGGTTGATTCCAGTTTCTAGAAGCACAGAGTAACTGCAATAAAACAAATGATATCAACATATTATTATTATATTATAGAGAGCGATTGAAGTGATTACGATTGAAAGCGATCAAAATCGTGACATGGATACTTTTCACTGTGATTCGGATGGTTCAAGTGGCAAGTGAAATATATCTTGTACTTTTTCACTTCGACGTTGAATCATTTAATTTTGAGTTTGACCGCTTTCAATCTCAATTCATTGTAAATACGCACAAAGATTTATCCCGTCTAATCATCTCTTCAGCAACGGGACCATCAGTGCATGGATTGATTAAACTCATCTTAACTGCTTTGTGATAAGGGTTCGAGACAAAAACGCATTGAGGCGATCCTAACTTAATGGAACAAATATATTCAAGATAAATTTCCATGAATTCAGTGGCTTGTAATGTTGCTAAAGCCACAGCATTCAAGCAGTCACGACTCAATTGAATTCCTGAGTTTTTACCCAGTTCTTTTGGCGTTTCTAATCCTTTTTTCACTGCATATTCATATACTTGTCTAAACTCAGGTGTAACTCCAGCCTCAAAAAGTTCATATTGGGAAATGCCATCAAAAAACCATGGATTTTTATTCATCTTTATGATATCCGATAAGCTTTTCACTTGTTCCTTGGTTGACCTGACAATGGCACTGGTGTTAAAAGATGAATTTACAATGGCACCAAATAGAGCTGTTAATAAACAAGCAAAAGCCAATAAAAAAACTGTTTTTGATGAACCATGAATATGTCCTGTAAGAATGGCCTTAACAGCTTCAAAGACGACACCGTATAATCTGTATTTCAAATGGATTAATTTAGGTAAATGAACAAAATTGGAAATGGAAAATATCTTGAAAAGTAAAGTAAAATATAACAGCCAACAGAACAATTCAATAGAGATTAAATTGTTGAGCAAATTGAATGAAGAAAGAGTATGTTTCTGAGTTACACTGGCCAAGTGGTAAGTGTTTTCCTCTACTGCAGTAGTGAAGACACCCGGTGGATCCTTTGTGTACAATGAAACAGGGAAAAGCAATGTGTTGGCTTCCTAATAATGGAAGCAATAGTAAACATTTAGATCAAGAAGATGAAAAAATCAAATTTCCACTTACACAGTTCTGTAATGTACCAAGCATACCATTAGTGTAACCAACTCCTTCCTTCCAAACACCGAACCGACCTTCCTCGAGCTTCAATTTTATTCTGTTTCATTATAAATTCGATTAACCCGTGTCCAATCATCAATTATCAAATTTTATGATCAATAAAATCATTCAACATACCTTGACTTTGTATGACGCGAGTACATCTCAGGGAGATCTTTGAATTGCTTACCAATGAATCTAATCTCACCATCAACCACTTCATGAACAGTATTAAATGTAAACTTTTGAAGATTAAGTACGTTACAAAATTGACAAACCATGAACTCCAGATATTATTTTGAACTTACTTGATAAAAGACCATTGTTATATTGAAGATGACAGACTTTAAATCTTCAGTTGAATTCATGATATGCTTTCGCCTACTCTGCCTGGTGAAACAAAACAAATGATTTTAGGAACAAAATTTACAAATATTACAAATCAGTTAAATTAAAATAAATTCAATCTTTATTAATATTAAAACTGTTAATATTTGATACAAAGTAATAGAAATAAGTGAAAAATACTAATGTTGTTACATAAAATATGCTTTTCCAATATTGCGAATTGATTTTGTAGATCAATGATAATTTTATTTCACTATCCAACGCATTATTTAAATTATCAATGAAAACATTTGCATTTGTATTGCAATTAAACGATTTTACCATTTGCTTTATTATATACATCGAGATAGACTCTAGAATGGACTATAATAAATCGAAGTATAAGATCATCAGAGATCATACGAGAAAAGGTATAGCATTGTATTATTATGTTATCAGATTATTGCTTTACTATTTGTACAAAAGTAAACGTTTATTCATCTTCGTTCTCGAGATTCGTTGTTCAAGTTTTAAGACCAATGGTCAAATCGAGAGAACCGTCGATAAATTGCATTGCTGTCACTGAAATTAATTTTCAGTTTTTAACTATTCTAACTTATTCACTTATATTTTTTGAATAAAGCTATCAGAACTTAAATGCTGGGAAGTTTATTCTTTTATCTTAATCAACTTGAATATAACTCCGTAAATCTTTTAGGATGTTCATTTGATTTCTTATAAGCTTTAAATATGGTTAAGTAAAAAGAGTAAAAAAATAACAATTAAAAATAAAATTGATAAAGAGACGAAAACGATAAATTTATCAATTTCACTTTCATTTGTAATATTTATGCTATGATGAATCAATCTTTTATTTTTTGTGTTGGTTGTTAAATTACAATCAGTCATATAATTGACTGATTTGAAGTATATTTAAGTTGATTTCAGGGTTATATTGAGTTTTTAGGATTCAATAATTTTCACTTTTTTCATTTTTATCAAACCAACTTGAATCGACCGCTCCGGATCATTCTGCATCAGAGTCATCTAACGGATTAAAGCTGTAAGTTATGTTACAATTTGTAATTGAAAGGCCTGATTTCATGTCAATTTGCTTTTTGTTAATTTATAATGATTTATAGATTTTATAGTAAAAGCAGGTTGATTAAAAATCTCCTATGTCTTCGGACAGTGAAAACCAAAGTTCTTTCTTGTTGCTTCTGCTGAAACATCTTAACCAAACTAACTCAGATTCCTTGGAAACCTTGGAAAGAGAGAATCTCCACTTTGTTATTACTGATAATTTAATAGCTACATTCGAAGAAATTAAATGTGACATTTTTTTCAACAAACATCATAGCCAAATACAACATCAGCAAATATCACCGAAATCATCATGTAATGTCAATACCGATAAAGTTATCACCAATCATCTCACCGAGGACACAAGTGCATCACCAACACCAACTCCTTCATCTGACTCTTCATCAGTTCCGTCTTCTTATCAGGATGGTACTGTTCTCTCATCGGCAGATTGGTTGGTCGAACAAAGTAACTCAGGCTCCGATGTTTTTTCTAATTCAGGTGCTGCAGATAAGCCAGATAATTTCAAACTCAACATCAGCAAACATGAAAGTGAACTTAATTCTTTCTCTGGATCAATCTCTAATTTAAGTATGTCTTCAACTGTCAAAAGTACACCCATAACTTTTGCATAATAGCATTAATAAACTTTCAATTTTTACTTTTCTACTCTTGTATATCAGGTGAAATTAGCTCAAATGTGACCTTAGATGGAGAAAGCAAGGTATTGTCTGAAACGTCTACTTTTGGACCATTAGATGACTTTGAATCAGCCGATAATTCAGCTGAATCAGTAGCTGTTCAATTACTATCACATTACTCACAGAGACCATTTTCTACAAGACGGTCTTCCTTACAACCTTTTATGATGAGTTCTCCAATGTCTGGTGATGAACCTAATCGCAATAGTAGTAGATCTTTACCCATTCGTCGCAGTGGAAGTTCATGTTACTCGCTTTACTCTAATCCAAGTCCAATTGTAACAAATACTTCATTTCAATCTCTATCATCTCTTCATCAAGTTCCATCAGCTGCGACTCGATCATCAAGTATTAAACTGAGAGGAAATTCACTTTGGGCTCCCCTCCGACCTCAACTAATATGCAACATTCAACGACCTACTGATAAATATTCTCAATGGCAAAGGCAAAACCAAAGATGTGCTGGTTGTGGTTTTAACATTGACTCTAAATGCAAAGAATTCCATGGTATAATGTACTGTTATTATACAGGCAAATTTTTTTGTCGTGTTGGCTGCCATTCAGGACGTAAAGCTATTTTACCTGCGTATGTCATTCATAACTGGGATTTCAATTGTTATCCTCTTTCCAATTGCGCAGTCAACTTTCTTGAAAAATATCGCGGAGAGCCTCTATTTCATATCAACGATCTAAATCCGAGTCTCTATAAAAGAGTTAAGCAACTTAGTAAATTATTAGATTTAAGGTTCCAACTTAGGTCATTGAGAGAATATATTTCCACTTGTAGAAATGCGAAAGACTTCGTTTTTTATTTCAAATCATTCGAACCTCAACATTTTATCCAAGATGATATTCATCTTTATTCTTTGGAGGATCTTATAACAATTAAACGCTCTAAAAAGCTTTTAGATAAATGTTGGGCTCTAGTCAGAGAATCCATTGATCATGTTTCCAGATGTGAATACTGTAAAGCCCGTGGCTTTTTCTGTGAGCTGTGCAAAAAAGAAGACGTTCTCTTTCCATTTGAGATTGGCCGTATTTACCAATGTAGCGCTTGCCACTCTTGTTTCCATTTATATTGTTTTAACCATCAAGCCAACCAAAAATGCTCTAAATGCTCTAGAATTCAAGCCCGCCGTTCCCGTCACCAGCCAACTAAATTCAATAACAGTGATACAGTGATACTGGTAATGATAGTCTTCAAGAAGTTCCCGAACCCTTAGAAACTGAGGACCAGTCCGAACCATGTTCACTGTCACCACTATTAACTACTAACATTAAGTCCACAAACACTGTGGAATCGTGATAAAATCGCTGGATAATAGAAAATTTAAATAGCTTTCTTATAAATGAACCCTAATTATTTTATGTTTATTAACCGATTTCTAATGTATTCACTTTGATGGTCAGACGAGATGCTTACGCTTTTTTGGTTGTCAAATTAAAGATGAAAGCTAAATTGTTAAAGTCTTAACAAAGCAATGGATCGCCGATTAAAAAATTGCATTTTTTCTCGTCCTCTCAATAACTAAATTTTTTAAACAAAATAATCTGTGATCGTTTATTATAATAATAATGATTATTAATTATAAATATTAATACAGTACTTACTTTAAAAAAATTATCTTTCATTTTCCATTTCATTTTGATCGTGCATTTTGATTTACCGATTTGGTTAATCTTGTATTTCTAATTGGTATTATTACAATAATTTATTAAATATTTATCTCAGTCCTAGTAATCAAATGCAAAGATCAATAGATTTTTGCAAGGTCGCCCTAATTTGACTCATCTAATTCAATCTGATCTGAAGATTATAAAGATCATATTTAGGTACTATAGATTATTTCGCTGTATGACAAGCACTCGATACGAACTAGACATGATTTATGTTGTACGTTATTTGACTTTATTAATTGAATAGATCTCGTTTGAATCGTTCACAATCTGGGCCGTTTAATAACACCACTAGAAAAGTCAAGGTGTACATAAACTTGCGTTATTTTTGATGAGAGATGAATGAAAAAAGAGGATTGTGATAATTCAAAATTAGCAAATTTATCAAATAAATCCCAATGATGGTTAGATAATTGAAATTGCATATTTTTGACTGCTTTCAAGCCTGCTAGCATTTGATGACTAAATCGCTACATTTTGTACTGATATCACAAAAGCCAAATAAAAAATTATGTTAATGTCAACAGTAAACAGTCGAAAGTTTTAGATCCACAATTATTACTTGCTAACAGTGTTTAATTAGAGATGTTTGCAGTTTGTAGAGCCTTAAAAGTTCGCTTCCTCTTTTCCTTAAAAGCCCTTTTTACAGTTTAAAATTTCAATTCTTTATTGAAAACTGAATATCACGTTTACAATCAATGAAATTGTTGAATGACATAAAAAGCGTTGTGGATGATATCTTTGTAATGATGACAAGTAAACAAAGATAGCAATGAATTAGTCATGTCAATACAGAGTGGAGTAATTGCTTTGCTGATTGTCCTAGATTAATCAGTTAGCTTGTCTGTGTTTACTTTTTCAGTGACACTGACTTTCGAAATAAGTTCAATACTTAAATTTACTTCTAGATTTGGCGCAAAAATCAGTACAACTTCAATTTTTCATTCCGAAAAGAGTAAGTTTGAATGATCGAACTAATTTGAAGAGTGTAAAAAAATTGTTAATCTATCATGAATAACAATTATTGGCCTTCTGATTGAAATACAAGAATGTATATGTAAAATGTGACTCATAAATAAATGGTTCATCGATATCTTTTTCAGTTTCGTTTCGATATGAGAATCCTCCCCATGAATGGTGCAACACAAAATTGAATAAAATGTCATTATTTATTTCAACAAGAGAGGAATATAATGAGATTTTCCCACCTCCCAATTTTTCTTCATAAGGCCACTATTTTCAGTGATCATTAGAAGAGGGACAAAAAATAAACAAACAAAAAATGAACAATTGAAAGATGAAACAGAAATGAGCATGAATTTTAAATGTATATGTGTGATATGGTGAGTTAAATAATGAACAGTTTGAATTTAAAATAAACAAATTAATGTCGACAATCGTTGACAGTTGAACGGATGAAAAGTTTTCCACTTTTTGCTTTTATATACTTTGTCATTGAATGCACTGATTTGGAGGGCTTGAAGTTTCTTTTTTTTGCAGCCAAGGTTTCCAAGTATTTAGCCGTACGAAAAGTGTAATCTATAACAAAATTTGGATGGATACCAAGCAACCAAATTAACAATCCATTTAAAATACGGACGAGGTCACTTTCAATAGGGCTTAGATTGCGATAAAACAAGATAATACAAAGAGTCCTTGATAAAGTCAGGAGCAAAAGGCGTCACGAGTATTAACATTGGTCAAATATGGGGCAAAAACATGAATGCACTATGTTGGCCGGAATATTATGTTTAAACCAGAATCCAGCTGAATGAGGCCACAAATGAAAATCTTTGGTGGAATTTGATTGATTGAGATGATTGAGTGAGGGAGGGATTGAGAAATAAACTATTAGCTGGAGAAACTTGGATTTGATGAGATAATCAGCATGCCCATCTCCATTAATTTTCCGTTTTCTTTTGCATTTGGTAGCGTGTGTTAATCATCAGCGACAGAAAAGGAGCAATGGTAACATCATTTTTAATAACAATATTCGAAGAGACATAATTATAGATGTTGAAAGTGTGGGAAGGTTGTCTAATCACCTGAGGATACAAAAGAGAATGTAGATTGGGATTAAAAATTGGTTAAAGCGATTTACTGATTGAGGTTGATAAGAACAATAACTTACCTCTTTTTTGATTTGGGATCGCCATAGTTTGAAATAATTTTTCATTTTTCTTTCTCTCTCTTTCATCTCTATGAGTATATAACAGAAAAAAACGCTTAATCTTCTCATTCAATAATATCAGATCTCATTGGCCCAGTTTTTGTGATAACTTCTCATTCTTTTCATTGATGAAGCAGCATCATGTTTGGATCCTTTCTTTTGTCTCCTCTCTAACTTTTGATTCATTCTTTCCATTTCCAAGATGAGTCCATCATTTTCATCCCGCAATTCCTTGTTTTGACGACGAAGTAACTCATTGTCATTAATTAAGGCTTGATACTCAGTTTCCTTATCGAAAACTTGGAATAACTCAATCTCAGATAACTATAAAAAGAAATAGAGAAATGGTGCGTTAATTAACATATGTTATGATTCCAAACCAAACCCTTAATTAACTATAATTTTGTTTGTTTAACCTTGTCAGGCAATAAATTAGTAATTATGACAAAAAGGAACGGTAAACTATAATTTCAGTAATTCATTTTAGAATCAGTAATTGAAGAGAATTAGGAATTGTAATTCTTGATTAAAAATTGACATTTCAACTGACCCATTGCTGTAAACAGCAAGAGATAGTAGACAATACAGAGCGAGAAACTGAGCGATAATTGAACTTACCTTTTTCTTGATTGAATAAGTTTCTTCAACCTCTTTTTGCAAGTCAATGTTAACCTTAATAGCATCGGCTAACCTATCACTTAAATCTTGAACTTCTTTCTCCAGTCTTAAATTATCCTGTTGATTGAATCAATTGTGATTTGAGTAAAGCGATAACAATTTGCCAGTAAATGATTGAAGACACCACACAGGTACCAGGTACAGAAAAAAATAAAGAAAAATCGAAATTAAAAATTAATAAAAAGAATTAGATAAATCAATCAAGATTCAACGTATGGAATAAGGTGAAAAACGTTTTCAATCCAAGATTGACCAAGGTGGCCCTAAATTGAAACCACAGACCTAATAATATTGCCAACCTACTGACTCAAGCATTGTGCTGGCTGTTTTAAGATTAAGTTTTCTACTTTGATCTGATCTAATCATGTCCATTTAATTAACCAAACAAAATGGTTTAACACATTAATCAATAAAAGGCTATTTGATTCTACTAGCTCGGACATGACTAGAGGCTAGTGTAACTTGATGCTGATGGTGAGAATGATGTTCACCAGAAAAGATGAAAAAAGATTGTTCAAATCTTTTTTCCCATCTCATGTTAATACACTTATCAGCCCCTGATCTTGTCTTTTCAAAAGGTGATTCCAATTGACCCTCTTGGATCGAAGTAGCAACAAAAAAATAGTTGATGGACGTGAATCAAAAGAGGAAGGAACAATAACAAAAAGGATGGTTGAAGAAAGATGTAGAAATTGATTGAAAGATAAAAAATGAGGGGGAAATTGAATGATGATGATCTTACCAATTTGAGTGATGAAATAATATCCTCCAATTTGGACTGATTGTTTTGTGAAACCATTTGAACTGTTGACAGCTCTTTGCGAAGTTGTGAGGCTTGAGACCCCAGGGAGTCTCGCTCTTTTTGAAATTCATCTTGAAGACTGCGTATTTGTTCTTGATATCGACGTTCCAACAAACTGAAAATGTCCCCAATCAGAAAATTTGATTAATTAGAAAAGAAACAGAATTAAAAATACAAAAAAGGAAAGATAAGATAAAAAGTAAAAGACAGAAGATAAAAGTGGCGGTTAATTGGTGAAGACAAATATATCGATAGTAATGTCTCGACAGCAAAGGCAAGAAAATTGGAGGGAATCTTATTTGTTACTCTCTCCCTCTCTCTCTCGCTTTCTCTCGCTTGCAATTTATTTAAACCGTTTTCCTTATCATGGTGACGAAAATGTTTAACCTTTTATCGGTAAATTAATCATCTTGCCAGTAAATTGTTAGCCAATAAGAAATGAGATTAGAAACTAACTGACAAAAATGGAAAGTCGCATCGACGAAATTGTTTTAACTTGTGTGTGAAAAATCAAAAATAAATTCTCATTTGAAATGAATAAAAATGAAACATCTTCAATAACTCTTTTGCTACCTCATTATTTTAATTTCTATCTCTTATTTTTTGGTAAGTTGATTTAGTTTTACTGTCATTGCTGATTTGTCCATCAATCTTACTCTTCGGATGATCATTTTCAGGCTACAATGTTCCTTATGATACAACCAGCCTGCTTCCAATGGGAAAATGATACTTTCAACCAGCCAAAAGGGATATGTTGAGAGCGAAAGAAGTAAGCAAAATAGATTAAAAGGAAAAGATTGATTAATCTGGAAACATCATCTACAAATCGTGATCACAAGCGAATAACCAACACAAAAAAGGTTATAAAGGTAAGATATGTTTAAATAAATATTATTAGTTGCATTAGATTTAATACTGATAAGATTACATTGTTGTTTGTTGATGTTAATGATGGGATATTATTTGTATGATTGGAAATTATTTATTACTGTAAGATAGTTAAAATGTTTCAGTTTTATAATATTTCGGTTGCATGTACACACATGTTAGATACTTTTATTTTCATGTACATTCTGATTATTAATACATTATTATAAATATAGTCTATTCTGCTCATTTTTTTGCTTGTAGACATGCTGCTGGCTTTTTTTGTGGCTAGTCACCATCATTATCATCCTAATCATAATCGACAACAACAAAAAAACCTCCTGATGAACCCAATGAGATGCTGAAAAATGGAAAGTTCAATTTTTTTCTGATTGGGTTAAGAGGTGAATATTTACGGATGGACCGAAGCAGACCTTACAAAAGGTGCATCTCAACCAAGTTGAATTTCATTTTGAATGGCAAAAAAGGACAATGCTGTTTGAAAATGGGGATAGATGGGAAATTGAAACAAAGAAAGGTCTGGTAAAAAGTATATCATCAAGCAAACAAAGCGAAGCAATAATGAATCGTGAGAGAAGTGTTGACAACTTGTATTTTGAAAGACTATCATCTTCATCAACATCAGACCGATCAATTTCATGATGAAATGTAATGAGACCTGTTACATACCTCAAAGCGATCATCACTACCATTATTCCTCGGTGAAAAATTGTGGGCGATAAAACAATATTAGCCATTCATTCAAAAATTACTTTTCATGATTTGAATGATGAATATATAAATACATTTTTTGCATCAAACTAGCCCACAAAAAAAGATGAATTTCTTGACTGTTCTCAAAAAGTTATCTACATGTATTAGGTGATTTTGAAGAAGCAAAAAGGTAACTGTAATTATGACGACATAAATTTGATTTGATTTTTGATTTGGCACACAATGTTCATCTATACATGTTTATTAATACTTTTTTTTCTTCACTTTTTACAGATGAAAGGAAAAGGGAACGAAAAGGAAAACAGAAAGCAACGTCAGAAAATGAAAATGGTAGGAGTTGATGGACATAAAGGTTGACCCTAAGCGTACTCTTCAACTATCTGTCAATTTAGTCAACATCAATTATGATAACAACAACAACGTGAACAACATCGCCAACAATAGTACATCTAATAATGAGAATAATAACGACAAGTTGAAAAGGAAAACCCAAATGAGAGTCAAAATTAGCCTCACAACGTTGAAATGAAAAGCAAAATAAGGATGAACTCATAAGTCGCAAAGTATTGGATTTTTTAGGACAAGATCACAAATATAACAAATAAATTCAAATTAAGATAACTTGGTTGAAACTAAAATCATTGAAAACGCTGAAAAAACATAATGACGAGACTGATAAGTTAAATATGATGAATAGAGAGGAAAGTCAATAAAAAGAATAGACAAAAAAGAAGAAAAATATTCAAGAAATCATGATGGTAATTATGATGAAAGAAAAAGCTGATAATGTTCCAGGAAGAAAAGGTAGTTAAAAAAGAAGGTGAAAAAGGGGAAAAGAGACAGAAAATGATTTTCACTGGAAATGTCATTTTGCATTTACTAACAATCCTAAATAATAATTATAACAATAACATTATTATTGTCATTACAATTGAACAAGCGACCGCTAATGTTGATGTGTCTTAAATTTTACCCAAAAAGGAGCCTGAATTCATGCCACAAGTGGAAGCTTGTACTGAAAACTGCGTACGATGGGTCAATATTTTATCGTAGACTAAATGTTTGGCTATCATACATTTTCGTGAGTTGATTGTTAGCATCATTGCCAGTTTTATGGACATCAAGAGAAACGAGTTCAACAAGACAATCATATTGCTTGGGAGCGAGAGAATAACAAATAACTTTAGGAAGAAGAATGAAAATGGTAAGAATAATGATAACTTACACTAATTTTTCTTTCGATGATTTTTCCAGTTTTGCATGATGATCATCAACCTCTTGGGCTAGTAAATCAGCTCGAGCATTAGCTTCACTCAGGTTCACCCTTAACTGATCCCGTTCAGCTTTAGTCTGTTCGTACAAGATTCTGCAAAAAGAAAGCAAAAAGCAACAAATTTAATGATAATATCAAATGAGACCAGAAAAAGAAAAGCAAATTTTATCCCAAAATGTGTAAAATTTTCATATTTAATGCAAATTTAAAGTGATGATGTATTAGATTTAGGAGTGTCAAATTGAGATGATCATTTGTTGTATGCGTGTTTATTTGATTGGTAAAAAAGTGTCTTTTTTTCTTTCCTTTATCGCAATTATCTTGATGATCTGATTTCATTTATTCAAATGCTAATCAAATTTTGCTTCTTTTTATTTCATGATGACCATCCGATGAAAGGCAACTGCCATCATCAATAAGATGAACAATCTTGAAACCATTATCTTGAATGATTATTATCATATTAATATATATATATTATTTATATCTTTAATAACTCTATTTCAATTTTAATATTTTTTGGTTAATTTTTTTCTTTCCTATCAAATTTCTCGCTAGTTGCTTGATTGCTTAGTTTAACATGTTAATCAATGAGAATAGAGTTTGTTTAGATTTTATACTTTTTATAATCAGAATTACCTTCCCTCATCTAATTTAACCCTAATTGATTGAAAGTCAAATAACCAACCCTTTTGCTCATTAATAATATAAAAATTGATCAATAGTAATAGTAAACCATTCCACTTGATAGCAACAATCAACTGTACATTATCAATTCATTCCCTTTCATTGTTTAGTATACAGTTGGTTACAATTATGAAAGGTAAATTAGAGTTACCTTTAATTGACTCAAAGTCAAGTTAACTTGAAATTTCAACAATTACTGTTGACTATTTGATTATTACTTGAAATGAAATGATTAACACTTATTTTTCAATCTTGTCAACAGAAATACTGGAACATGGAAAGGTCAAAGCCTTTAATTGAAACAAAATTGGTTGGAAAAAAATGTGTCACCTTTTATGATTACTGATAATCTTTGATAAAGGCTTGGAACAATTCAAGGAAGAAAATGGAAGAAGCAAAGGAAGAAAGAAATGAATTAATAAGGATTCAGATAATTTACGCCTGTTTGTCTGTTCACTTTCATTGATAGACACAAATGGATTAAAAGGTTCAGTTGAACGGACTGTTGACTGAATAACTGATTGAATAATTAATAAAGCTTCTCCAAACACAGTTTCAAGGACATGATTCAACTGAATACAGTGAGTTGAGTACAATGTTGGTGGCAACAGTACCCAAAAGGACCGGCTATCCTGAATCTTTGATCATTATTACTACAAGTTTGTCCTCAATTATTCTGCATGCTTGATAAGTATAGAGAAAGGAAAGCGAAATAAAGGGAAACCAAGTGACAATCATCAATGAAACATTAATCAACGAAACGCACACGCACACAACAGTTGGGGTGTTAATGGATTAACATTCGGTGAATGTATACAAAAGTACAATTTAATGTACATTTGGTGAGAAGCTTACATGTTATATGTACTTACTTGGTATAATTAAGCTCATGTTGGAACATTGTTAATGAGATTTGAAACAGATCAGATGAATTGGTGAATGATGCAAAAAGCTCCTCTTCAAGAGCAATTGAAAGATCTCGTACATTGATACGCCCTGTTTTATTGTCAAATCCAAGATCCTAGTGAATAGATGAATAAAGGTTATTATAATGGTGAGTAGTTCATGAAAGTTAACACATAAACATTTACTTCAACAACCAGAATCAAGAGTAAACCAGAGCGTGATTTAGGTTACTTTTTATCCTTTGACAATTTGAGACAAAGATGATTTACATCAATTTAACTCTCTTTTTTACTCCTTTCATTCATTGTGTTAGTTTGTTCAAAGTACAAATTTAGACTCAATGAAAGTGTTAGTTTGTTTAAAGTAATAAACTCAACTATCAATCAACAATTAAATTTTAAAATCTCTTTGATTTCCTCAAACAATTTCATCAGCAGAGGTTAAAGTTGTTGCTATTGATTTTTGGTAATGTCAGCTAATGGTAAACATTATCGATGAATTGTAATGATCAAATTAACTTGTAAATGTTGTCTTATTTTGATACTCATTCACTTCTTGTCTCTATTTTAATTTAGGCTTTTCAAACTGGACCTGAACAAATCAACAATCAAATCGGTACTTTACAAGGATTGAATTGATCATTTCATTTTCGGTCACCCAATTTTTCCTGATAATCATTGTTATAACCCTGAACCTTTTTTTCATCATTCAAACTGGAAAACGGTGCTTTTTTGCATCATTCATTGTGATTGAATCAAGTTAATATTTAACCAGTTAATGATGTGTGTTTTTATCGTAAAGGTTCAACCTTTTCATTTAAAGCGAAATAAGACGGAAAAGTATCAAGAAAAGTATACAAAGCTAATCAACTAACGAAGGACATTAAATAGATGAAAGTTTAAATTGTTACACAACAGTAAACTGTTTATTGAACAATTTACGGATAATAATTGCAAGGTAGTCAGGGTTAAGAAAGAGTTGAATGACAAAAAGCAGCATACAATTCAAATTTAACAATGAAAATGCATTGTTTGACATTAAAGGTTTGATTTGATGAAAAAAACGGTTATTCAACTTATTTTTCATTCAATTTCTGGAATAGCAGTTAAAGCTCAACGAGTCAACCTTTGGTTCAACCAGATGAACGAAGATGTAAATGGTAAATAATATTAATTAGATTCAATTATAATGGACCAATTAGACGGATAAAAACAAGTTAACCAGGAATGCATTTTGATGAAATTGGAAGAAGGCAAATATCGAGGACAGAATAAAGATTAACAGAGTAAAACGTATCATCGTTGAGTTTGGTCTAAATTTTAATGATGAATTTATTGGTGGAAAGGTTAACAATTAAAAAAGCAAAAGGAACCTTAAAAGAAGTAAATTAAGAAAAGTAAATGGAAATTAAGTTGAGAAGCAAAGGAACACACATCTCATAACCGGAACAGTAGCTTCAATCTAAACATGTTAACTGGTCAGAAACATTATCAACTTTACCATTAACAGTAAACATAAAGCAGTACCAGTAAAGTGAAGCTGAAACACACAAGGATATGCAAAAGAAGCATCAACTTAATTGTTCCTGAACAAGTTTATCAATTTGTTGATAAGTGGATTGATGTTTCACCATCTCATCTTTCACAGTAACCTCATGACAATCAACAGTATGTTGACCTCAAGTTTCATCGGTGATACGAGACCTGATTTGTACGCTACAAGACTGTTGACAGTATTTGGTTTAATAATGGATGGACACATTTCATCATTAATTAGCTACAATACAAGCGCACCGGGCTGTAAGATTAATGTTTCACTGAAACAGTATATGAACAGGCGAAAGATGAATGATAACTGTCAATTACACGTTCAATCAATCTATTTTTCTTTGCTGTTAATTTTATTTTGGGATTTATGTTGAAAAATGGATCCATTGATTAGTGAGCTCAACATCAATGTTTAAAGAAATAAAAGAATAAGAAAAATTAAAATGTGGAACAATTAAAGGCTGGTTTTGTGGATATTGATAATTAACCAGGTTGAACCAGATTATGGATTGTCATGTTTCCAGTGAATGGTGAATGTTTTGGGCTTTGAAAACTCAGATGGTCGTAAAGAGCAACCCTCTCTTAATCGGGTCACATTTCGGTGTGTTCTTGGCATCATTAATGGAAATCGGAGCGACTTTTGTCTTTGATCAAACCTTTCAACTGGCAATTTGCTTAAAATTAATGGTCCACGGGTTGAGTCATTAATTGAATTGATTAAATCAAGTCTACCAAATGGTTTCATTGATTCATTAGGAAAAGATGGTTTGACTGAAGTTGTATCATTTGATTTAACTTGATCAACATTTCCAGAGAAGTACAAATCATTTGAATAATCGTCATCAGATTCAGCAACCATTAAATCATCCTCAGAAGCTTCATCTTCGCCAACATCCTCAGAGTCCTCAGTTTCTTCAAACATTTCATTTTTACCTTCGTCATCAAACTCCAAATCAACACTTTCTACTATTGATTCAGCTACTGAATCTTCAGGTGATCTCAAAGAACTAACCATTTGACCAAGGCTAGGATGCTGATTTGAAAGTTGGAGAGAGCCAATTTTATGGTTAATTGCTGGAAAAAGAATCAAAAGCGACTGATTTTGTTTGGACTTTCCTTTTGAATTAACTCCATAAACACTTTGGTTCCGAGCAGAATTTGATTTCCATCGTTGATCGGTATGTGACTTGTCATAAAGCAGGTCTAAATTAGGTGAAGTCGTTGAGTTAATAATCAGGGGAAATGTTTGTCTAGAAAGTATCTTTTGGTTGGAAGAATGAGCATTTGAATTATTTGACAAACGACCAAATAAAATAGCGCTTGTGCTCGTACTCAGAGACAGTTGAAATATTAAGGAAACAACAAGTGAAGGAACAGTAATCATAGCGATAAACATGATGGACAGTTGACTGATTAACTTGGAAATATAACAAATCAAGAATCAAGCCAATGATATTTATAAATCACCAGAAAAACTAAACCTCAAGGTTTGAGCCAATCTTTGATCAACTGTTTGGACCTGAAAATCAAGGTTAATCGCAATTAACAAAGAAACCTTTTGAATCTCATAACTGATCACAATTAGGCTAATAATGAAAATTGTATCATATTGATATTTGCTTTAATGGCTGAACAAATGATTTACCAGTTTTATGAAGTAAACAAATCTGTATTATTCTGGTTAACCCATCTGTTTGATCAGTTCATAGTTTGACTCTTATCTTCATCTATTGGTCATTAATTAATTGTTTATTTTTTATTGTTACCTGAATATCAAAATCATAGACATAAAATAGCTAATAAGAAACAATTATTAGATTCAATATTTACACAGTTAACTTGAATGAATGCTTAACTATTTGAGTAATTCAACAATAGAGTTCCAAAATCAATCTATTCAATCAATTACTTTTGATAATTATTTTGATTATTGACTGGCAATCGATGTAAAAGGGTAATTTGTCCACATATTGTTACCATTGAAAAATGCGTAATTGAATGGTTTGGTCCAATGATGATTGTACCGAAGAGCAACCATCAAGTTAAAACCCAATCTACCTAATTATGTTTCTTTGGTTTTCCATAATCAGTGGTGACAATTTATTGTTCAAATTGAAAATTAATGTTAATTTTTGTCCTTGTTACCAGTAAATCCCAATCGATGCAAATCAAACTCTCAAATGGCCATCAACACTTAATGCTGCAACATCTTGATTAGTTTTCATCAATTCAATCGTTTAGACATTATAATAACTCAACAATGAATTTGTTTAATTTTTCAACAATTTGTGTCACTCTTGGAATTATATTGACCATCTCAATACCAGCAATTAAAGGTGAATCAGGGAAGAAAAATAAATTTCGAGGAAGTCATCGTTCAAAAGGCAATTGTCATCTCAAAGAGATTCACAATTGTTTTGAAAAGATTGATCGTTACTCAAATGATTCAGACTCATTCAAGTTGATTACAAATGATCCTGGAATCGACATGATTTGCTCGTAAGTACAATCGAACCATTTTCCCAATTAAATTAATTAATTTCCTTTCATTATCTCAGACATTCTAAAGATGGAATCAATTGTCTTAAAGATCACATGGAAAGATGTGCAACTCCGATACAAAATGAAATGTTTGAATTTGCTAGTGAACTCTTCTCAAAGTCAATTGACAGGTTTTGTAAAGATGGTGAATTAAGGCAAAGTAAGTACAATTTTAATGTTAATTGTAACAATCATTCATCTTCTGTTCATTTTTCTCAATCAATCCAGACTTTCTCCAACATTCACCCTGCATTGCTGACTCGGTCTTGAGCAAACCAGAATACAAGGAAAAATGTAATCAACCTTATGTAGCGGCTATGGATGCAGTCAGCAAACAGACTGATTTTGATGATAGACTTTACTTGACTTGTTGCTCATACAATCGTTGGATTAACTGTTTTCTCGAGTAAGTAATTACATTAATCAAACAGCTTAATGGCAATTTGATTTAAAAATAATGATAAGTGAAAAATCAAAGCCACTCTTAATGTTGTGAGAGACTTCACACAGAAAGCTTTATTTTAAACTGTCGCTGACTTGACGACTCCTCAACTTGCCATTAAATTGTACCATTAATATTCACTTACGATGCAAATAATTAATACAATTATTGTTTTGATTACAGAATTGTTTCATCTTCATGCCAAGATTCGGGTAAACAGGCAATGGACGACTTCTTGGAGAAATCATTTGCTGGCTTAAGTACTTTAATCTGTTCTCAAGATGATTTCTTGTTTACCTCTGAAAGATGTAAATCACTTTATCCACCTGAAGGAACCATCGTTGACCCAAATCAAGTACACAACCCAATAACCAGATACATGACTTCCCATTTCCGTTTCCTTCTGACCAAATGAATGACCATTTGAAGACCATCTTTACCCTCAACATGGAGTGTTATTAACATCAATTTAAAAGCTGTAAACCTCTAACTGTTAAATCAACACATCAACCAGTCAATTGAACCTCAAGATTGGTGTTACCAGTAAACATGAACAACAATGGAAGCTTCAATACAAATTCAATAAGATTTAAGTGAATAACGTTCATTCCTTATAATTAATCAATGATGATGAGAAAATGAAATGTATCCATTAAACAGACAAGTCTTTAAACAGATTTCCGTCATCGAATTGACCGCATAATTATATGAGTTGAGCAAAAATTTGGTTAGTAAAACTAGTTACTTCAATCCTACACAATCAAGAAACCATCATTATCAGCTGATGATCAACGATACATCGATGGCGCATTAATGTTAGTCATTTTGGTGAAAGAAAAGCAAAAGAAGGTAAAATTATAATGAAATAATAATATAGAGAATAAAAATTGATGCAGAATTTGTTTTCTAATCACAAGGTTATCATGAATAACTTTTCACGGTTTCATGAATCCTGTAGATTTCATCATGAAAATAGTGAGAGGGGAAAATGGTTTCTTCATTTTTAGCTGCAAGTCAGGGAAAAGTCATAATTTTAGGTTCAATAAATATTCAGCCAACGGTATCTGACATAATCAATGGAACTGCTCATCATTATCATCATTATCATCAATTGTGTACTTGATCATGGATCAGTGATTAACTTTGAAATTTTAATTATTTCCTCATTTCAGATGAAACTTTACCAATTGAGAATTGACAATAATTGAAGCTCAATAGATATTGAAATCATTTGCTGGTGGCCCAATAAGCTATTAAAAAGATATAATTTAATTTACATTTTTGTCTTCAATCACAATTATTGATTTAATGTATTTTATCACTTGGCTTCATCTTAATGAATGTCTCATGATAGCGACTATTCTCATCAGAATTGGCTGTAAGAATATCGACGGTAAATGGTTTAATGTTGAAGGGCGATTTTTACTTTTACAATGTTTTATCATTTGAACTTGATAATCACGATTTGGGTTTATTTTAACCATCATTTTTCATTACTTTAAATCAAATCTTGGTGTTGCCATGATCAACTGCGGTCAATTTACATGAGTCTCCAGGCCATAATCAGCACCATTTGGTATCCATCCAATCCAATCATTCATCTTTTGATCATCTTCGCTATTCACCAGAAAATCATTCAAGTAACATCATGAACCAAGCATTCAACGGAACCTGTATAAAGTTCATCTCTAACCATCATTCAACTATTGATACTGATGATGATTATCATCATGATTATTATTATTTTAATATCTTAACCCTTCAGATAAACTTAGAAAGCTATTGGCCCAATTAGTGCAACGCCAAAATCATAGCAGACTGACGGCTGGCCATCCATCGGGAATATCCGAAAAATAAGATTCTAATAGCAAAACTGACTGACTCGTCATCAAAACACCCACACGATATCTGAAAAATTCACAGTTGCTACTTTACAGTTGATAATTGAAGGCCTAAACCATGCTCAAAGAGACACCATTACTTAACGAAGCCAGTCCATTAGCCATGATACTAGAGCTTACAAGAATTGAAAGTTTCTCTTAATCTCACACAGTTGACGAATAAAATAACCTTTGATCTCCTGGCTTGTCCGGACTCACCATCATTGTCGATGTCAACAAGTTCCATTATGATATTGGGTTAGATGATATGAAGAAATGTGGAGATGTGGAGTTGAATGGATGTGAAAATAGTCTTGACGATAGTTTGAATGAATTGAGATGAAGAGATATATTTAAATCGAAGATGGAATCAGAAGCAAATATGATCTTTGAAGCAAACCGGTACAAAATTCATCATCTCAATTGATTTTGCGTTGGCAAAACGCGAAGGATAAATTGGTAGAAATTTGAGTCACACAATACACTTCAACGTTTGCAAACACATTGAGATTGAACAAGAAAAAGCTGGTTACTTTTAAATAAAATAAAGTTAATAATTAAAGTTGAATAAAGTTGATCGTTAATGATAATCAACAAGTAAGGTATGACTGGTAAAGAATGGAAATAAAAACTTTGAATTGGCGATGGCGATTCACAGTCATGACACATTGTTACCAAATTAGATTTGTTTTTACGGAAATTTATTGGGCTTCAATTAAATATAATTTTTAGGGCATTTTCAATTTGTTATCCAATTCAAATGGGGCTAAGTTTAAGTTATCGTCGAAATCTCAAAGTTAATTTTGCTGGTGACCATCCAGAACTAAGCTTGTGTGAATGCAGTAAGCAAATGAGGGCTCATGAAATCAAATTAGGTTCAGTCTATTGAATCGGTAGAACAGTTAGGAATGAAAAAAAATTTAAAAAATCATGCGAATTGTTGCCGAAAACCGACCAAAATGACGGAGCGCGAATTTGCCCGTTTCAAAAAATTGATGACAGTTGGACTGGTTCACAAAGGGAACTGACCTCAAATTTCGACATTTCCCTCATCTATTGTCAAGAATAATTAAAAAAATCGGTATAAAAGCCTGGAAACGGATTGATTTATCCAAATCAGTCCTGGATTACAGTGTTTTTTTTTCGTTCTTTACCAGTCATACCTTATACCTAAAAAACCCTTTAAGGATTGATTAAAACAGCTGGGTAACCAGTAACCTTGGTAAAATAGTCTTGAGGGTTTATCAATAAATTACAATTTGCAAATAAAATAACCAAATAAAGCTACAGACAATTGAACTTCTTAACCTTTTAGCTCATTTTTTTGCTTCTAATCAACAATTAACACCAACAATTTCAAATTAATAATAAAAATTCAACCAATTTTTCATTTTCAAACAAAAGATTCACTCATTTAATTCCTATCTTTAAGGTTGAACCAAATATGAAATTGAGCTCAAATTTGTTAATGATAACCTAAATTTATTCAAATTTCATCATTAATTGAATTAAGTAGAGATTAATAAACTTCTAGATTAGACGAGACCAATTGTAAATAAAGGAGACACAAAAAAAGAGTTTGATTGATTGAAAAGAGAAACAGAAAAGTGTATTTGATATTTGTATTTCCTGATCAAATCAATAGCCAGTATTGGCAACAACGTTTAATGTACATAATTCATCATCAGATAAATTGTTTCAGGTATATTTTATGACCTAGATAGCCTATGGTTTAATCAATATCGATCAATAGCTTTCATGACAAAGTAATGTTAACCTGAAAGTAAAACGCAATTTCACCATTTCAGAGCCAATTTCATTCGCATTCAAGAATTTTTCATCTCTAAAAGTCACCTTTTCTCAAAAAAATTGAAACTTGAAAACCAATGAAAAATTGCATTTAACTGTTACAATTAACTAAATTGTAGGCAAGAAAAGGAAAAGTAAAATTGTCCTAAAACTGGTTCATTTGTGGATCATGCAATTGTGTTCATTGACCTTCTCACTTTTCCGATGACCAACAAAATGAGGGGAAAATTACAATTTAAATGATCGCTGTTAAGGATAACCATTTAATATTCTGGTTCATTTGATTAAGTGTTAATCATAATCAAATGGATTCACAAACAATTTGCTTATTGCGTGCAAAAAACATTACAAAAACCTTTCAATACTCAAAGCGTTTGTTTTCAACTTAACAGTTAACAACAAAAACCTTTCAATGGTCATTTAAATCGCCTCTAATTTTTTCTCAATCTTTCATCATTTTTAAATAGCAATTTAATCAACAATTTTAATCTCAATCTTAAATCAATTGAAAACCAACTCGTAAACCCATTTTTAGATCAACTCTTTTTTTCATTGAAACCAACTTTTAGGTTGAAGAAGTAAATGTTTTTTCAATCAATTAATGAAACAATTAAACAATTGACTTACCTTAAGCAGCATTTTGGCATTTGTAAAACCAAAGGAATCCCATAATGTAAAAATGCTATCACAATCAGCATAACTGTTGAAGAGAAATTTAATTGTAATTAAAAGAGTTCGAAAAAACTCAAATCGAAAGGTGGTTAAAGCGCGTTAATTGTAACAATTATTGATAGCTCGTGTTATCATTTGAATATAAAGGTTTCATTAGAAGTTAATTTGGTTAATTGTGAATGATATGATTACAATTAATAAACAGTAAACAATGACTCGTGATTCAATTGTTGATAAAGCTTCAAAGGTGTAACTTGAAAACCTTTCAATTTAACCCTTCAAGTGAACCATTGAAATGACCATTTCAATTGATTCCATTTTCAAAGGATGTCTTTTGTTTTCCCTGAAATCCAATTAAACTAATCACTAACACTTTAATGATATCGGTTAAACCCGGAAGAGTTTTAGACCTCAACAATCAAGTTAACTATTCAATTGATTGTTCAACAAAATTCAAGTTAAGCTTGAAACGCTTTCAATTAACTCGACTTTTTTTCACCCAAAAAAACCTGCAAAATGAGATTCCCTATTTTGAACCATTTTTGGCCTTTTAACCAGATTTTAATTTAGCTTGTTAATTATAATGTTAAATTGTTTCAGCTTCAAGCATATTGATGTTTGAATAAAAGGTGATTAATTGTGATCATCTAATCATGAAGTCTGTAGTACTTTGGAGTCTTGTAAATCAATTTAGTGTGTAAACAAAAGGGTTGTCGATTAAAAATTAATAAATGATCAAAATTAGAAGCTAATCATTATAATTATAAAGCTTATTAGTTAAGGTCAAGTTTACATCGATATTGACTTTAAATGGTCAATAGTTTTAAGGTAAAAAGGTTTCAATAAACGCTTTATGTTTCATTTAGGATTGTTTCCAATATGGAAAACAAATGTTATCATGATTATCAATTATACACTTGAGATGCTAAATTGAATCCCAAATTGAACATTCAGTTGAATCGTTACTAACTCAGCCCATTTGATTGATGAAACAACAAATGAGTTCAACAGCAAGACTGCACAGTTAATCAAGTAACAATTGATCGACTAGAATCTAGTAAATCAATTGTTGCCAACAAAAGAGTTAATTAGTATTTTCAACTTAATTGTTGCTCAAATTGAATATCCTTAAATGATGAGATAATCATAAATAAATCAAGATAATTTTGACTAATAAATTGAGAGCTGAAAATGGTTCAATCTTCAGAATAGATTTTGGAAAAGTTGAGAAAACTTGGAAATTAAATTTCACGATTGAGTTCGTTCATTACTGAATAAAGTTGCTCATTGATTTGGGAATAAACTAATTCTGTTTGGAAAAGTTGAAAGTTTTCCAGGAAGATTCAGCATTAATCTCTTCAATGATTTCGAGAGAAAATCTGAAAAATTATTTTCTTTATTTCGTTTGAAATATTGAGCTTTGCTTCTTGTTTCCCAGCTTTTGACGGAAAATTTTCATTCTCATCATTTAAGGATCAGATTTGGGTAAATGTCCAGATTATGCTTTACATGATTCTGTTATCTTTAATCTGAAAAGTGAAAGAAACTGAAAGAAACGTTGAAATTTTGAGCTTGTAATAATTGAAACAATTTGAATTGAACCTTTTGAAGTGACTTTGAGTGACTTTACTTGATAAACTCACCCAACATTCAATGGATCCAATGATTGAAAATAGTTGCCTGTTGTACCAAAGCTATCATCTTCACTTGGCTGCCTTGAATTTGATTCATTTGGTTGACATTTAATGTAACTGTGATCGGCTGTGAGTGAAACTTTACGCTTCTGATGGTTATTGTGATGAGTGTTGTGAAGATTATGATATTCAGTCTCTTGTATTGCATGGTGATAACTCATTGAAGAATCAGTTTCTCCGGTTAAATCAATTTTCTGATCAAATGGATCATCAGAAGTCAATTTAAATAACCCGTTTACCTGTTGATTGCAATTATTAACAACATAGCTTCGATTGTGTTCCTAAACAAAAAGAAAACAAAAAAAGCAAATTAAAGTGACAATTGAATCTTCATCAACAATTATTGTTGTCAAAAATCAATGTTACAACAAACAACAAAATCAATAATTAACCTTCAAGTTCACTAGTAATCATAAAATTGGATTAAAAAACCTTTGTAAATATCATAAGAGTATTGATTGAATCGTAGGTCTTCAAAAATAAAGTAAATTAATCAAGGTTAATCAATTTAATCAACCTTCAAAGAATCAAGGTTTTCGAATAGAAGAAACAAAATTTTGAAAAATGACAAAAATGCCTTTTCTCAGCTTTTTTCACAGTTTCTTGATAGACTTTGCTTATAAACTGAATTGGAAACTGAATGCTTTGAATCCTTTGAGGTTCATTGAAGTGTCTGAATATTGATTAAAGTGATTAATGGATAATGAATACTTACAAATAAACCTTGAAGCAGTTCATCAAAGCTGACTTTACCATCTCTATCACAATCTAGTTTCTCAAACAATTGTTCAATCACATCATCAGATATTTCCATTCCAACATGTTCACAGACTGCATACAATTCATTGATATTGAGATAACCATCTTGACCGATTCTCAGTTTATCCCAAATTGAACGTAACAAGTGTTCAGCTGAATTGGGATTAATTGTTGGTGATGAGGTTGCTCCTGATGAACAGCTATTATTAATATTTGTACAAGAATCCATCATTGAAGGACTGTTATTATTATTAAGGCGATGATGATGGTGATGATGGTGATGGTGATGATGATAATCATCGATAAGTTGATTATGATGTGAGGTTAAACTGTTATTGTTACTCGAGTTATTGTTATTGTTATCGTTATTTGTATTGTTACTGTTACCATTACAATTGTAACCATTTAGATAATCATTTTGTCGATGTTGAGAGTGTCGATGATCTAATATTGATTTACCATTTAGATCGTCATCTCTTGTTGGTGGACATGTTGATGTTGCTGTTGATGAGGTTGATGGTGAGGGTGATATTGAAGGTGCTAATGAAGATAGAGATGAACTCGCGGATGGAACAGATAAAGTAGATGAATTTACTGATGAACAGGTTGATGTTGAGTTGGTTGAACAAGTTGGTGAAGGTGAGGGTGATGATGGCTTACAATTTGTGGAGGATGAAGGCGATGAACAGGGTTTGTGTTTGATTGGTGAACAGGGATTTGAAAGGTTTGGTATCTCATCATAGCCAACCTGAGATCGAGTCAACAGCGATACAAAAACTTCTTTAAATTCATTGAAATCAACCTAAAAAATGGTGAAACCAGAAAAAAAAGAGAGAAGAAAATTGTAAAAAAGAAAAAATTAATCAAAAGTCAATCAAAGGCTAAAATAACATAATAATGGTAATGATGATGATGATGGCTATTATCATGTAACAATGCATGTTGACCCTTTAACATTACTTATTACATTGACCTCAATAGTGACCTAAATTTCAACCATAGATGTTATTATTAACCTTTTTCTGGTTAAATCAGTTTGCTTCAGTTTTGTCAAATGTTGGGTTGAATTAAGATTAGCTTTTGTCAATCAATGAACACTTTATAATGCTAATCAATGAATTCATTTCAATCATCAGCTTTTAATCATTTTATCGTTCAAATGAACGGCTGATTGAAGAGGATTTAAAGGACAAAATTAAATATAAAAAAGTTCCTGAAATGCGGAAGACGATCGCCAATCTTGAGAAATATTTCAGTTTTCTTCCTTTTCTTCATCTTCACCAAACAATGAACCAATTTATCATCAATTTTTCAGACCAAATTTGGTTTACTTTTGATCAGTTGATTACAGGTCGTATATCAATTCAATTGCTCTAAATTATTTCCTTTCACCAAACATTTCAACAAACTTATTCTCAAATTGTTCACCTTAAAATTAAAAGGTAAAAATTGATCAAACCTTATTCAATTTACTATCAACTTAATCATGAAAGGTTCATCTCGATTTAATTAGCTGAAAACGAGCCAACTTTACGTTTTATTTGAACAGGTTAAGTGAATCTCAATTTTAATAGATTTGATAAATTGACTAAACAATGAGCTAAACAATTTAACCTCAGAATTGATTAAAAGTCAATGTTAGTCGAAAAAGTGAATCAATTTGTTCAACTGTTACAATCATTTAACCACAAAAAGAAACACGAAATGTTGATTAAAATGCAAGAAAATGGTTAACTTTAATTGCAAACAAAAAGTGATAAAAAAACATGAAAATTGCATTAACTTGAACCTAAGGCTAAATGAATAATCAAAAATGACAACAAATTTTGGCCTCTTTTTAGACTCATATTTCAATTGAAAATGAATACAAAAAACATGAAGAAACCTGTAATTAGTGGATCAATGATATCAATGATTAACATCATCTTCCTCCTCCTTTGAGTCACTTTCAGCTAATTTTTGACGGCAATTCAATAACAAAACCCAGTTAGTTAATCAACATTTGGGGCGATCAAAAGCACCACCAGAGAGTTTGTTTTAAGTGTTTACCCTTGAGCAGTTATCACCTTTAATTCAATTGCAACTGAATTAACTGTTTTTAAAACATTATCTTGCAGATGATCAAACATGAATAACAAAGGTAAACAAGAGCCTCCCATTGAGTTTCAGAAGAAATTGTCAGATTAATGAATTAATTAATTAACGATAAAAGGTTGAATTAAAACAAAATTCATGTATTTGTAGAAGAAATAGTTGATTATTCAAATTTTGTGAATCGCATTTCATCTTTCTTCTTGGCGTTCGCGTTCGCCATTCAGTAAATCAATCAACTAATGGTCATTTTAAATGACAGATTAAAACCATTTGGTATTTGCTAATCCAGATTTAAATGATGAAATATTCATTAGATTTTTAACTTCAATTAAACTATAAATTGATAAACAACATCTAATCAGGTTGTATGAATATCAAGAAGCAAAGTGTCTCAACTTGTTTACCTTTCACTGGTCAGAATGTGGTTCATCATGTAAACATCTTCAATCAAATTCAGGATAAAATTAGCTTCAGTTATTGAGCAAACAGACTTGACTTTCCTTCTTGTCCCAATAATAATGCAAAATAACCCGATGAGACATAAAATGTGAGCTACAATAAAAGTACAAAAGCTTTTGAATAAAAGACTCAACCTGCTCGCATTGCCATAAAGATGCAATTACTCGAAGACGAAAATACATCAAATGCTCTTAATTTACCGAAAACAATTGGCAAAATTTCTGGTTAACCCACAATATTTTCGAAGAAGAAAAAATCTCAAAAAAAAAACAACTTCTCGCGACCCAACAAAGATCCAAAGATGCAACCCAACAAGTCCAACCTTGTAGCTACAACTCGACTGTTTATTAACATGAAAATTAGCTAAATGGGTTACTTTGGATTCACATGTAGATGAGTTGGTAACATTTGCTCTATTTGAGGGCAAAAAGAGGAAAAATTCAGTCTGATACCGATTACAGGCGAATTTCTGGTCAACTCGAAAAACCAAAAGTATCCATCTTTTCGTCAGCCAGTGGTTTCAAAAGAGGTTGGAAATCAATCGCTCATCTAATGCATAGACTCGGCATAAAGTGCGATTTGGGTTTCAATGGATGTACCTAAATCAATCATCTCTAGATGCCTCAACCAACATCACTGAATATTGTAAAAACTGAATCTTTATAGTTGAAGTCATTTCACTTGACAATCGTCATCTTATTTCTGGTATTTGGCATTTCAATTTTGTCCTATCAAATGTTGTGTTCATTGGCAACTTGATGTGATCTTTGAGTCTTTTCACCTCTGAATAGCAAGTAACCCGACAAGACCTTTTGACTTGACCAGTCATCCGACACTTTTCATGATTGTCATTATCAGACTCAATCAACATTCAGCCATCTGTTTGAGCTGTTAATTTGTCCAGTTTAATTGTTACAGTAATAATGCAAAATAACTTGATACTGTTGACAAAAGCAAGAGTCAACTGGATTAACTTGTTAAGCTTCAGGTTGACTCTAGAAGTAAACTTTTCTTTCATTCAGTTTAATAATAGATTTCAATTGATTCAAAAGCGTTTATCCGTCACAATCGCAACCATTTTCTGGACACCAACTTAAAATGATTTATCATCAGATTATAATCGTTGTCACCTCAGTCCTAATCTCTTCCTGGACAAGATTGAATATCTTTCTAACCCAATTAACAATATCTAAACCGTCCAAACATAAACATACAAACATACAAATAGAAACAATTTTTTTTTGTTTTCTCCAAATTATCATTTCCATGATTTTGATGGTAAAAAAAGCAATTTGATTGTTTAATGGAACCATTTAGTTGATTGTTGACTTTGATGATGACTTGAAATGTAATTTAACTAACCAAACGTCATCAAAGGTAAAATGTAACTTGGCGTGTTTTCATTACAATATCAGGTAAACAATGAGCTTGAAACCTTCGCTCTTTTCATCACAAGAATACTAATGTTAATGTTAACCCTTAACAGTCTTTTCTAATTATTTTTGGGTCAATTGTGTCAAAAGCACTAATGACAGCAACACTGATGACGACGATTATGAGATGAGAAAAAAACCCAGAAAGTAAACCCACTAATCGACTCAATGTTGACCAAATCAACCATTTTTCACCAACAACTTGCCAATGTTCAGTTCGATCAATATTTTAATTTCAATCGATGACCTTCATTAGGTGCAAATATTCAAATTAGTTGACAAAGAGCATTAACCTTTTTCACTATAATAATGTTCCTGGCCTGGCTAAAAATACTAATAGTAATGATAATGATAAAGATAATCATAATCATAATAATCCTTATAATAGAGAGCAATAAAGATTAAGATGAATACAAGGAGGAACCTTACATTGGAAATGGTGTTAATGATCAAAATTAAGGCGTTTATTTACTGGATATTGAGAGTTGAGCTTGGGTCAAGATCATTTACAGATTAATCATTAAAAATCAACATTTTTTGGTACAATTTATTCAAAAAAAGATTTCACTGTTTCTCATTTTAAATTGACAAATGGTTAGTTAATGTCAAGTGATGGTTGATTGGTTTGCTTTGAGGTTGACAGCACTTTCATTTTAATCTCAATGGTTGACAATTGTTTCAATTTTTACCTTCATTTTATCATGAATTATCACTAGATTTATCATTTATCATTAAGATGTTTACAATGTTCAATCAAATGGCAAGTTTGACAGGTAAAACATGTTAAATGTTTGAATAAAAGATTATCCAAAGTTAAGAAGCTGATAAGATGTCAAAACAAGCGATCAGACTGTAAGCAAAGTAAAACAAAATTGTCATTAAATCATCAATAATTACAATTTAAAATCTCTCTGTAAACCAGTTGAACAATCAACTTGCAAAGATGGAAAGATGGAAATTCAATTTCTAGCAAAATCAAGAATTCACCAAAAATCGACTTCAAAATCAAACGATTCCATTCAAAGATTCAACACGAGCTGAGCCTAAGAAACACCTAAATGCTGAGGAATTTTTTCAAGATCAAATCAACTTCGCCATCAAAATCATAATCTGTGTCTAAGGAACCAATCAATACAATAACCTCAAAAGTCAATCGGTATTGAACCTTAATCTTGTCCCTTGTAAGCTTCAGTCAATAAGCTGTCACAATAATGTAAAATAACTTATGATGCTTTGAGCGTGAAACAAGTCAATAGTCAATCTAAAATTAAATTTTTGTCGAAATTAAATTTCTAATCAACAAATCAATTCAGTTATCATGTTAATGCAAATAACTGATAATGTCTTGACACTTGCACTAAAATTAGAGTGAAAACCTCGGCTTGAGACTCAACAAAATGTTACAAAATGTTATCAATCGTCAACCTAACGTCATTAATGTGGCAACTTTACGGCAATTATCATGTAAATGATCAGGAAAAATGGCAAATAATATTAATATAAATTGATTGCGTGATTAAACTTTCAATTGTAAAGACGATTCTTCTTCTTTTTTCCCAATCATTCTATTTGTTTTTAGATATAATATTTTTACCTTTACTTTTCCATTATTATTAGTTTAATGGTTTTGATAATGATAATGCTAATAACGCACTAAAGGTAGTTACAGTAAAAAACAAATAGGGAATAAAAGTTTCCATGAAAATAATCATGTCATCATCATAATTATCATTTCTAGTTGTGATGAAAAACCAAAGTGAAAGGTAAATTAATGATTGATTAAACATCTTACCTTGGTAAATGGATCAATTAAAAGATGATCAATAATGTAATAAGTTTGATCCTCATCCAATTGTAGTTTATCACAAAGCTCATGAAGCTCATCTTTACCCAACAGTTCACAGCCTGAACTGTCACAGGATAAAAAGACTTCATGAAGTTTATCAACATAACAGTTATTTGATTCACTGGTCATTGTTATACAATTGTTGACTGTTAATCCTGGTTAATGGTTAAACACAAGCACATTAAATGGACACAAGCGATTCCAATGGTGAACAGTTCATTTTGGTTAATCGTTCCAATGGTCAGTTGTAATTTACCTTTAAAATGAAACATTTAAAAGAAAGGTTAGTAAACATTTTGGGTGAAAAAAGGTAACTTGAAAAAAACATGGTTTGTGTGGTTGGGTTGCCTTCATTGATACAACTGTTTAACGTGAAAAAATACATCACCTTTAGGCAAGTCAAATCTTCTTCTCACTCACTCACTCTCCTCTCTTCCTTCCAGCTGTCTTTCTTCCTTTCTCATCTTCTCATCTTCTCGATCTTGACTCTGTCTTTACTGTCTTCTTTTGCTTTATCATCTGTTTCATTTTCACTCCGTCTTCCTCTCACTTATCTTCCTGTTTACCTAGTAACTAGGAGACTTACCTTGTCTCAGGACTATCTTCAACACGATTCGGGATGAATATGTGAAAACTGAAACTCGATATAAGAAGCAAAAATGAAAATCAACTTTGACTGTCAAAAGTTGAAGTCAAAATCGATAGTCATTTCACAGTCAACAGAGTCATCGGTAACTTGATAATGTTCATGTTAAACAATTTATTTTTCAGTTTTGACAATGGTTTTCACATTTTAAGTGATCAATAGTTCAAAACCTTGCATTACAATCAAATCAACTAGTAGCTTTGTGTCTAACCGATTTCTGGTTACAATAATGTGAGTCTCTATGAGCTGGTTATACAGAATCCCAAAGTGATGGTTAAACACCTCAAATAATCACAATTTAATATTCAATGAGAAAAAGGCACAGTTTTTTGAAATGATTGTTCAAGTCCTTTGCTCAAAATTAAACATAATTATTACAATTAAAGATGATTTAACACATGATTCAATTGCGCTTAAATGCTGTTGAACATGAATAATAATGGCAACAACCCGAAGATACCATTTGACTGTCAACCAGTGAACCTGGGAAAATGGGTTCAAACCTTTACTCAATAAAGTAAAGCGAGTTGACAGTTAGTCTAAATTGAACTTGAAACTACAAAATTGAATAACTTGAGAAAGTCAATTGACAAGATGAATAAGCAACATTAAATGTAACCATAATGATGATATTACAATTGCAATATGAATGACAATATAATCGGATTGTTCAAGTAGCCCATATCTTTACAGGGAAAGAAAAGCTTCTTTCGAGTTTACCTTCATTTTTTAGCTTAATTTTAACCACAACCTGATTCAACTGCATCTGATTACGATTATGATCATCAAGCAAAACTAACAACACCGTCAACAAACAGTATAATGGTTCAACATTCGCATGAAACACTGATCACTTTAAAAGGAAAAAATAATCGCAAGATTAAAAAAGCTCAATAAATGCGGTTCAACTGTTCATCTCTAATACAAAGAGCATTTTGACCATCAAAGTTTCACCATTTATTCATTTCATCCAAATTCATTGTTTTGATTGGAATGATTCAACTCCTTTAAACCCTATTTATACCCAGTGCCCGCATTATCATTGACCATAACGGTCAACATTTGATTCACATTCGATGATAAAAAAAGCAAAGAAAACGCAAATTGAGCTAAAAATGTCTCAATATGTATTAAAATATATTAAAAGCGGAATAAAAAAGGTTAATCTTTGTCCTGTTTAAAGTACATTTAACATGCAAACAAAAACATTATCAGTTAATCCGGGTTATCCTGAAAATTCATTCAAAACTGATTATTATAATTGTTATTGATTTACTGTTTACAGAAAATTCAATTTGAATAACTGTAAAAACGGAAAAGCTAAACAATCAAATGCAATTTTGTTTTTTAGGTGTTGAAGTGAATTCAAAGTGAATTTAAAACTGAATTTAAATTTCATTTTAAAACTCAATTTTAAGTGAATCTTGACTGGAAAATTAAGGGAAACAAGGTTGGTCTAATTGTAACAATTAAATAATGGTTAACCTGGTCAAGTAAAGATTTTGTTTAAACAATTAAATCATCAACTTTTCATTAGTTGGTTAAGCTAATTAATCATGATGAAGCGTTGATCATTGAGATTCCCAAAATTTCCATGTTAATCAGCTTGTATTGTTTACCAACATAATTAATAGTTTAATCAATTTATGAATTCAAAGTTGATTGAACGCGCCTTTAGACTGTTATCAAGTAATGAAACGATTTAAAGCTTTTCTTTCCTTCCAATCAGATAATTGTTACAATTATGATTAACCGAAGAGGAAATTGTTTGGTTAATTAAAGTGCTTTAAACTGGAGTCACAAGAGTCACAACTCATGTTTAATCACTTTTGGTTAATGAAGAGTTAATTGATTTCCAGAAAAGGGTTTAATTGTTATTAATGATAATTAAGCAATTGTTGGTTTATTTACATTTATTTTTACCTTTTTGTCTAATTGAATGATCGCAATTGAAGAAACGCTTTGAAACACAAATTTTTAATTTGCTTTTCTTTTCGGGAAAAGTGTGAAAAAGATTATTCAGATTGTTCAATTTTACTGCTCATGATGATGATGATGATGAGATTGAGAATGATGAATGTTTGATTAAAGGAAAAGATAATCAAGATGAAGATGATTAACGCCTTTTAAATTGTCAACCTTTATTTGCTTTATCTGTTGATCGCTTGTTTCTTGTCATTCATCATTCTCATTTCATCTTCATCATTGAAAGTTAATTAACTTTATTTGGGTTTAATTAAAATTGGATCAACACTATTAGACCTTAAATACACAATAAAATATCCGGAAGTGTTTACAAAGTCTACAAAATGTTCAATTGTCAAACTATTACAAGGTAAACATCAAACAGAGTAAACAATTGATATTGAAATGTCCATTAAATGCGTTACAATTTAAAGATAATTTCACCTTTTTTATCGTTCGTTTTCAATCATCTTTCAGTTTCGATTCGACTAATCATTACAAATTGATTTACTTTTCAAGGTTCGACTTTTAAATTTTGGTTTCAGGTTTTGGACATTTTTAGCAAATTTAGACAAACCTTTGAACAAAAAGATTATGGATTTTACTTTCTGTTGAATTAGCAAATTTTCATAATCTTTGGACAGCTTTTCATATCTTCCAAGTAAACTGAGTAAGTTCTGAATGTTTTTTCTCGTTTAATTCGTTAATCTGGAGGAACTCAGAAAGGCTCTTAAGTTTGGTTAATCGCTCATTCGCAAGGTTAAGCATTTTTGTTTTAGTTTAACAAATGTTTCAGATTTCAAAAGATGTGAGAAGCCGCTTAAACCAGAAAATCTCGTAAATCCATAATCTACTTTGAGATTTTTCTGTTTTCCTGAAAATAAAATAATCAATTTTAAATGAACGAACTGAAGTGAGGTTTGCTGCATCATTTCATCAATTATCAAGTTCTTCGCACTTCCATGGAATTTTTAACTATAATTTTTGACAATTGGACTAAATTTGAAATCACGGTCAGTTGACCAACAATCGTTAGTATTTGAACCTCTCTACTCAAGTGATGAAAGAAGAATGAAAATTTACTCGTTCGTTTGATATTTTGAGCTATTCTCATTGCGATTCAACAAAACTTTCAATTAACCGTCAAAAATGAAGAGCAAAACTCAGTATTTAAAGTTGAATTCAGGTTAAACTGAGTTGAAATGATGTTTCAGTTTGAAAGTTTAAATTAAATTATTGGTCAAAGCTGCAAGTTAATTACTCCAGTCATTAAAATAGTCCAAAAATAAAGCCTAAATGATAGCAACAATTAGAGTTTGGGATTAAAATTCAAGTCCAATGCGACTGTCAGCACGTAAAACAATGGAACGTGCAACTGATTAAGTGAATGGCACAAGATGATGGTAATGATCAAAATGATGATCAAGATGAAGGCAAGTTCAAGTGTAATCAAACAATTAAAGTAAACCTTTTCGCATTCTTATTACGATGTTGATACGAGGATGTAAAACGTGCAATTACACGTAACACGGGCGCAAACGCCTCTGACCTCCAAATCAAGATTGACATTTGCAAAGAGAGAGAAGAATGTTCATCTTCATTATCTTCATTTAATTGTTGTAATCATTTTAATCGACATGAAAAAAACTATTGAATGCTTAACCACATGCTGACAATTTGGAAAAGTTGTTAACACGAAAACTTCAATCAAACACTTTTCAATCGTTTAAATCAACTTCTAGTGTAAACCATTTCCACTTTACGCCATCATAATCATAATCATCTTATATTCATATTCATTAGTTGATTCGCAATTTAAACTTTCAAATTTATTCAATTAATCATTTTGTAAGTGCAAATAATGCTAACAGAATGGACTAAAAAATGAACAAAATTTAACTTCAATTTTGTATTACTTTCAACATTTCCTGTTCGGGTAAACCTGGTTAACCCTAAAGGCAAGTCAATCAAAAATTGAATAATCATTCAATTTGGTGCTTATTTGCTCATGAATGGTGACAGTATTGATTAACTTTGACAACCATAGGTAACAATTAACATAAATCAAGTGAAAGTGCGAAGAAACATGATTAATCTAAACTCAATTTAAACACTTCATGACCATTAATGGTCAACAAGAAAAACAATTTTCTCCAAAAAATTCAATTTCAGTTTGAAACATTTAATCACTTTTGTCACCAAAGTTCAGGTCAAACTAATTATTGCAATTGTTGGACATCGAACAATTCAAGGTTCAAAAGATTTCGATAAACTTTTCGATAACTTTAATCGTTTCGATTTTTTGTCCAACTTTTTTTCCAAACTTTTTTTTCTCAAAACTTAGTTAATAGTCGGGAAAGGGTTTAAGTTTTCCGTTTCTTGATTTGTTTTTTGTATTCATCACAATTTAAATGGAAGCCCGGAAATGTAATAATTAACTGAACAATAATGAAATTATTTTTTACCTTTTTTTTCGTACAATCATAACTGTTCTTTTGTGTTTACCTGGCAATATTTTTGATGAAAGTTGTAAATGATAAACAAGTTTACTGTAATCAGGTTACAATAATTTTTGGTGATTCAATTTTTTTATTCAGATAATTGGGAAAATACAATTTTCCAATGTAATTATAGTAACCCAAACAAATTGCTAAGTGTTGAGTGTCTCTCTTCAATTATTTAATATTATCAATCAAAGAATCAAATAATTGTTAATAAAATATATTGATGTTGATGATGATAATTCAAACAATGGGAAAGCTGCAGTAAAATTGATTGTTACCCAAATTGATTTGTTTCAAAATATTAATCACTTTTTCATTATAACGGAGTGCGTTTAGTTGAGTTTACAATTTGTGATAAAAATAGATTCCAAAGTAAACCCTTCTATTACCCAGAAGATGGTTTAGATTTGTCTTTGATTGATTTGATTTTGGTTGAGAAATGAAATCAACTTGAATTAATAAATTAAACTTTGATACAGTTTGGTACAGAAATGTGTTCAAGTTGATTGAAAAATGAAGGGAAAAGGCAATTTAATAGTTGCTGCCTGACGATGTTAAGTTATCACCTTTATTAGCAAAAGATGTTACAAAAAGAGATTTCAATTAACCCATAATACGTTTCATGATTAATTACATTGCAATAACTACTTTGGCTTTCTGAGAGAGAATTTAATTTAAGACAAACAATCAAAACTAATTAATCCTCCGAATCAATCAACTTGCTCAATGAATCCGGAATGAAAATCGAAATTAATTTCAATGAAAAACTTGGTAAGCATTCATCATAAACACTCGATTTTCGAGCGAGCAAAACATGTTCATTTGTAGACTGAAGAGTGCGTAAAAAACCAATAAGATCTTGATTATATTCTTATATGTCTCAGGTTCCATGTTCAGTAAGCCATTAATTACCATTATGGATTCTATGTTGGTCCAGACACTGGACCTGGACATTCGAAATACAATAAAGCTAATAGATTAAGGCATCGAACCTTCACTAGTGCAAACAGCCCGATGATGACCCGATACCTTAAGTCAGTCAGGTTGACGGTTGATCTTGTTAATCACAACCCAATAGAGTTTGCTTTTAAGTCAACTTGACAATAGATGACCCCACAAATTTACACTCAATTATAATTGTGATTCAAGACAACTTTTCAATCATAAAATCTTCATTTGGTGAGTTGAGAGCATTCAAGAGTTGCGATTCAACTTTGGTCAAACGTAACATTGAACTTTGTAAAATGTTTTAAAATGAAAAATGATTCAAGCCTATGAACTTCGATTCAATTCAATTGCTAAACGTTGACCTCAACTTTGGCGAAACTATCATTTGATCTTTGTTTTCAGATCAAACCTTTTTTTGTCACAATAATGCAAAATAAAGTTCAACTTTGGCTTAACCTTTGACCCTGCAAGTTGAGTTTTTCATTTTTCAATCTCGATGGTCAGATGAGGCAACTTGAACAAGGAAACATGATGAATCCATTCACACACATTTTCAATCCAATCCTAACGCTTCTCGCTCTGAATACTGGGTTAAAATGTTTGATTGAAGTGGAAATGAATTGAGGACAAAATTTTGCACCAAATCTTGAATCTGTTTTAATCTTTTCACTTGTGATGATAACAAAAGGAAAAGATGAATCTTATAATAATCAGTAAAGAGTTGCATCGTTTCATGACGATTGTAATCCATCAACTGTCCAATTAATTGAATATTATTCAACTGTTACTATCAGTTAAATATTAATTTCACTTTTGTTTCCCTTTCATTCCAAGTAAATCATTAAACATTTAATCGTGATCAACAAGTAAATATTAAACGACATGGAAATTGTCATCATGAAGAAAACATTTCATTCTGAAAACAAGCGGCTTTAATTAAATCACAATAATTCTTGTTTTCTGTATAATCAAATTAAGGTAGTCGTTACTGTAACCCACAATAAAAGATATTGTTATTGCCATTGTTTTGTTGATGATATTTTCTTGGTGAGCTTTATGGTTTGATAAAGAGGAAGACTTGAGAGACACAAAAAATGCTTATTTCATGAAGAAATTTCAGGAAATGAAGGAACCCGAATTAAGAAATTGAACAGCAAAAGGAAGTGAAAATAGTTTTCATCCAATATTTTGCTATCAACAAAGATAATTGTTTTTTATTTTTTAAGCTCAGGTAGGAAAACATAAGAGACCGGATTTGTTACCTTGAATCAACTGGAATCATTGTCATTTTTCATCATTTTTTCATAAGAATTTTTCTCAGCAAAAATTTCTATTTTGTCTTTTTCCAAATATTGCTATCAACCACAATGAAAATGATTTTAATCACTTTTTGATCCACAAAATGGACAATAAAATCATTTCAAACTCAACATTGGATTTGAGTCTGAATTGAAGTGCATTTAAGACAAAAAAGTATAATTTTCATGAATTTTATAGTTTCTTTGATATTCAAATCAATTGTTGCTTCGATAAAATCACTCAAATTCATGATCACGGCTACGCTCATTGGGCCACTGGTTATAGTCATAATAACTTAATAATTGATGCATTTTAACAGTAAACTTGATCTACTTAGCAACTTTCGATTTTCTTTAGATTAGATCAGATCGATTAGATGATTGAACCTTTTCAACTGTAAAATATTCAATTTATAGTAAACCAATAAAGCTCTGGATATTAAATGAATTTTCACGTTTCAACTCATTTGCATGATACAAATCGCACAGTTTGACACACATTTACAAACATTACCTTGATTTAGCTTTTAATCATGACAGGCAAGAGTTTCTTAAACTAATTAGTCCGGAATGATCATAACCTGTTGATAAATCAAAGTGGAGTCGATAATGTTTAAAATTAAATTTTCTCATTGGAAAAAAGAATGAACTGAATCTGAACTGACGAAAAACTGATTCGACTATTGAACGAAAATAAGCACAAAAATCTTTCAAACATAATCTGCAAAACCAGAAACATCAAATTTAGAACTGATTTCAATTTAAACATGAATCAGATTAACTCGCTTTCGATTTGAACATTTTTTTATAATTTCTTAAAGAAAAAAAAGTCGAACGAGAAAACATCATAAAAGTTACTGAAAACTGGCCAACAGAGCAAAGAAGTTAATTGTTCAAAATAAACCAACAAACTTCAACATTGCCTCGGGTGTAAAAGATATTCTTGAATAGTACTCAGAATTGAATGAAACATCCAGAACAGTCACTAGAGTGATTAGGTGGTTGCATGTAGACTTGATGTCTTGAGTTTTAACAAAGTGATTACTTGTTGGATCAGAGTTTTGTAGTAACATAAGTAGATGAAGGGTTGTAAAGGAGGAGAAGCAGGGAATTCCCTGAATCAATTGTATCTTCATTCAGATTAACACAGATGAAAAACTGTTTACAAGACAACAATCAACAATCAGTGAAAGTAAAAAAGTTTCAACAACCAACTAACCTTGAATAGAATGTAAAACTTTCACTTTTTCATCTTCTCTATATTAATACATATTAACTCGACTCTTTGTTGGTATTTAATTGTTTTCATGATTACCAGAAAACAACAAAAAGAGCAACAACAATCAGCCACTGAAACCTTTGATTATCATGATTCTCTTGTTTTCTTGAGTTAATTCAGTTTAAAAGAGCAACTCTCATTGTAAATATTAATAGCAAAAAACGAGAAAAGAGTTTTTTGTTTAAAGCAAAAAAACGTTGACCCTGAAGATGAAGATGAAAACTGAATTTCGATTGGGTTCAGTTTGAAATGTTCAACCAGAAACCGATTGGTACAGTATGCTTGAGTGTCATACATTTGTTCATCTTGTTCAGTTGAGTTTTTAGATTAATCAGGTTGAAAGAGCAAATGATTATTATTGTTACTCTTATGATTGTTACCTGTTCTTTTGGCACTTCTGTTGAAACGTTTCACCAAAAAAATAGTTATGCTTGGCTAAAACTCATTATCAAACGGAAAATGAAGTAAACAAGAAGCAAAATAATATCTGAGATTCAAAAGACTCGCTTTTTTGAATTTGGTGTGAGTTTTTGGTTATTTGTTGACAAATTTACAATCAAAAGTGCATTTGAATTTACCATCAATAAGGTTTACATTTGAATGAAGGGATGAATTGGTTTGGATATTGTTTAGGTTTCAATTGGCACTTTTTGGGAATCAAATGTTTGAATGTTTCAATAGTTTATATTGTAGGAGTTTTTGGTCTACCTGTGATTTAGATGAGTAATTTAATTTTGACTTTTACTTGTTTGCTTATCATTTAGACTGCTTTTAATTTTTACCCAAAATTGTAAATTTGTTGACCTTACCTAAATGGTTCATGTGAGTGTGCTGAGTTTGTTATTAAAGCAATTTAGCTGATCTAATTGCTGGTTGTTGTACAAAAATTGCTTGACATTTTTTAGGTAATTAACGTAAACTTAAGAGTTAGGTCTTGAAACAAATCAAGGTAAGATGAGAATGATAGTGATTTAATGAAACCTTTTTGTTTCCAGTTGACAGTTGATCAATTGACAAACAATTGATTTGAAGGCAACACAATGGGTAACACAAGAGTTAAGATTGTAAGTTAATCCAGTTTAAAGATTTAATGAAAATTAATCAACTAATGGAATGAATTTCAAAAAAGCAAAAATCAGACTATGACTTGTAGCGACTTATTGATTAACCGTTTGTTTTCCCAGGGTTGAAACAGTATTAACAGCTTCGAGAAAGAACGCTTATTTCAAGATTAATTGTTGATTTGAATGTTGACCATGATGGATAATTAGATAATTAAGTCTTAAACTGAGGACACTCAGATTGTCTAGTTGATTAATTATCGAGTCATTTACCAGATTGGTGAATCTATTTTTGAAACACCCTTTAAGATGATCCATAGCAACCCATGACTTCACATTTGTTGATCAATTTTCAAAGCAAACCAGATTAACAAACAATCCAGTTTTATTGTGATAATCAAAATAAGGAATAAAATTAATTACCAAGATTATTAATTTAAATCCAGTTGCAATGAAGGTAACAAATTAAAACAGATCACATTAAGTCCATTATGGTAACAACACATGTAAAAGTGATTTAATCCAAATGGGTTAGTAAAGACACTCAAGTGTTTAACACAAGGAAACACTGTTTGATTTGATTGTCTGTCCACGTTTAATTGTAAACTCAGGTGTGTATTTAGATGTGTTTTAATGAAATTAAATTAAACAATTTGAAGACACTTTTCAATACAAATGAAAATACAAAATGTTAAGTTAACTGTTGACTGGTTGGGTTAAAACTGCAAATATCCCAAAAAGAGTCGGACTTTTTCATTTCCCTTATTTTCCCCTTGTCTCTCCTTTCTGGTTAAACTGGTTTACTCACTTGTTTATCATCCATTTCTCTTTCTTTTTGTCTCTTTCTTTTCATCATATCTCTACCTTAAACCTTTACAGTGAGCCATCAGTTATTGATCATCGTGCATCAACATTTAATTAGAGCCGTTAATGATTAATCCGATCATCAAAGTGACTAATCCTTTGAAATGGTTAAAATTGTCAATCCATTTTCAACTGAACATCAAATTCAATTTTAAATGCAAAAACAATGGAAACCCGAAAACCCAAAAATGAATCTCAATCAATGTAACCATAGAGATAAACGCATTTTAAACACACAAACATTGACTTCAATGATTAAGATTAGTTTGTCAGTAATCTCATTTAATTACAGGTTAACCTTTTTTTTCATCAAATAATATCCAAGGTGAGTTTATTTTCAATGTTATTTTAACGCATTTATTGTTGCTTTTTTTATAACAATTGTTATCATTGTTGGTTTACAATTGAATAATATTTTCCGATGGTTTTCACGGAAATCCTTGATAACATGAAACCAACCTTTTTTAAAAACAATTTAAAAAGATAATTTAAACTCGTAATGATTCAAGTAAAACCAAACCTTTACAATTGTCTTAACTGTAATAATGAAGAAATGACATTTTTCCCACTCAACTGGTTCAAGTGAACCCATTGGTGGGCGATTGGTGCATCAACATAACCATCAGCTCGGTAATGATCATTTAAATTAACATTGGGCTCAATAGTTGGCTGAACCTCTTCCTGCTTTCCTCATCATTTGGTTCATAGGCAATTGAATCAACCCTGTAACAAGGAAATACAAATTCACTTAACCAAATAAACTCGTTAAGGTGAATCAATTAAGTAATGGTAGGCCTGAAACCAGAAAAGCCAATTCAATATTAGAATCAAATTTCAATTTCAAATCACATTTATGATAACAATTGTCATCAATAATGGAGATAACCTGATGTCCAGAATCCGTTGAGCCATCCAAGTGAATCAGGTGAACTTTAAGGTCCTGGTAATTACTGGTTCCTGGAAAGGCGCATAAAACAATTGTTCACTTGAGGATGAATTAAACTTGAGAATTGTAATCATTTTTTTGATGATTGATTAATTCATCAATAAACATTTTTGCATCTCAAGTCAATTAATTTACATATAAACAGAAATGTACATTAAAATGGATTCAAATTTGTCTTCACATTTCTCATCGTCATTACAATAATCATTTGAATCGTCCATCATCTTTATCCTTTAACATTTCAACTGAACAACAATTGTATTGTGATAATAATCATCTTCATCTTCCTCTCTCTCATCTGTTCACCTCATTGAACTAATTTTAAAAATCAAATCTATTACAAGGAAATGATCAAAACCAAACCTTATGATACTCAATCATCTTATTAAAGTTGAAATAATCATAATAATTAGTTAACATTTCAACTGAACCACTCATGCTAACACCATAATTATAGCCAGAAATAATACAAAACGCAAAACCAAACCTAAAAAGGTCAGTCCATCTTGCACCCGTTAACTACAACAAAGGTTCAATCTAGTTTGGTCAATTTCGCGGTGTAATAATAAGGCAAAAATAATTCAATGATTTTCATTAAACCACTAAACTAGACCCAACTTTTATTAATGCAATTTGACTCTTCAAGTGAATTATTAGCATCAAATCAGTTATAGCCATCAACTTGTCAATAGTCATTCAGGAAAACAGAGTTCACATTGAGTGGATCATATTCATGAGAATAGTTTGAAAGTATTAATAACGTAAAATTCATCAACCCATTGAAATTTTTTTTCAATCAATTCAAGCAGTTTCAATCAGTTTGGCCTCACATCAGCAAATGATGTTTTTCGCGGAGGTGAACTTACCTCAGAAATAATCATTGGCGACGATCATTGCCATGGGTTCATATCATTACTTTCATATTGATACCATTAGACAGTAAATGGCACTTCTTTCCATTTGCTCTTCAAAAGACGACGAATTATATTGTTGGTTAATAAGACGAATGACACACTAATCATTGCAATTGGATAACCTCGGGCTTCCCTTGTCAGATCAGTAGACAGAAGAGTAAATGAAAGTATTAGGTTTTGGGTTCGAGTCTGGTTTGTTAGACGAATGGCACGAAGCTGCAGAATGATATTCAACTTGTCAATTGATGGATTGAAGGCGATAAAAAGCATTTAATCGAGTACAAGATTGATTTATAACGGCAATCAAATGAAAAAAATGACATTGATTTTAAATGATTGGCTGAACTAAATCGAATGATCTAAATTAATTTGTTAAATGAGTAAATTTTTGCAAAAATTTCGTGATTAAATTCAAAAGTTGAAAATAAATTCAACACTTGAATTATTCACAGCTTTTGAATATTTTGCTTGTACAATACTTTGATAGTTTACATGAAAGCTAATCACCATCATGATGTAAGACGTAAAGGTTATTACATTTTCAAGATGAACATGAATTGAGAGGAGAGCAAAGAAAATGATTGAAAAGGTTGATTGTTGATTAATTGAACATGATTTAGTGAAAGATGAAAGGGTTTACACAATAATAAAGTCTATGGTTTGCAGCATAAAAAGTATATTATAAAGCAATATCAAGACTGAAAACTGGTTGAAAAAGATGAACCCAAAAAAGGATTCACTTGACTTTCAATTGAGATTTGGTTAACATTATAAGAATCACGATCTTATCGTAATCATTATCATATTACCAAACCTTGTTAACCATGCAAGTAAGTTAACTTTCCATTAAATATTGTTACCTTCAGTGAATAATCTGATCACAGGTAACTTCAGAGTCTCTTGTTTTGCACCGGATTTATGCTTCAATCAACCGTTCTTTGTTTTTCTCTTGTTAACTTGCTTCTCTTTATATTTTGATTGCCAAAAAGGTAAAGGGTTATCAACCTGACTCTTAATCAAACACATTTTCCAACTTAACCAATTTGGTTGATTGTAAAGTCCAATGGACTTGTACGCAATTAGCTAACAATACATGAGCTTTTTTTTTAATAAGGTTACTGTTTACCTGTTTTATGTTGTTGACGGGTTGATGCTTTAATAAAACATTTCAATTGTGTGTAAACAATTGAATTTTGTGAGTCAAAATTTCATCCTTTAAGTTCAATTTATAAGAAAATAATTAACATAATCAAACTGATCAACTTTACTAAATCTTATGTGTTCAAAGAAGGATGAAAAATGTTACATTTTCTGGTTTCCAATTCTGGTTAGTCCAGGTTTTAGGTTTTATATCAAAAAGTGAATTATCCATCATCAGTAGATGTCTTTTCATAGACATGCAATCAGTTTCACTCCATGTTAATATTGTTTCTGTTCATGTTCAACATCTCCACCTATTCATCATGTATAACATGGCATTTCATTGGGTGTGTTCATTCAATGTTTCAATATATTCATAGTTTTCTTTCTAATCCATTAGCAAAATCAACTTTCAAGAGACAAAAAATGCAACATTAATTCATCTTGGATTCATGGCATCAATCTGGTTTGTAATAACAATAAAGAGGCAACATTTTCTTAGATTTGATCACCAATTATCAATAGATTTACTTCAATCATTTAATTTAAATAATCAATAAAAGTTCGTAAATATTGTGTTTCTAGTTTCATCGAGTTCGTATTGTAATCAAGATCCAAAACTCTTGGATTGATTTTAGTCTGATATTGATTTGTGTCTAGATATTTATTTGCACCTGAATGGTTTGGTTTGAAACAAGAATCAGGATTATGGACAAAACCTAAAGATTTGTTAAACAGATGAACATTTCCATATTATTTCGGGTTACCGCCTTTGCTTTCGGCATTTGCCCACAGGAGATCTGCGAAACACCACAGTTGTCAATTGGATCTGAGGCTTAGTTAGAGATTTATCCTTTGGAATCGACAACACATGTTCAACTAATGTTCAATCGATTAGCGTTAAAGTCATTTCAGATTAGCAAGAAAATGTTTAACGAAGCACAAGATTCACTTAGACAATGAATCGTCCCTCATGTGTTTCAGTTTCATTGTTTTTTCAAAAACGAAGGATCAGTTTTAGCATTGAGCAAAATTCATTTTCCAATGAATATTCGGCTAAATTGAGCCGACAGTGAGCAAGTCTTTTCATTGTCTGAGCAAGGCTTTGCTTTGCTGAAATGAAACACTGGCTTGTATTGGATCAATTTTTGGGTTCAATAATGAAAACCTAAAATTAGTTTCCATAACAACTGAATGGGAAACAAAACATTGACTGAATCAGTCGATAAATGAATCTGCATGAATCTTGGCCATCATCTTTAATCAATTTGCGTAACACTTGATTCAAGTTAAAAAATTGCTTAAATTATTGGTTAATGAATTAAATATGATTTTAATTGTGGTTCAATCAGATTATTTAACAAACTTGTTGCCCTTGGATTGAACATACTAACTACAGTCCAATGTTAGGGATGATCAGTTGATTGATGAGCCTATCAAACAACTAAGGTGTGTTTAATAATTATGATCAAGTTGATTAAATAAATGGGCAAAATGAAAAAGATTGACCTTTTATTGAAAACAATTAGTAAAGCAGAAAGAAGATTTTAAATTGTAAATTGTTACATTCACAATAAATATTTAAACAAACACTATTAAACTTTGTAACGGCAAATTATAATCATTAATGTTGCTATAAAACCACAAGAAATTAATTCAATCATGAAATTATTGAAATCGACTGAAAATTAATCGTATGAATGAATTTAAATAAAGCACTTTTACATGACATTATGCATATTGATACAAAAATGGAACCAGAATTTTTTTTGTTATTACGAGTTTAACCATTGCAAATCATTCCATAGTTTATTTACTCAACTAATCATAAAATGATTAACTAAAGTATAATTTATTGACAGCTATTAACATGACAAGAAATAAAAAAGTTAACTTTCACTTGGAAACATTCTGGTAATACAACATGAAAACAACCCATGATATTAACCAAGATTAAACCTTGAAATGATCAGATTGAATTGCTTCAAGTAATATCAGAATTGATGATGATTATGATGATGATGAGGCAAAAGAGAAGAAAAAATGGAATAAAAACTAGTTTTTTGACTGTGAAACATTTTCGCGTATCAATCATGTTCACCTGATCATGATTTTGTGTTTCAATTTAACCTTTCATCAGAGTCAAAGAAACAAACAATCAGGCAAAACTAGGAGTTATAACCATTAATCAATGCATAATAACGTGATTACATAAACGCTCAATCTGTTTATTTACATTTTGGACCATAAAGAACAAAATGCTTTTTGATCTTATCGATACAATCGTTTTCTATTGCTTCGTCTTCCATACTAAAGAAGTGACTTTGAAAATGCAGATGCAAATCAAACCAAATTAGGAAAGGCTAGACTTAATTTAACCAGTTTGATATGAAACAACCTCAATGTGCATAAATTTATAATTTCATTTAAAGGTATATACGAAGAAACTTTTCTTTCGAGTTAAGAGTTGGACTGATCGAGCTGTAGGATTGTCCAAGCATAAAAACTGAGTCCATTTGTGCAATTGTGAAACTGAAAATTTTTCTTTGCTAGACAGAATTTGTTTTTAGAGTTCGGTATCGGATCGCCTTTTGTACAGTTATGGATCCAGGTATCTCATCAAACTTGTTAAACTGATGGACTCTTTAATGATCAACTAGATGTACTTGTTTAGGGAAATAATTTTGAATAAAAGCTTTCGCTTCGAGTTTTGGTAAGAGCAACTGAAACTTGTTTTTCTGTAATAGCAATATTGTTGAACATCAACGATCATACACTTTTTCAACTTATTGGTCTTTGCACAACGATATCTCGAAAGCGAACCCCATTCTTTTACCATTTTATTTGGTTTATGGACTGTTACAATATGGGGGACTAGTAGAGAGATCTGTCCATATCCCAGGTACCAACAAATGTCATGAAAATACAAAGTCAAGGTATGTTGAATGCTCCTGATTAAAGTAATTTGAACCAATCGCTTGATTGTTCCATGGGTTAATCAAATTTATAATGAAACAGAATAAAACTAAAGTTCGTCGAGGAAGGCCAGTGGGGTGTTTGGAAGGAAGGAGTTGGTTACACTGATGGCATGCTTGGTGCCCTCCAGAGCAATGTAAGTGGAAATTTGTTAGTCTTCTCGAATCAAATGTTTACTATTGCTTTCATTATTAGGAAGCTAACAAGCCATTACTCCCCGTGTCACTGGACACAAAGGATCCGCCGGGTGTTTTCACTGCTCCAATAGAGGAAAACACTTATCACTTGGCCAGTGTAACTCAAAAAAGTATTCCTCTCTCATTTAATTTACTCAACAATTTAATTTCTATCGAGTTATTCTGTTGGCTGTTATATTTTACTTTACTTTTCACCATCTTTTTCATTTCCAATTTTGCGTTTTCACCTAAACTGGTTCATAGGAAATGCAAATTATACGAGGTCTTCTTTGAAGCTATTCAAGCCATTCTTACAAGACAGATCTTTGGAACACCGAAAACATTCTTTTTATTGACTTTTGCTTGTCTATTAAATGCTTTGTTTGGTGCCATCAACAATGCATCTTTCAAAACCACTGCTATTGTTAGATCAACCAAGGAACAAGTGAAAAGCTTATTGGATATCATAAAGATGAATAAAAGTCCATGGTTTTTCGATGGACTCTCCCAGTATGAACTTTTCGAGGCTGGAGTTACACCTGAGTTTAAACAAGTATATGAATATGCAGTGAAAAAAGACTTAGCAACACCAAAAGCACTGGTTGAAAATGCTGTGAGTCTATTGAGTCGTGATTTATGCTTAAATGTGGTCACTTTAACAACATTAAGACCCACCGAGTTCATTAAAATCTATCTTGAATATTACTGTTCCAGTGAGTTAGGATCACCTCAAAGTGTTTTTGTCTCAAATCCTTACCACAGCACGGTTAAGATGAGTTTATTCAATCCATGCACTGATGGTCCAGTAGCTGAAGAGATGATAAGACGGGATAAAGCTTTGTGCGTATCCACATATTCAGATTGAAAGCGATCAAACTCAAAACGAAGTCTAACTGAAAAAATGTAAGAAATATTAGGTTAGTCAGTGAGTTTTGCACGAAAAAGTTAACTCACAAATCAATGGCAATTAAAATCAAGTTATTTTGATTATATGAGCTAAGTAACGTAATATTGAAAGATTTATGATTAAATTGTTTGACTTTTAGCCACAATCACAAGTTTAGTTTGGGAATTGTGAGTTATTGTGGGCTTCGAAATGGCCTGAGTCCATAGCCAATTTTTTTAAGATACAATGTGAAACTTTTAGTCAGCCTTTAAATATTATTATAGCTTCCCTTGTTTTAAAATACCCAAGTCACATTGACAGTGTCCCTGTCATGATTTTGATCATTTGATCGCTTTCAATCGCAATCACTTTGACGCTTTGTAACATTTGTTAATATCATTCGTTTTTATTACAGTTACTCTATGCTTCTAGAAACAGGAATCAACCTTCATGGAGTCGAATTAATGAGAAAATTTTTGATTAAATCTACTGGCTCACTTTTGGGCTTAAAATCCGGTAGTCAAACAGACGATTCCGATCTGTATTCACTGTCTGCATCACCACTCAAACTTTCCAATTTTGAAGACTTATTTATACTTCAATTTTTCGCTGCAATCATGGCTTTATTTATTGAATTTGGGAACCAAATTTATCACCGCTGTATAAAATTAAATCCAATATATGTTGGCAATACATATTAGGACTCAAAAAGTACTTTCGTTAGTAAAGTTTTAGCTTGTAACAGATTGGATGATGAAAAACAAGAACTTTATCGCCATCTGATTTCACTTTGATGTAATTTTCTTTCATGTATTTATTAGAATCAATATATCCTTTTGTCAAACGTAATTCGAATTATTCATTGAAAGGTACATCATAGTAATATTACAAAATGTGCCTTTTCTCGTATGATCTCCGATGATCTGTTACTTGGATTTATTGTTATCCATTGTATAGTCTAACTTAGTTATCTCGCTGCATGTAATACAGTAAATGGTAAAATGGTTTAATTGCAATACAAATGCGAACTGTAAATTAAAAATACATAGGAAAGTGCAAGAAAATTATCATTGAACTACAAAATCAATTCGTTAAATTGAAACAGCACTTTTTATGTGACAACATTAGTATCAAAATATTGAATTGAATATCCTTTTTAATCTTTTTCAAACATGTAAATCAATGCAGTTTGATTGTATTTAATTTATTGAGATGCTAATTATTAATAAATTAGCATAATAATTTAATTAGCGTAATAATAATACATAAATTCAGTTTATTTTGAGTATTTTGCACTTTTAATCTGGAAAATATTACTTTATTTTATTTCAATAGTCAGCTTAGATGTAATAAAAATAATTGCATTGCTACTGAAAAATGGTATCGATTTAGTTGAAAAGAAGAGCAAAGTGTCTATATTTTCCTCGCGCCATTAGATAGTTATGGCTGGACCCATCCTGAAATACGAAAATCTCGATAAATCGAAACAACATATTTTATGCAACAAAATTAGTATTTTCTCGCTTATTTTTATTTTTAAGTGTCCATTCCCTCTATTGTCTATTTCTTAGGGATACTTCGATTCAATAATTTCTTATCAATTATAGTTCATACATTCACGAAATTATTTTTATAGTTGAGATGAAAGAGTGGCAATATCATGAATTCAACTGAAGATTTAAACTCTGTCATCTTCAATATAACAATGGCCTTTTATCAAGTAAGCTCAAGATAACATTTTGAGTTGAGATTTTTCAAGTTTGTGTTTTATTTGATCTACAAAAGTTCACATTAAATACGCTCTATGAAGAGGTTGACGGGGAAATTAGATTGATTGGCAAAGAATTCAAAGATCTACCTGAGATGTACTCGCGTTATACAAAGTCAAGGTATGTTGTTCAAGTGATTAAACTGATTTAACTCAAACACTCGATCATTCTATGGATTGGTTAAATCATACTTAAACAGAATAAAACTGAAGCTCGTCAAGGAAGGCCTGTGGGGTGTTTGGAAGGAAGGAGTTGGTTACACTAATGGAATGCTTGGTGCAGTTCAGAACTGTGTAAGTGATTATCCGATTTTTTTGTCTTCTCGGCCTAAATTTTTACTATTACTTTTATTAGGAAGCCAACAAACCATTTTTCCCTGTGTCATTGGACACAAGGGATCCACCGGGTGCCTACACTGCTGCAATAGAGGCAGATACTTATCACTTAACAAGTGTAATTCAGAAGAATAGTGTTTCTTCATTCAATTTACTCAATAATTTGATATCAATTGAATTATTCTGTTGGCTTTTATATTTTATTTTACTTTTCAAGATATTTTCCATTTCCAATTTTGTTCTTTTACCTAAACTGATTCATTTGAAGTACAGATTATACGACGTCATCTTTAAAGCTATTCAGGCCCATCTTACAGGACAAATCTTTGGTTCACCTAAAACATTCCTTCTATTGGCTTTTGCATGTTTATTAACAGCTCTATTTGGTGCCATAATCAATGCATCTTTTAACACCAGTGCAATTGTTAAATCAAACAAGGAACAAGTGAGAAGCTTATCGGATATCATAAAGATGAATAAAAATCCATGGTTTTTTGATGGCATTTCCCAATATGAACTTTTTGTGTCTGGAGTTACATCTGAATTTAAAAAAGTATATGAATATGCAGTGAAAAAAGGATTAGGAACACCAAAAATACTCACTCCAAATGCTTTGCGTCAATTGAGCCGTGATTTATGCTTCAATGTTGTGGCTTTAACCTTATCACGAGCCGCTGAATTCATGAAAATTTATCTTGAACATCTCTGTTCAATTAAGCTAGGAACACCTCAAAGTGTTTTTGTCTCGGATCCTTATCACAGCACAGTTAAGATGAGTTTAATCAATCCATGCACTGATGGCGTTGTAGCTGAAGAGATGATAAGACGGGATAAAGCTTTGTGAGTATTTAAAATAAATTAAGATTGAAAGCGATCAAACGCAAAGTGAAATAATCCAAAGTCAAACTGAAATAGTTTTAGTCACAATCATAAGTTTCTGAGGTCGCAAGTGCACATAAAAAAGTTTGATTAGTTTAGTTATTTTATATGGGCCTCGAGATGGCCTGAATTCTGGATGTATGGCTGGAAAATCGACCCACCAGGGAATCTCGGTCCATCTGAGTGTCATTTGTTTAGACTAAATGGACATCATTTCTTGCAAAAAGGCGAGCACCGAAGCGGTGTCGAAAACGCATTTAGACCTTAAAATCTGGAAAATTTCACATGAAAAATGAATTTCCTGCTTTTTTGACAAGTAGTTTTAATTTAATGATTAAATTTTTCGAATTCGATTTTCGTGCAAGACTTTTGGCTAACTCAATAATAATACTTGCCTTGAAACATCCAAGTCACATTGAAAGTAGTCATAATTTTGATCACTACGGCGCTTTCAATCTTAATTGCTTTCCCACTTTCTAATGTTAATATTGTTCGTTTTATTGCAGTTACTCTGTGCTTCTTGAAACTGGAATCAACCTTAATGGGAACGAAATATTGAAAAAACTTTTGAATAAATCTACTCTCTCGCTTTTGGGCTTAAAAACTAGAAGGAAAACAGACGATTCCGATCTTTATTCATTTTCTGCATCACCGCTCAAACTTTCCAATTTCAAAGGTTTATTTATACTTCAATTTTTCGCTGCAATCATAGCTTTATTTATTGAATTTGGGAACCATATTTATCATCGCTATGTAAAGTTGAATTTGAATTGAACCAGAGCCTTTGTCTTTGTCTTTCATTCATACGTTTGCAGTATCGCAATCAAACTCAACCAAAATCCTTAGAACTACATATTTAAATCTAAGACTACTAATAGAATAAGAATAGAACAAGCTTTGAAACTGATTTATGTCTGCGTAATTAAATCTCGAATCAAGTGAAAAGTCTAAGTTATGTTGATTCGTCGTAGCCATTTTATTCTGTATATGCAATTGCTACATAAAAAGATAAAATTACACAGACTGTTACGGATCACTTCGATTTTCGGTTTAAGCTAACGCTTCGAGTTATGGTAAGAGTTATTTGACAGCGATTTAATTGAACATCAACATTTAATATTTCATTATGGGCTATGGCATGACTGATTAATGAAGGTATCTGTCCATATCTCAGGTACTAACAAACATCTTATAACAAATCGAAAGATAATCTTATACTTCGATTTATTATTGTCTATTCTTTGGTCTATTTGCTACATATAATATAGCAAATGGTTAAATCGTTTAATTGCAATAAAAATGCAAATGCTAATGAAAAATTGTCATTGATCTACAAAATCAATTCTTTAAATTATAAAAGTATATTTTATGTAACAACATTAGTATTTTAATATTTATTTTTATTATTTTGTATCAAAATATTAACAGTCTAAATACCAATAAAGATTAACTTTCCATGCAATTTAAATTTATTATAAATTAGTTTATTGAGATTTCTATTGCATAATTTTAGTTTATTTTCAATATTTGCAACTTTTGGTCATAAAGTAAGGTATGACCGCTAAAGTTTGTCACTAAATAAATTTCGCTTTGTATTTCAAACAATCGGTTTTGGCAATAACAATTTATTTTTAATGAATTTTTTGGTGATCAAAAAATCAAAATGTAGCCTAGATGGATGTCTAACAAAAAAAATCTAGTAAAACGATGTTACTAATGTGTCTAGCCTTTATCCGACAGTGTCTGAAAAACAGATTGGTGACAAACTTTATCGGTCGTACATCATTTGTTTTGTTTCACCAAACAGAGTAGATGAAATTGAGGTTATTGCATGGTTATGGTCTATTTGTCTCAACAATTCAATCCATGTTCATTCCCACCATTCCTTTGAAACATTTTATGTAAATAATTTCTTGCCAATTTCAGTCAACATTTACCAAATTAATACATGCATATGTCAATGTAAATTGAATCGTTATTACTGGATCTGAAATACGATGACCTAGACTAACCTAACCTCAATCCCCTTCTGTTGTTGAGATCAAAGAGTGGCAATATCATGAATTCAACTGAAGATTTAAAGTCTGCCATCTTCAATATAACAATGGTCTTCTATCAAGTAAGTTCAAAATAACATTTCGAGTTCATAATTTGTCAAGTTCGTGTTTTACTTAATCTTCAAAAGTTTACAGCAAATACTGTTCATGAAGTGGTTGATGGTGAAATTAGATTCATTGGCAAGCAATTTAAAGATCTCCCTGAGATGTACTCGAAATATACAAAGTCAAGGTACGTTGAATGCTCGTGATTAAACTCATCTGAACCAATCATTCTATGTGTAAATCGAATGCATAATGAAACAGAATAAAACTGAAGTTAGTCAAGGAAGGTCTGTGGGGTGTTTGGAAGGAAGGAGTCGCTTATTTTTATTTTTAAGTGTCCATCTCTCTATTGTCTGTTTCTTAGGGATACTTCGACTCAATAATTTCTTATCAATTATAGTTCATACATTCACCGAAATTATTTTTATAGTTGAGATCAAAGAGGGGCAATATCATGAATTCAACTGAAGATTTAAACTCTGTCATCTTCAATATAACAATGGCCTTTTATCAAGTAAGTTAAAAATAACATTTCGAGTTGAGATTTTTCAAGTTTGTTGTTTTATTATATTTTAATATTTGATCTTCAAAAGTTCACATCAAATAAGGTCTATAA